CCCCCCCCCCCCCCCCCCCCCCCCCCCCCCCCCCCCCCCCCCCCAAATTAATAATATTACTTCCAACGCTTGTCACTCCCGCCCGTCTGCCTGAACCTCTGGGTGGGAAAAAATGTCATGGCAGCTTCCCCGCTAGATAGCTCTAGCACCCCACGCCCACGCCCTCGTCCTACCGCTGCTGCGGCTGCTGTCACCACTACAACAACAACAACTGCTGCTGCTGCTGCTGCTGCTTCCATAGCTCTTCAACAAGCTCCTCCAGGCTCCAGGAGCGTTCCCATGGAAGATACATATCCCCAGTTTTCTACCCGGAAACGTCCTCGTCTTGACAGTGGCGACCATTTAAACGAGCCTATCCCCATGTCTGCCCCCTCCCAAAGCACTGCCGTTGTTGGTGCCAGTGACAGCCTTGTTACTTCTACCACTACCACCACCACGACTACTACTGCTACTACTACTACTACTACTACTACTACTACTACTTCTGCAGCTGTGGCCGGCAACGCAACGAATCCTGCTCTCGTGCCCAGCCCCAAATCACCCGGTTCTCAACGTGCCTGCAGCAGAGTTACTATCAATGTGAAGTCCCCCCTTTTGCCCAGTGGCTCCCCGTCTTCTCATGTCACCGCAGAAACCACAATACCTGGGCGCAGTGTCCTTTTGCCGCGAGATACCGCTTTGCCGGAGCAACAGCAACAGCAACAGCAACAGCAACAGCAACAACACCCTCTACAACGACAAGGGCAAGGACTGCAGCAAGAACATGATGGAGAAGTACAGACGCAACACCCAAAATCTCCGGATATAGCACCGCATACGCCCGCTGCTATATCTATAACCTCGTCGCCGTCCCACAGCCCTGAGATTGAGGTCGCGGAGGTGGAAGATATGGATCAGGACCCTAGCACGTCAAACTGGAGATCTTTAGAAGATGCCCTCAGGGCCCCCGAAGAACCTGACCTTGTGCGCATGCATGACCACGTCTCGTTGGCCGACTCTTTCCCACGATTCCGTCGTGATTGTGATGTGCGGGAAGCTGTGGAGGAGATCTCAAGTTTTGTTGAGAGGGGTACGTACTTCCGCGGTTTATTTATTTATTTATTTATTTATTTATTTATTTAGTTTTAAACGGGGTGTCGGTTTACTAATAGGTCTCTCTACACAGGTCATCCTCACGATGCAGCAATCTTTGTGTCAGTTAAGAACTGGCTTGAACTCTGCTCGAATAACCTAAATCAGATTACTTATGCTACGGTCGCCGACGATCAGGATCTATGGGAGGAGGTGCCGTTGCTAATGGAAGGCCTTTTGCGGCGGCAGTGAGTAGTACCACCCGCGTTGCACCTTGAATCATTCAAGCTAACACAAAACCACCAGGATCGATTTTCAACCGGACGAAGGACAGGGGCCCTGGAAATGCTTGGAGGAGTTCTCCGTGGCATTTGGCCGGCTTGCCATCCATATGATCCGCCTTGATATCCCAACGCTGCAACTTCATCCAAAGGACGCAGCCTCCCCGCCAAACTTGCTTTCAAAGACATACCTTCCCGCCTTGGGATGGTTGCTACAGATGCACACGATTCCATTTTACAAGACCATTGAGCGGATCTATGGTGTTGAGGTTGTTAACTTGGTGTCTAGCATTAACGATCAACTTACTCCAGGTCCCGTAAATGCGGTGAGGCACCTCTCCGATTTTGCGCAATTGCTTCTCAAGACACTGCAGCAGTGGCCGCAGTATTCTTCTACCTTCATCGCCCTGCTGACTATCGCCCACAACATTATCGATTCCGGATTGGAGCGGAGGAGGCATTGTGCGGACGACGACCTGGTTTCCACGGCGGAACTTGCTGATGCAATCGATGCGGCATATTTGTTTTTCCGCTCTATTGATGTGGAGTATCAGTCTTATATTTCGAAAAAGTCCTCGTGGGTTACTAATGAGAGCAGCGAATCGGTGCTTCGCTTCATTGGGTTTTCGTATCATAATATTGCCGTGTTAAATCATCAGTTGGCATTGCAAATGTCGCGGGATCTAGGTGTTGATGTTCCTGAAAACGCGAAACCGGAAGAGTATCCTGCAATCATCCATTTAGGTTGGAAATTTCAAGTTTTGAAGAGACATATCACTGAGGGTCGAATGGAGCTCCGAGTCTATGGCATGGAAACAATGCAGACGGATCTCGTTGCGGTCTGGCGGCAGCATATCCAGGGTAACCCCGCTGGTATCAGTTATCCCATCATCCAGTATCTTGTCAAATTCCTGAGGGATAACAAGATCGTGGAATATATTGTCGGTGTGGATTCGCACCCTCAGTTGATTAGTCGGAGTGGAAATGTTGTAGGTTTCCTTGTTGTCACAGCCACATATACTGATAACGACACGGACATCATCTGGAACACTGTAACGCAAAGTCAAGACCCTAGAACCGTGGCGGAGGTGCTGGGGATGCTCACCCGGACATTTTCGATGCATCAATCCGGATCGAACGCTTTGACGTACATTTGTACTAAACTAATCGAACTACCTTTAAACCGCTTCGATACGAGGGTGCTTGAGTACACCGACTGCCTATTCAATAACCTGAGGGAAAAACACGCGGAGAGAATGCGTCATCACGGCTTTGGCCAGCCACATGCAAACATCGTCCCACACCGCTTATGTGTCCGTTTGATTCGCGAGGCGGCGTCCATTCGGGAGTTCTCCGTTGAGCAGCAAACCAGCATACAAAAGTTTGCTAGCAAACAGCTTTCCAATTTACTATCTGTGGGTCTGGACGACAATGATAAAATGGCAATGTACAAAGAGTGTATCGATGATATTTCCGAAATGAACGAATTCGCTGTTGGCAGCATTCAGGCCCTGAACGCCCTGTTGTCCCCTTACGACATCCAAGATATACGACGGCTGGCGCTCGACTTTGACTTTACGCGGTTAATAGTCACGGAATTGGCACATGCGTTCGACACTACCTCGCCAGACACGGACTTCTCAGATCCCACCGTACGAAACTGTCTGCGTCCGCGTATTCAGCTATTACATCGCATCATCGACAAAGTCCCTGAAACAATCACCCCAGAGCTAAGCGAAATTCTCTGGAACCACGTCTTCATGTCCAAACCCATTGGCGACTGTGGTCGCAGTCTGGCATGGGAAACGCTACCCAAAGTAACATCCCGCTCCACAAAACGCAACACCTTCCTCGAACGCTATCTAAACGTTTACCTCCCCCGCATTGCGCCGGAAGACTACACAGTAGACATCCTTGCCTTCGCCGAACAAGCTATCACTTATGAAATGCGCTTTGACCCACCCCCCATCGCCCACGAACACGAAATTATCACTATCCCTGGAATGGATCGTATTTGGCACTTCATCCTCACAGCTCTGCCAGGCACGATTGAAAATAGAGCTACCAACTTTGCTATTGAGGTCTATCTTGACCATGGGCTCATTCGACGTGCGCCACGGTCTGCGGCAGAGGCTACACATGTTGCCCTTGTCGAGCGCTGTGTCAGCCAACTCACGGACGCGGCGGCGAAGTGTAAAGCGTTCACCGACGGGTCTACGAGTGGTAGTGAAGATGAGCCTATGGTTATTGTACCGTCGGACGGGGAGGTGCGTGCTGAAGAGTTAAGATTTACACGGTCGTTACTGTTTCTGCGTCAGTTGTTACAGGGCTTAAGAACACGGCCGCAGTATACACCGTTGCAAGTTAGCCCGTCAGAATTACTTCTGAAAGCCGACAACGACGAAAATGGCGTCCGTGATGGTCATGGCGATGGTGTTGGTGACGGTATCCCTGTCGTTGAGGCTGACACAGACGCAGAAGACGCCGATGCCGACGCTGATCCCAACCCCGATGAGGAAGAAGTAGTTCTCGACGACGCAGCCGGGAAGCTCGTCAAACTCTCCTATCAAGCCTTCACCGGGCACTCGCAGACGCGCATCCGCATCATAGAGCTCAGCGACCTAACCACAGGCGCGCAGCTGGCGGAGAAGTTATCGCGGTTGACAGGGTTCAAGAGCTTTTCCAGCTTTAGCTGTGGGAGGCGGTTGGATTTGGCGGCTTGTGGTGACAGGACGATTAGAGAGTTGAAGCTTGTTGGGTCCGGGTTGTTGATGGTTAGAAAGAATCCGGATGGGGATGATGGTGGTAGTGTTGATGGTAGTCCTAGTGCTGGTGGTGGTGGTGGTACGGGGGCAAGGAGGCAGTCACTGACGTTGGTGGATTCGGAGGTTTTGAAGCATTTTGATGAATTGTATGATTTGCTGGGCCTGGAGGAGAAGTTGTCGAAGGAGGTATGTTATTTTGACAAAAACCTGCTCCCAATCCCTCCCCTTCTCTTTTGATATGAGACAGGAATACCGAATTCCCCGATACTAATATATATATAACTTTTTTTTTTAAAAATTTTTTTCCATTCCTCAGATATACGACTTCTTGGTTGTCTTCCCCCCTCAGCAGCGGGTTCGAGATTTTGTTAGATCCAAGAACATAGCGGAACCAGAGATGTTTCCGTTAGAGAAGCCATACAAACTCCTCTACTCTATAAACGCTCTTATTGCCTGTATTAGAGAAGATATTTTAGAGGTATGTGTGAACATGAAGGATTTATAGCTGATTATATGCTATTGCGAGAGTTCAATTGGTTGTTAACAACTTTTTGCCGTGTCTAGACAAACCCAGATCAAGAGTTTATATCTCACAGCATCCAAAACTTGGTTGCATTCCTTACCCGACCGCAGATGTCTGATAGTTTAAAAGACAATCCGTTGAAGTTTTCTTTTGCATGCAATTTCGTGGAATGTCTCCTTCTAGCTTTGACAGGTAAAAGCCACACAATCCCTTCCCCACATCTTACTTGAGGAACCATCCTCCTAACTAACGCAACAAATATAGCCAAACCATTGCCCGAAGACTCCGAGCAGTATTTCTCCAATCCCTCAGCCCTCGCCAATCGACTTCTCTCCATCATATCCCTCGGCCGCGACCTTTCATCCACAAAACTCCCCGAGATCTCCATCCAAAGATTAATCTCAAATTCCTTCGCCGTTATCATCGAAGCTTCCATTCATGACAGCCGTGTCTGGGACGCAGTGGAACAAACCATGCAAATAAAGGATCTCATCTACGCCCTCCTCCTAGCTGAACCTCGCCAAGGCATCCGCAAGGGAGTTGCCGAAATTATCTTTTCCACTTGCGGCACTCACCCGTCGCAGAAGCGGGCGTGGTGGAAGGGGAATCAAACGAAAGAGGAGGTTGCGGTTTCTCGTAAACTCCCCACTGCCACGACGATACATATTGTGGCAACGCTGTGGAAAGATATTTCGGGGCTGTTCCCTGATACGCTGCGGTTTGCGAAGTCGTCACAGGAATTTTTTGAGGTTGCTCTTGTGGTTTTTCAGACGGTTGCGAATTTGTCGCCGGGAGATTTAATTTTTGGAGAGTACTTGAGGGTTTGGGGAGATATATTGCTTACGCATCGCACGCATGAAGTTCGTCCTGAATACATATACTTTACTAGTGAACCCATGTTTTCTTTAAATTACTGACTCATCTGTTAGTTTGTCGGTCGAGAGCCTGTTGACTATGTCGTCCTGGGATTTACACACCTGTTGAAAATGTGTTTGGAGCTGGCGCATGCCACGATCAGCTCCGTGGATACGAGGTAAGATAACAGCTCCAACTGTCACGTACAAATATGTGGCCGCATGCTAACTGCAGAAGTAGTAATCTTATGGAAGATTTGTTCACGACCTACCTATTTCCCGACCTCTCAGAAATCTCCGAGACGGAGCCAATTCAGCCAAACGTTCCCGTCATGCACACTGCCACCAGACAGGAATTGTATAACATTCTTTTACGTTTGTGTGAAGATCAATCGAATTGTGAAAAAATGCTGACATTGCTTGCTGATGTAATTCCACATGGTATGATCTTACCTCTCTGCCTCTACCCAGGCATGCAATGACAACGCTTATGCTTATTGATTTGCAGATTACACGTACGAACCAAACTGGGTGTTCGATCGACATAAAACAATCCGCTCTCCAGAAGGTTATGCCGGCTTGAAGAATTTGTCCAACACTTGCTATCTGAACTCCCTATTTACTCAGTTATTCATGAACCTCGATTTTCGCAAGTTCATGATCGAGGTACATGTTGCTGACGTGGACTCCACACAAAAACTACTTGCGGAAACGAAAAAGGTGTTTGCCTACATGCAAAATACATGGCAGAAAAGCGTCGATACACAGGCGGCAGTTGATACCATCCGGACCTATGACAATGAGCCTATAGATATCAATGTTCAGATGGACGTGGATGAGTTCTACAATTTGCTGTTTGATCGATGGGAGAGCCAGATCCTGTCATCGGAGGACAAGAAGCTCTTCAGGTCCTTTTATGGTGGCCAGCTTGTTCAGCAGATTAAGTCGAAGGAGTGTCCACATATTTCGGAGCGGCTTGAGCCGTTTTCTGCAATACAGTGTGATATCAAGGGTAAGGCTGGACTTGAGGATAGTTTGCGTGCTTACGTTGAGGGGGAGGTGATGCAGGGAGGTAAGTTGTATTGGGGCTCTTTGGGAAAAATCTTTTCTGAAGAACACAACGCTGAGTGATTTGCAGATAATAAGTACTCATGCACTTCGTGTGGGCGTCATGTCGATGCTGTTAAGAGGTGAGCTTTTTTGTTTCCTTCAGCCCATGTGGGGAAGCTTTCGCGGATGTTGATTCTTACGAATATATAGGGCTTGTTTGAAAGACCTCCCGGATAACTTGATATTCCATCTCAAGCGTTTCGACTTTGATGTCATATCCATGATACGCAGCAAGATTAACGATGAATTCCAATTCCCAGAACGCCTTGATATGACTCCATACACAGTTGATTATCTAAGTAACCCAGGAACTCCGATTTCGCCAGATGTCTTCGAGCTGGTTGGTGTTCTCGTGCACAGTGGCACTGCCGAGTCTGGACACTATTATTCGTATATCAGGGAGCGCCCCACCGCCGCTGATACCAGTGCTTCTTGGGTTGAATTCAATGACTCGGACGTGAGCAGGTTTGATCCTGCTAAGATACCCGACCAGTGTTTTGGAGGTATGAACGAGCCCATTCACGGCACGTCTTTAGGCCAGGTTCGGTTTAATAAAGTGTGGAATGCCTACATGCTGTTTTACCAGCGGGTTTCTAGTATGGAGAAGGCCAAGTCTGTCTATGCTGCATCGCTCGGGGATTCACCTGTCAGTGTTCCACTCCCTTTGGAGCTTGGAAATCACATTGCCATGGAGAATGAACTTTTCATTCGGACCTACTGCCTTCTAGACCCTTACCATGCATACTTCGTCCGCTCTCTACTGGAACAAACGAGGAAATTCTCTGCTATTGGGGAAAGGGGGTTCAATAAGATACGCAAAGCGGCCATCTTTATCGCACTGGATAATTTGGACCAGATTATCTCGAGGTCGAAAGAGTTACCAGAATTAGAAAATATAATCATCGAACTGGGGCGGAATGTCACCGAAAACACCAAGGGGGCTATGGCAGTCCTTCGCTGGACTGTTGTTCGTCCCTTGGGTATTCGAGATCTTCTGCTAAAGAGCCCCAATAACGTTGTTCGTGATGGGTTCTGTCGACTTTTAGTTACCGCTCTCGAACGGCTGCAGGAGCCACTAGTCGAAGAAACTCTTGAGAATGACGAATTGGTCCGCTATGAAAACGACTATACGACTATGGTCGATGCTGTTGTTGATACTCTCGATCAGCTGTGGGGTTGCCTTCATATATACTCGCGGGCTTGGGATGACTATTTTGAGCTGCTCCTCGGCCTTGCTAACCTTGGTCCTTACCCTGTTCAAGTCATGCTCGATCATGGCTTCCTGCTCAAGTGCTTGGAAATTGTCTGGCTGGATAGAGAGGACAACAAGCGACTGAAACGGCAATATGGCAGTTATGTCCGGCTTGTTGAAAAGGGGCGCAAATATTCGCACTTCAAGCTTGTGGAGGTGCTTTATGTCCTGATGACTCATATCGATTTTGCACTGGCACCTTCGCCAGACAATCAGCCTCGAGATTGCGTTATGGGTAAATATTCACTCACCAGGTCGGAAGGGGAGCTGGTTCGACCGATCGGGAGGAACAGAGATCTAATTCTTTTGAAGAAAATTCTCGAGCAACAGGCGAATCCACCAGTATCCAGGAAGATAGTGAGCGTCTTTCTAGCTGCTGATCCTGAATGTGGTCTGACGGAAAGCATCTGCAAGGTCCTCGAGGAAGGCCTGCGAGTATCCCCTGCGTACCTATGCGTTCCTTTCCTGGAAGCAACGTTAGTTTTCTGCCAAATGTCCTCAGATATCGACCAGATAACCAATCTGATCGACTACGTGTCCAAGGGCGTGGAGTCCATCAACGATAGTGGAGGGCGTGAACATCTCGCCTTTTTCCAATCACTGATAAACCTTCAAAATGATAAGATGTCTAAGGATGAGTTTTGGTTCTGGAGTGCAGTGGTCGACCGGATACCTGACTGGGCGCCCACGCTTCTTCATTACCCCGAGAGAAGCGTGCGGAATAACACGTTTGATTTCTTGCGACAGCTCCTCTTTTCAAAAGAGTATGAGGAAATTGGCGACGAGTTCAGGCAGTTCTACAAGAAGATCGGTAAGGATCTGACGCAGGCGTGTGTAGAGAAGTTGCGAAGAACGTATCTCTCAACAGATGCTCAGCCGGCGGAAGTCCGGTCGATGGAGACGATTGCTCTCGTCATTACCCATTGTATAGACGTGTATTATGACGAGAATGACACAGAGGATATGGAGTTTGTTCAGCAAGCTACAGGTATGTTTTACATTTCAAGCACGTTCTCACTATTTTGGCCCTCTACAGCTCTACAAAGGATCGCTGTGACCTAACTTTCCTTCCTCAATTCTAGCTGTAATCTCTGCTCTGGAGCAGTTATCCGTCGAACTCCCGGATGAAATGGCGTCTGGTAAGCAAACGCCCCGCCCCCTTTTTTTTTTAATGTCTTCGTCTGCTCTTTTATTTCCTTTCTAACCACCTCCCATCACTTTTCAGATTCTGACTTCCCTTCAGATGGTTGGGATGAAAATTCGATGATGGGGAGCGATTCCGATATTGGCCTGACCGGGTCGCCATAAAAAAATAAAATAAATAAATAAACATCAACTGGCGTTCATGGTTGGCGGACAGGAGAGGAGGTAAAGGAAGCCTACATAGTTTTTTCCTACCTCTATTTCTCTTTCCAAGACGATTCAAATGATGTTCAATGCTTGAGCATTATTTTTACGATACAAATGTTGTTCAATGCTTGCGCATTATTTTTGTTTCAATATTTTTTGATTCTTTTGTCAATTTTGTTCTTTTTCCTTAACGAACTCTGAATGACTCCAACCTCATGCTTCATCTTCCAATTTGCTGCATTTGTATGGCGTTGTTTCCTTCTAAACCCTTAACTTTTTAGAGAGCAAGGCAGGGCCAGGTTAAGTGCTTGATATTCAACCTTTTGTAAAACTCATTTTACCACCGCGCTTTTTGCGATATTGTGGATTTTTCTTTTTCTTCTTTCTTCCCACGGAGGGAAATCTTGGGCTTTCAAGGTCTTGTTCTGACGTAGAATTAAAATCACAATAACTATGGAATGCAGGAGCAAATAGCTGGCTGATTAACAATGAGAATCTACCCTTCACCTTATCAAATCCAAAGAATTACCTTTGAAACTCTTAGGCAAACTCTGCTCAAACCCTCCTCAAGGGTCGTCTATTGAGACTTGAAAAAGCAAGTGGATAGATTTGCAGTTGTTCTCTATTATAACTACACCTCTTTCAGCTGGTTGCTACCAGATTATATCAAGCGCTCGTGAGTGGAGATAGCTTCGTCAATTGGATGTCACTCAAGTTCCAGACATCGGGAGCTCCTTCGTAGCCACTGACTACATACTATTCCCTCCATCGACAGGGACTAAGCACACCGGCAAGCAATTAAAAAAACCTGTTTCTGGTTGACAGCCTGAGTTCTAGCATCTAGTATCCACTCAGGGCCCTAGGCGGAGAAACTACCCATTGACCGACTCGATCGTCCCCGTAGCTCTGAAGATAGAAGTATCTAAGCATGCCCTAGCATGCCCTATATAGAAACAAGGGGGGTATAGGAGTTGATACAAGGCAACATGATCATGAGAACTCCCAGCCCGTAAAAAGACGTTTGCAGATTACGCAGAACATAACCTTTTGTCAAAAGCGTTTAACGGCATGTTCCTGTTTCCTTTAAATTCGACCGTTCCTTTGCCCCTTCTCCATCCACAGAGTGAAGTGGTTCACAACATAATCTCTAAGCATAGTTTTATTAAGAAACATTATAGGTTGTGGTAACATGAATCTCCGCCGGTTCTCTCAACTCGTGATTAACAGTCTCGACACTGCCCGTCGAGATCACGTACTCATTGTTCTTCGAATTTGGATCAAATCCCTGCACCATCCTTTCCTCGCTGCTGTTATCCATCGTCGTCAGTCCCATTGCAATACGAATCCTATTTTGCTTTTCCTTCCGCTCAATTCGTGTAAGCTGGTGGCTGCCGTCGTGACTGGTTGATCTGGTGTTTTTGCTCGACGAGCCTGTCGTTGCGAGTCGAAGGCTCTTTGAAAACAGTGGCTTCAGGACAGGTATGTTGACGGCTATTGTTGCGACGAACTATGGAGAGGAAATGAGTTAGAGCGTTGCGAGGGTTCATCGCAAGGACCACCTTACAGTTTCTCGAACGGACCAAATGGTTGCAATGTTGATGAATCGAACGTCCCTTAGGCATAGAATGCAGCGAACGATAGCAGCGATGATGATGAAAATTCCAGTGCATAGCCATGCTCCGAAGAGAACTTTCCTATAATAGAATAAATATGTGTCCTGTTTGTACATGCATCAAGCGAACTGTCTGCTTTCATACCGGCGCATTGGAATTTTCACTTTCCATAGCAAGGGAAGAGGGATGTAAATGATCATGACATCGGTCCTTCGATAGCATTAGACCTGGCAAAAACAATTATATCCTTCGTCCAGAACTTTTGAAAGTAAACTTACGACACATTTGTCACCACTAGTGCCAGGTAGTTCGGGATGTTTAAAGCGCAAGAATCTTGTCAGGTGTGTTAGCAGTCTCATCTAAGAAGCATGCTTCCGACTGACTTACCACCAGGATAAGGGTAAATCTGCCACACTTTTTGTATCGGGTGGCAATGGGTTAGAATGACCATAAGTGTTGCGATGTAGGCCAGGGTGCAGATTAGTCCAGTTATTCTAACTGCACGTTGCTGGCTAAGGTTCAGACTGATTGCATAGCTTGTTAGCGGAGAACGTAGAATATTCATAGCAGAATAGCTAGTTACTAACGTGAGTCTTTTGTACAGAAACAACATGCAGGATTTCAGGCACCAGATCAATGTGACATAAAGGCACCAGCCCGCAAGGAGACATTTGGTTCCAATAACTATTCGTCTTTTCTCCTCCTCAGTGAGCTTGAGGGCAATCTCATCATTCATTCCTGTAGTCGTACCATATCGACCTGGAAAAACTTTTCGTTAGAACGAATAACTCATCAAGTGGTACAAAAGTTACAGGTTTCAATCCCTACCGATTAATTCAAGCATGGATGTTTGCGCCTGAAGGATTGATCAATTCGTCTCTTTAACATAGGATGCCATGATCAGGGGTATCATACCGCCCAGAATATAATTGCGAGGACAGCGAAGTAATCGTCCCCGTCCCAGTTTCGCCTGACACGCCAGCAGCGATAGTATATCCTTACGGATATAATGAGCACTGCAACAGCACACTCCGACCATGCCTCCACCTTGAAAGGCGTCACTGCCATCTTCGAGATTGGGTAAGCAGAGGTGAACCCAAAGAACGAAATGAAGGCATTTGTAGATAGTTCGAAATTCTAGTTTAACGGGGGAAGCATCTAGTTGATAGAGGGAATATAACCCTTAAAAGGCCCATCATGGACTCGGAGCAGTATTTCATAGCGAGCTCGAGGCGTGTATTGCCATGCGAAAAAACACATGGTCTTCTGTGGCGGCGAGAGGCAGCCATTTCGAAATCGTAACAGGCGTCTCATTGATTGTGAAATCTTCTAGTTAACGTTAGTTAGATATAGAGGTCAAGTTCCACCAACTCCGCCCGGAAAGTTCCCAAAAAGAATGGGGCCAACCTTATTTCATAAACCCCGCGCCGTTCCAACCTGCAAGGCTTTAGCCTGATGAGCTCCAGAAGTGCACCAATAACACCTAGATAAAAAACATACGGTATCATGCAATGTGATACGCCATGCTCAATATTCTCCAGTGATGGGCAGCGCTAGACCATCTATTGTGACTTAAGTGAGTACTTGGGCGGATTTCATATCAGACGAATTCGAATGGATACGATGCTTGCACCATTTTTATCGAGATAAATTAACCTTTTGCCGCTTACTGCTTTCTTTGATAGGGCATCCAGCCTTGAGTCTCAGCTTCCACCAGATTGACAATGAAGCCCAACTGCTCTTGCATGAAGAATTTCCTGCAGACATGGATATTGCCTTCGCTAACTCCGCGCGTTGATTCTAGCTTCAAGAAGCGGGGTTCGCCCTCCTGACAAACAATAATCCGACTGCAAGTCCTTCTTAGAGTAATAGTATTAATAGTAAAGGGGCCGCGAGGAGACACAAGAAAGCAAATATTCCCTTTGGTTCTGACCTTTCGGTAAAATTTGTCCTCGTTCTCCTTATACATCATATTTAAACCTTCGACACACACGAAAATGCTCGAGTCAGCGATCCCTGAACACCTCTTGCAAGAGAGGATAATACCAGCGAGTACGCCGTCAAACTTTAATCCACCATTTCCTGCTTACAGCGCCCGGTTTCCAAAATCATCGAAAGATTTTGTAATGGCAGTCATCGGAGCCCAGTACGCCGCTACCCCTGAAGAGGATGGATCGGCAATGTCAACTCTGTTGGGATTCTTCAAAGATTCGCCGCCGTCTGCAGAGAAAAAACCATCTTTTTGGGAGCTAGCATCGGTGACTGATACGAACGGTGCTTATAACATTGCCGTCATTGCGTACTGGCCAAATAAGGAATCTTATACAGAATGGGGAGCTGCCATTGGGTTCCAGAATTGGTGGGAATCACTGAATCCCGAAGAAGAGAACCACGGTTGGTTCTTGGAGGTATTTTTCCCGACGGTCGATCGGTTTGAAACTGTGTTTTCGGACACCAATGTTATCGAGGGCGCAGCACATATGCGAGAGAGTATTAGTGGTCCCATCAAAGAACATGTATACTGGGGCAGCATGCGAGACCGTCTCCCTGCGGGTCAAACGGATGCCCTGGTTGGAGAGAACGGTCACACAGCGAGGAAGACCACCAACTCTCCTTTGCGACGCCGCACTCGTGTTGCCGGTATGAAGAATCTCGCCATCATTCGCTCAGGTCAGGACTGGTCAAAAACCCACCCTGAGGAGCGAAAGTTGTATCTGGAAACCATGCACCCTGTTCTCATCAAGGGGATGAACTTCCTTCGTGACCAAGGGGATGAGGTCGGATGTTACAGCTGTCGGTTCATGGACATTATTGACAACGTTTCCCATAAGGCTGATAAAGATAGAAGTTTTGGTCTCGCCTTCTTTGATGATCTTAGCTCATTGGAGGGATGGAGCAAGAAGCACCAGACGCATCTTGATATTTTCGGGGGATTCTTGAAGTATGCGAAGTCGTTGAACAATATTATCAGTCTGCGTCTTTTCCATGAAGTACTGGTGCTGAAGCCAGAGCAACAGCTGTTTGAATACATTGGGTGCCATGAAAACTCTGGGATGCTGGTCTCTTTGGCTACCAACTAAGTAGTCTGTTGGCGGAAATGCTCAGGAGAGGTGCACCTTTGGCTAAAGATGAAATAATTGATATATGCGTCCATATCTCATCAACCAATTATTTACCTTCAATCCCTATCATAATGGATGTTAGCTTTCACACTCACTAATGGCAAACATGTAGTGGCCGTAGTCGACCGCAACCCTGAGCTCCGAAAAAGCCTTCTCTTCAAAGATGAAGATGCTCCCGGTTTCTGAGGTGGAGCAAGAACCGGAGACAGCATCAATTCACCACTAGGCTCTCAAAACTCTGAACCATCAGTCGTGGCTGCTGACATCCAGACAACATCCAGCTAAACAAACGAAACTGCCGTTTCGATCTCCTTTCACCAACTTGGAGAATGAAACTGCACTCTGGGGCAAATACCCATGCTTGGGAATTAGCCGTATTGTAACATAAGTCGGAGAGTCCGGCACTCAAACACAAACTCCCCGAGATGGTAGACTAGTCAGGAATGAACCATCCCGTAAGCCAAGGTGGAATCGAAAAGTCTATCGTGATCAGAGTGCGTTCTAACGAAACACTTCTGTAACCAATCATAGCAAGAGAATGTCAGAGATCGATGGCCGATAATTTCCAACAAAATACGAATTCGTTCTCAGCCCCAACTTGCTGACCCCATGCTAGCTAAAATCAAATCGGTCTGACTATGAGATGCAGTGGAGACGTTTTCGGGATCCACTTTTAACTCAAGTTTCGAGTCCCGTGCCAGTCAATTGAGGCGACAGAAAACGTGGGCGGCCCACGCCTCCAAACTCTCCAAACTCCAATCGGATCAGGAACCACTTCGTTATGATCGAACGGGTCCCAGAGGTGGAGCAATTGATGATCAACCAGGCACAGAAACGTGGAACAAGAATGTTTCGCACCGACTAGAAATTTAACTTAAAATATGAATACTCTGTACAGAGCACCGGAATCTAGCAATGCCACTCTGCGGCTCAATGATATGGGCGCCAGAATAGAGGTTGATTACTGTTTGATTAACCAATGCATGGGCATCACAGGGAGAGGTGCCTTAATGACCCCTAAAGTTAATTATGGACGATATGGTAACCCTTATTACCATTTAAATCTCTGATCTCGTGGCGATTTGGCGATTCGTTTTGAACATTGTCCCTCTCCACGTTGTTGTGGGATGCATGGAACGAAGACCTTGCAACATCACCAAACATGTCTCTGATTCATCGTAGTCAAGTGGATGGATGCTGGTGTTGCACCGTCATCGTTGGAGATAATAAACGTGTCGAAGGCAAATTACTTTAACACTGGATCATGTGATCTCGTGGCGATTTGGCGATTTGGCGATTTGGCGATTTGGCGATACGTTTTGAACTCGTAACTCTGCTTGGTCGCCATGATGAATTTAGAATAAGAACAATGGGCTCTTTCTGTGAGACCTCGCTGGAGACTTGGAGCCCTGAAGACATCCGCACCTTTTCTATTCCGGCTCTCGCATTCGGGACAGTTTGACGGAACGAGATATAAAAGGATGGTGGGTTTATATTTTCTGTTTTCATATAGTATAGTTACAGTTTGAAGGTCAAGTTTAGCAAAACTTAATCTATTAAGGAATAAACATTAATTAGTTTGGGTTTTACATTAAATTCGTCCAATTAGATGGAATCGACAAGCTCAAAAGGATCAAAAGTTAAGTGCTCTCTCATAGAACAAAACTCGGCAGGACTCAAAATATACACAAAGAAGAACCTATGCTATAATACTAGCTTTAAAAAGGATTGGCCAGTTATCACCTAAACGTCTTCGAATTCTTCATCATCCTCGTCTGACTCAGCTTCCTTCTTCACTTCTGGTTCGAACTTAACCTTCTTGACAGACGGGGCATCCTCCGCAGCGATATCCGGGGACGCGATGCTGGTCTGAGTTGCACTACTGCCAGAGTCAAATTCCAGTTCCCTCTTCAGCGATCCGTTTGAGAATATAGACGCCTTGTTGCCATTTAGCCCCGCCGGTGTTGTAGTCCCGCTTGGGGTAACTCCAACATCCTCAAATTCATCCTCTTCCTCATCAGATGATTCCTCAGCGGAGCTGACATCTTCTTTGGCCTCTCGCTCCTTTTCACGAGCCATTTCAGCGTAGTATGCCGCGACTTTGTCATCGAGAGCATCGACATCCGGTTTCCTTTCTTCCTTCAGTTCATATTTGACAGCAGATACGTCAACGCTGGTTCCGTTTGTTTCAGTTTTGACAGGAAGATTTCCAGGTTCTGTTTTCACAGTTGAATGTGTATGCCAAACAGGAAGCGCGTTCTGTTTCTCGAGGGCAGCTTTCCGCGCAGCCTCCTCGGCTTGTTCGGTAGCGCTCTTCTCAGCCGATGATGTAAGAGATACTTCCAAGGAAGCAGCATCCGTTTTCGATACCCCTCGAACAGCTGCCTGGCGGTTGCTGGTATAAGCCACCCCCGGTCTTGTCGGGTTCGTGTATTGGTTTCGTACAACATCAACTTTGTGTTCCCAGGCTGTTTCGAAATCATTCTCAGGAACGTCAACAGAATCAATCTGTTTGAGTAGTTTTAACATCGCGTCCAGTTGCGCCATGAGTTTGCTATTTTTTTCATGACCAGTGCGATCCGCGCCTGTTCCCCCTTCGACCTCATCTGCCCTCTCTAGCGTAGCTCCGCATCGATGACACTCGAAACCTTCTGGCCCTATCCGGCTAAGAACCTCAAGCTGAGTCCATTCCGCACCGCATGTTGTGCAAACATATTCCTTCCTCTCTGTAGTCGGTGTATATTGAGCCTTAATGGTCGAGGTGAGGCGGGACACACGATATTTAATAGCATCCACAACGGGATAGAGGGGTATATAGTAATAATCGCGATTCACAGGGCGAGTTTGGCCATCTCGAATTTCCGGTCTTGAATGACTGGATACGGCAAGCTCGATGTTAGCTCTAGGATTATTATTAATAACCAAGCTCTCTGAGAAGAATATCTGTCATACACTGCAAGGAGGCGGTCTTCGCGCAATCGAGCACAAAGCTTTCGCAGATCCTTTTGCTGTATTCCAAGAAGATGCGCGAGATCCTCGGCATGGAGGCTACAAGGAATGTTAGCCAGAGGTTCTGTAAGTCTTCGCGAGATTGAAAGGATCATACACTGAGTGCATGAAAAGAGCATCAATCACGAGAATGTGGCGTGTCTCATAGAAAGCGCGCACTACAGTCCGAATAAGGCTGCTGGCGAGATCCATGCTGCTAATAGAATAAGATCACGCCTCCTCTCCACCGTTCCAGAAGAGCAATGAAAAGTCTACTCAGATGCAGCTCAGTGGCGGCCACGAGGGAATTGGCTGACTCGCTTAAAGGCTCTCTCCGTTCAAGGTCGCTTCGCCCAGCAAAAGACCATGATTATCCAGCTCCAGCAAGGATAAAGCTCTGAGGGAACAAAATCTAGGAGTCGAACCGAGTTGCTATAAACCACGAGATCTGCTCTCGTTGACCAAGAGAGATGATATCTGCTTGGCAAAGATTATATCAACAATGATTATCTGATTGAGAGTTGTTAAGTTGCGATGGAACAAGAGAAGTCGAAGATGAAGTTTCAGAGCAAAGGGCGCTTATCTACTTTTGGTTAGCATTTGATGACTAAGCCAATCCTCGGCGTCCTCAGAAATTTTATGTGTAGAATAAAAAGATGGAATAATCCTTTCAGGTCATTTTGAACAATTAAATAGAATTGGTCTGCTCTATGAGCCGTCTCACTTTCCAATATCCAGCATGGATATGCAACAGTTGCCTCCCGATTCAACTGTTTCAAGCAATGCGGCTCCAAACCAAGCCACACCCAACCAAGTCCCTTCGAAGGATCAGGAACTTTCAGAGTCAAGCCCTGCGGTCAATTCAGAGCGAAACGTGGAATCAAATAACACCAAAGGAGGACGAGGAGATCGCAAGAATAAGAGAAAGGATTTGGGAAGGAAAGCTTGGAGGTATTTTTTCCTTTTCTTTAGTAACAAAGAGTTCCCCCTCTATCGCATATATGATCGTAACTAACTGACCAAGCCGCGAAATTACAGATAAAAGAGCGCGGACCGAAGCCTCTCAGGAGGCGAAACGTCGTAAATTAGAGCAAGGAGAGAAAGCATTGCCTATTTATGCTACAGAATTTTCCAAAGAAGATATCGAAGCGGACAAACGGCGGCCCAAAAGGAAAGTTGCTGTGTTGCTGGGATATTCAGGCAGTGGATATCATGGAATGCAATTGTCGGTTTCAAAACCTCTAATGATTTAATTGGCTCTGTTTTGATCTAACACCTTTTTAATAGGAGCCAAACTGAAAAAACGATTGAAGGTGATCTATTCACAGCTTTTGTAGCCGCCGGCGCAATCTCGAAAGCAAATGCCACAGATCCCAAGAAGTCTTCCCTTGTTCGATGTGCTCGGACAGATAAGGGCGTACACGCTGCCGGCAACGTGGTCTCTCTCAAACTCATCGTCGAAGATTCCGATGTCGTGCAAAAAATCAACAATCATCTTAGCCCGCAAATTAGGGTTTGGGGAATAGAAGTAACCAATAAAAGTTTCAGCAGCTATCAATTATGCGACTCGCGTGTATACGAGTATTTAATACCGACACACTGCTTCCTCCCCCCGCATCCTAGCACATACTTGGGACAGAAGCTAGTTGAGATTGCCGAAATGGAAAACGATCTTGAAGGCTATAACCAACGGCAGGCAGAAGTTGCAACATATTGGGAAAAAGTTGATGAAGAATATATCAAACCTATACTGGAACGAATGCCTGAGGCGACTAGAATGCGTGTTCAGCAAGCCCTGATGGTTAAATCCAACACCAAATCCGCGGACAATTCTGGTTCCCATGGTGAACAAAATCAACCAGATCCAGCCCCCGAAACCAATGATGCACCTGCTAGCAACAATGAGACACTAAATAAGATTAACGAGAATACGGAAACCAAAGACGCTGACCCCGAAGAATTACAGGCAGTGACAAACAATGAAGCGATTCGCGCCATCAGAGCAGCCTATCTAGAAGCAAAAAGAGCATACCGAATACCCAAAGAACGCATAGATCGCATTAACGATGCTCTCGACTTGTACGTCGGCACCAGAAACTTCCACAACTACACTATCCAAAAGTCCTTCCGCGAGGCCTCCGCCAAACGACACATCAAATCCTTCAAAATCTCCCGCGACCCCATAATCATCAACGGGACGGAGTGGCTCAGTCTCAAAGTCCACGGCCAAAGTTTCATGATGCACCAGATCCGCAAGATGGTGGCCATGGTTGCCATGGTGGTGCGCTGTGGTTGCGATATCCAAAGAATACCAGAAACGTACGGAGATCAAAAGATCGCCATCCCAAAAGCCCCCGGACTGGGTCTGCTGCTTGAACGGCCTATTTTCGACTCGTATAATAAGAGGACTGTGGCTGAATATGGCAAGAATCCGATCGACTTCTCCAAGTACGAAAAGGAGATTGAGGAGTTCAAGCAGCGGGAAATCTATGAAAGGATATTTCGTGAAGAAGAGGAGTCCAATTCGTATGTTTTTGCGCCCCCTCTTCTCCCCTTTTTTCATTTACCCGATATTACCCCCCACCACACCAACAAAAATCAGACACTACATGTACACTCGCATTGCAAGGCACTAACCACAGCCCGCCCGCCCCACAGCTTCGGAAACTTCTTCAACCACATCGACACCTTCCCAGAATATGCCTTTCTCTTCGTAAGTTCTGGTGGCATACCCGCATCCAAAGGACCGCCGAACACTCCTGGCGCACAAATGAGCGGAAAGGCGGCATTGAAGGAAGTAGAATCCGAGTCTGAAGATGAGGTCGTTAACGGTGAGGAGGAAGGAGGGTGACGGTGTATGGATGTTTTGACTCCCCACAAGTCAAATACTGATTTTGAGGTGATCAAATAGACGATATAGATAAGGCTGTCTGTATATAAACGTACGTTGACTGCGCGAGAAGAGAATTTCAAACAACATTGCTTTTCCTGTCTATCCATAGCTAGTTAAATAACTAGTTAGTTATACGTGATACATTACTAACAGCCATACTCACAGCAACCCTCAAGTCCTTCCCGCCAGAATCTATGCAACATTTCCAGCATAACTTCCATGTAGCTAGCCATTGTCTCCCCGCCCCATTAGGCCGTCCAATTCTACTCCCTTGCCCCTTTTCCATACGAGCAAACCAACCCTCTACCCCACCACCCCTCCACCAACGCAAAATCCCATCCCAGAAGTTTATTGTACGTGACTACAACTTTAAAAGCTTTAAAGAACATTTTGGTATTGCTTGCATAATACATAAACAGGAGAAAGAGAAATAATTAAAATAATTGCAAAAAGTAAACCGGAATTAAAACAAACTACAGACAAATCGCATCCCAATTAATCAAAATCAGCAGACACATCATGGGGCCCATCAAGAACGCAAAAGTAAAAACACAGAAGTACAGAACACAAGTATAGACAAAAATTGAATAACAGCGGTAGTGGTGGTGTAAAAAGGTGTCAAAAACGACCGCATAATACTCGTTCAATCGCACTTATTGACAGCTCGCAGGTTTCAATCCCAAGGTTACAATCTTCTCTTCGTTTCTGAATAACAGAGGTGAGAAACAGCAGGCAACACAAAAATAAGAGAACCAAAAAGGGAGGGTTTGAAGTTGGGGGAATCCGGAAAATATTTCGAGTCAAGTAAAGAGACCCACTAGGCCTGGTAGTCAAGAGATTTTTAATTAAAAAAAAAAAAAGGCGATGAAGGAGCAACAAATACAAAAAGAAAATAAACAAAATAACAATTAAAAAAAGAAAGCAAGTCAAATAAACTCAGGGCCAGCTTGAGAAGAGAAAAAAGGAGGAGAAATTGAATGTATAGGAGAAAAACCGAGGAACGTGAGATGGCTGGCTGCTCAGAACATCAAAGATCGCGTCTTCTTATGTCGAAACCCATTTTTGCCCACCTCAGGTTGTGAAAGGCTATGATGATGTTTTGCTTTTGGCGCGGGCGCATTCCCCGCCGCAGGCCCTCTGGTCACAGGAGCAGTTGCGCTGGGCCTAGCTGGCAGCGGCCCAGACAGATCCTTCTTCGGCGCCATAGTCCCCACAGAAGCAGCAGCCCCTACACCCCTCTTAGCAGCCTCAATCTTCGCCGCAATCGCCCTCTCTCTCTGAAGGACAATTTCCGTCCATGCTTTCGGTGCTCCAGCAGCATGACCCTGCCCAACAGTCTCAGCTAGAACTTTCATCCACTCTTTTTTCTGCAAGGCACTATCAGCGTAAAAGTCGATGACTTCGCCGTTTGCGAATCGGATGCGGAACCCTTCTTCAACGAACATGTACCCCTCTTCTTCCTCTGCGAAGGCAGATTTACGTCGACGCCCGCCTCTGCCGGAAGTTTCCTTTTGGGTTAATGTCGACTTGTCATCAATGAGTTTGGAGGCCTTTGCCAGATTGATTGTAGCGCGAGGTTGACGGGTGGCTTCATGGTAAGCTATAAGCTTTGAGCCCTGGAGTTTAAAGTAACGTCGGCGCCAATACTAAGTAGAACAGAGTGGTTAGTGGGAAATCCTCCCAGAACAAATAATGAAATATCGAGGAACCATAGAACACAATACCGGACAATCGCCACCCTGCTGTGACAAAAACCCCTGAAACGATCTCGCAGCCGTATGATCAGCTTCTCTCATCTCGCGAATGCAAGCATTCATGCTCTTCGGCATATCATCTTCCGTAGCTCCTTTCGGTTTTGGGATATAAAGGAGCTGAAGCTCCAAATTGCCAATCCGATAAGGAGGGAGATACTGTTGTTGCTGCTTTGGCATAGTCGAACCCGAACCAGATGAATGAACCATGTATCTCTTGTTCTTCGAATTGTTCTTGACTGGGTTACTTGCCCACTCATTGAAACAAGTCACATCCACAGTCAACGGCCTACCGAAAGCCGCTTTCTCGTAGTCACTCAGGGAAACATAGGCACGAGCAAAACTTCCATCACTAGCAACAAGAGGTCGAAGCGCGTTCCATGGATTTTCCTTATCCAGGGCTCTCTCGTCAGTTTTCTGCTGCTTGAGCTGCTGCGCTTCGAACTGCTGTCGTTGTTCCAACTCCTTTCGCTTCTTGGGAGAGGCAAACACGCGACTGAATGTGGATCCCTTAAATTTTGGCGTCTTCCCTGGTGAAGGTATAATCGATGGAGTGAGTTTAGGCTTTAGATCTTCCATTTTCATTTGAAGGGTCAATTGGAACTCAAGCTCGTTTAGAACAACCAATTCGAACTCTTGGCCGATGGGTGCAGATTTGCCAAGTTCAAGACACGATGTTGTCACGCAATGGAGACCGTTATCAAGGGTTAGGGAAAAGTTGATCCGATGATCTGTAAATCAAAATTAGCCAGCTATAAATTTATCAGATAAAATTTACACTACATACCACGAGTTAATGGGAGATCCAAGTCCTTGACTCCAACAACTTTCACAAACAATCGCCCTCTCTCTCCATCCTCACCAAGTTCCTCAGTTGCATTGGCTTCCAATTCCTCAACGGTAGCAAATCCTTCCTTTGCATTGCTCTCTTGACCAGGCAATGGAGGTACAGGGCCAGGAACCGGCTTCCTCGGCACTCCACCTGCTATCTTGATACTCTGGCGGCGAATTTTTCCATTCCACGGTTCAGTCGTCCACGTCTGCTGGCTGGGCTTTCGGGATGAATTTCTAGCCGACTTGGTACCTCTAGGATCAGCTTCCACTTCCGAACCAGTAGGGGAAGTGGCATCGTCCTGGCGGCCGCTTGCCACGATAACTTTGTTATTTTGTCTCATAAAATAACCTCTCTGTCGCGCAGTAACATAATTAGCAATAGTTCCAAAATCTAGGGGGTATCCCTTCCCATGGTGCATGTTTTTCTGGGCCAAATTGACCTGGGTATTGTAATAGGGTTGTTTAGAAAGGAAAGTGTCAAACGCAACCTTTTGGGCCTCAATAACGCGGTCAAATTCTAGGTCAAGTCCAAAACCTAAATCTTCATCGCTTCCGCTGACGGGGATGTCGAGTTTCACAAGAGAGCTTTGCCGTTTCACATTATCCATTGCTACATTTGGAATTAACTGCGGTGGGCTAGTCGAAAGGGGGGCCAATTGGTCAACGCGTTCCGCGCTACTGGACGAATATTCGGTCCCTGGCTCTTCTGGAATTTGTGGCACAGACGACTCCTTTCCACTTACCTTGCGGCGAGTCGCTGCCATTTCCTGGACGCCTGCTGGATTGAGGGAAGGTTTTGTTTTAAAGTTGCCACTGGAAGACCTAACCGTCGCAAGGGGGTCGGGAATGGCTAGGAACTCATCGCTTGGGATCATCTGGTTATCAATTGGATGACGAATTACCGATTCAGGAGTAACAGGATCATTATGGCTGTCGTTTTCATGAACGCTCTTTGGCGCTTGGCTGCCATGAACCTCTGGAGTTTCAGGGCGCTGAAGCGAACCCCGAATCGCCTTCATATCCAGGGCAGGAGCAAGCTTGGCAGCTTCGTCAAGAGTTGAAGAGTGATCAACATAAGAACAACCCAAGTCAAGTTCTGAGCCCTGTTCACCGGAGATACCAGAGACGCCAGAAATGGCGGAAATATCAGAAGGCTCTGCGCTCAATTCAGGCATTGAGTGGTATGGAGTAGCCAGAGCAACAGGCGTACTCTGGTTATCAGATAAGTTTTCCGAGTCATTGAAGGACTGTTGTTGTTCGGGATTGTTAGAAATCTCGGTGTACTCATTCTCATGGCCATGTCGCATTTCATTATCATAATCATCAGCATCGCCTTCATGGTCGTCGTCTACAATCTGAGAATAATACTCAGGAATCTCGTAAATGTCGCCATCCTCAGTTAGTTCCTCCTTGATGACAACCTCTCCATTGTCTGTCTCCAAAGAAGGGATTAGAGCATCAGGATCTAAGGGAGTATGGAACTGGGGACTAGAGCTGCGCAGCGGAGACGAAAAGTCTTCCGTTTCAACACCGTTCTTGTTTCTGATGTTTCGTAAAATGGACTCTCTCGAAATATGTGGCGGAGAGACATGCGCATTGAATGGCGAACTGTCCTGCTTGAGACTTGAAGTATCGCTGAAGGACTGCCTACTCTCATTGTCGCGATCGAGGGTCTTTTCCTTTATTCCGGCACGCCTCATTCTCCGCTCACGCTGATTTTCGGCTTCCGGGGATCGTTCCTTATCCTGGGCCATCATCAGACGAAGTCTATCTTCCAGCGACATGGACGAATGACCGAATCGGCTAATGTCAGCCTTCGAATAAGACGCCGGAGTCATGGGGAGCGGCAAGTCACGGGAACCACTGCTTGTGAGTTCCATTGTCGCAGACGGCCTTCTCGGCCGATCAGGAGTAACTTGAGCATTATTGGAGGGTGGCAGCGGAGGAAGAGGGCGGTGGTCGCTGTTAGAGTCAGCAAACTCAAAAGAGCGCGATTCAAGGACAGATGCCCGTCCCTCATCTGGGCCAGGGCTGCCGAAATCTTCACTGAAGGGGTCATCCTCTCCCTGAAGGTCCTTGCTATTAGATTTATCCGGACTCATAAACCGCCAGTCCTCCGGCAGGACAACAGGCGTTTTCTCTGCATCTTCCAGTGATGCGTCAAAGCTGTCTTCTGTGCCATATAATAAAGAACCGCGATCAAAACTCTCTTCTTCCATATCGGCAGAATCATAGCTCCCCTCCCGAAAGCTGGAGGCAGTTGATGACGGAACCGGAGTGGTCATTTCGTACTCATTAACTTGAGGGGGTGCAGCATCAAAAGTAACGCTTTTAGTCTGACGGTTCATATAACGACGACCAGGAGTTGTTTCCGTAGCTGTATCATCGTTATCAGACCAGATCTCATTGTCAGGATCAAATGGTGCATTCTTATTCCCAAATCGTCCCCCCTTCGTCAGAGATGACTTGCTGGGGGAGGATTGGGGTCTGCTTGGAGAGGTCTGAGATAGTCTGGTGGGAGGAGACATGGCTCCCAAACTTGGGGCAACAGGGGTTGTGTTAGTAGAGTCGTTATTCCCAACATGAGGATGCTGCTTAGGTGGAGAAGATGATTGAGATGGTAGTTGGCGTCTGGCATCCACAGTTCCCGTTTCTTTTGTGTCACCTTTGAATGGCACACTGAGCGGCCTGCCGGTGGCCAGAGGGCGCTGCAAGACCTGGACATGGGCAGGGTCATATTCCTGGTTCTTCTCTCGAGCAACAATGCTGCTATTTTTCACACGGGAGGCTCGTTTTAAATTTTCAATGGAGGATCTTTTGCAGGGAGTCGTCGGAACTTCCGGATCATAAGGACTCTGATTTTCAGATTTCGTTCTCGAAGGAGACCCGCTATCTCTATCCTTCCAAAACAGTCTGGGAGAGTTGGGCGAAGCGAACGAGTTCAACTGCGATGAATCACCATTGGTGATAGGGGCCTAACCATGTTTGTCAACATAAACATAGCGTAAACAATGGCGGGAGGTCAAAGTGGTCATCTACCTTGGTGCGCTGGTCCCAGCTTGGGGAATTTCTGCGTTGAGTGGCAGGGCTCAACTCAGTCAGAGGGAGCTGACCGCTTGCCATCTTGAACGAAGGCTGATTGACACGCGGTTTCTAAGATACCAGAGGACAATGTCTACCAATCTCAGACAGCCTGTATTGACAACTGATTAGCAACCTTGCGTGCAACGCAACTAACCCAAAACAAATAGTCATTTCAGAATCACATACGTACTGTAGTTGAAAGAGTCAGGTGATAACGATATCCTTTCTCCGGGTTGCCAACCCTGGCAAGAGTAGAGTATAGAACACCGAATGGTATTGTTCACGAAAGACAACAACGGCGCGAGCAATTGCTTTGACCGTTTTACCGAGCAGGTGGTTGGAAAAAGGGGGGGTGACGGTGGATACAGCAACGTTCACCTGGCAACGAACGATAGAGACCAAAGCCAACGGCAAACACACAAAGAGTGACGTGAAGCGAACAGACTGGGTGTTGGCAATCAACAGAGAGAACGAGGAGAAGACTGTGTGAGCGAAGTGAGGGAGTGAGGAAAGTAGATGTAGAAGAGGAGGGAGGGGAAGAGGGAGAAGAGTTGGTCTGTGGGGAAGTGGGATGGAAGGGTTGTTGTGGTGTTAGCATGGTTATAATTGCTCAGCATCAGTTGGTTCCGGGAGTTGAAGTGGGTTGATGTTGTTGATATTTCCAAGGTTGAGCCTCGGGAGCCGCAAGTTACGAGTTGACCCGGCAACCAGGTCAGATCGGGTTTAGCGCGCCCGTCTGTAAATTTTCAAGATCCAACTTCGGCAGAGCAAATATTGACGACCGATGGAGTGCGCAGGTATATGAGCTGTATACACTTCCCCTACTCCATACAACAGCAGCAGCAGCAGCAACCATTTCCCAGCTCCATATCAACCCTCCCCATGTCTCCCCTCTCGTCCGTATGTCTGCTGGGCGAGATGGGAGCTGCTGCTTGGGGCAGGACTCCTTCCGTTCGTCTGCTCTGGCAGTCCATCCGCTTCGCTTCTTCCTCCAGGCTCATGCGGCGCAAACCTGCACGTATGGCCCTGTCTCGGGATGTTGCAAAACCGTCCTCCGATCCCTCCCGGCAATTGAAAAAGGCTCCCCCTCAGTCATTTAGAAATAACCCCTTTGGTGGAATGAACCAAACCCGCGCTCGGCTTACCAATCGCCCCGCCAGCAGATCAGAAGCGGAATTGAAAAGATCTTCCTTGGATGGGAATGGAAAGGACTCACTGTACAAGAGCAAGGAAGGGTCGAATTTTAGGGCTCTCAAAATGCAAGTTGTCCTGTCGCCTATACCTTACTCGCGCCGGAACAGGATTAAAGAGAAGATCGCCTCCGTCACAAGCTTTGATCAGTTCCAGCTTCTCCCTCAAGTACGGGACGCTGTCTACAGAAATGCGTTCCCCAACTTGACAGAGGTTAGTCCAACGCCCATCCAGCGGGTAGCCATCCCGGCATTACTTAGACCGCCCATCGAGTCTGAGAAAAATAACACTGCGAAGAAGAAAACAAGTGAGGGGAGTGAAGAAGATATGGAGATGTTCAATTTCGATCAGTTTCTTTTAGCCGCTGAGACTGGGACGGGGAAAACTCTAGCCTATCTCCTCCCTGTCATTAACTGGATTAAACGGGCAGAGATGGTAGAGAAGGAAACGGAGATGATGGAAAATGAGAAAAAACAAAAGGAGGAAGTGGAGAAAAAGAAAGAGAATTTGTTTGAGCTCGATGCTCCCGAGGTGGTTACAAAGGAACACTCAAACGTCGCACGCCCCAGGGCTGTCATTCTTGTCCCAACAGCAGAGCTGGTCGAGCAAGTTGGGAAACTTGCAAAGCAGCTTTCGCATACGGTTAAATACCGCTCCGCTATGATCTCATCAGCCTACACCCCCCGCAGAATTACAAATAACCTCTTCAAGCCCGCCGGCATAGACATCCTAATCTCCACCCCGCATCTCCTCACCTCCATCGCCAGGACAAACCCCTACATCCTCAGCCGCGTCACCCATCTCGTCGTCGACGAGGCAGACTCCCTGTTCGACAAATCTTTCTCCCCCCTAACGTCCTCCATTGTCGAAAGGACCGCCCCTTCCCTGCAACAAATGATCCTCTGCTCTGCCACCATCCCCCGCAGCCTCGACACACTCCTCAAGACGAAATTCCCCAAAATGAAACGCCTGATAACTCCAAACCTCCACGCCATCCCCCGTCGCGTCCAACTAGGCGTCATAGACGTCGACAAAGACCCGTACCGCGGAAACAAAAAGCTAGCCTGCGCCGACATAATCTGGTCCATAGGCAAAGCGGGCGAAACCCGCGACTTCGAAGAAGCCTACCCAGCCTCCCTTTTCCCAGAATCAAAGCATATCATCGTCTTCGTCAACGAGCGTGAGACGACAGAGGAAGTCACCCAGTTCCTGAACGAGAAGGGTATACATGCCGTCGCGCTATCTCGGGATACACCCGATCAACGAAAGGATGAGATCCTCGAGGAATTCACGCATGCCAGACCGCCACCGACGCCCAAGGAGGTCAAGGATGCGCAGCAAAATAAGAAGAGTTGGTTTTCGGATTCTGTGCCCTTTGTTCGGGATCAGGATCCACGGGTACTGGGCCCACAGAAGTGGTTGCGTGATACTAAGGTGCTTGTCACGACGGATCTGGCGTCCAGGGGTATTGACACTGTTGCTGTACGCAATGTTGTGTTGTATGATGTCCCGCATACAACTATTGATTTTATACATCGTTTGGGGAGGACGGGGCGGATGGGGAGGAGAGGGCGGGGGATTGTGTTGGTTAGCAAAAAGGATCGGAAAGATGTGGTTAAGGAGGTTAGAGAGGCGATGTTTATGGGTCAGGCTTTGATATAGATTTTTTGTTTATTTTTATTTTTATTTTTATCCTTTGTATTATTATATCATCCTTTTTTTTTTGCCCCTTTTATACTTCTGTTTGTTGCTTATAGACGATGAATGCCCCGGCCTTTTCGTGCTTTTTGTCAAGGCTACGTAAATGTACGATAGATCAAGACCTAGGTACACTGGATATTACGAATCTACGCTGAAGAATTTGGAGTTATGGGATTTTCAGGGCTGGATTTCGCTGGATTTCGCAAGGGAACAATTATATATTCCATTCGTTCTCGCTTATTGCCCGCCTGGTCAAGAACCCAGGCCACATCGCATAGCATATGGACGGGCACTCCCGTTACGTCTCAGCCTTTGCATCTATCTCTCTTCACATCCTCAATATAGCAAAAGCCATCCAAACACGCGGTCAATCAAACAATCAGTCCCCAAGAAGGCCACACAATAGGGCGCCGCACAAGGCTGGATCGGATTTCAGCCCTTTGCTTGCTTGCTATAACCTACGGAGATATGTAAGTACTGAGAGGAGCGCGACGGGTGTACGGTGATGGAAAGAAAATGGCAGGCAACAAAGGAAGAAGGTGGTTGAGGCGGAGAGAGAGTACGGGGGATGGATACAGGTGTGAGTGAGTGAGGAGGAATCCTCGAAATAATCAAATGTGACTACCTAGGCGTGTGTGTACCCAGGTATATGCAATACTAAGAACGTTGATGGATATGGGGTCAACCTGCGTAAAGGGAGAAAGAAGGGAAATATATATATATATCGAATAGCGACCGCCCTGAAAAGAGTCCACGGGGTCTTGTTTTTACACCTCTCTATGGAATGGCTCCTGGGTTATTTAGCCAGGCAGCACCCATAATACCTTGTTGAGGAGTTTTGTTGAATGCTATAGTCAATTGTGGCTGAAAAGGGGGGAATATACAGATATATATGTGTATGTGCTCATCACCCTTGACATAAAAAAACATATATTTTTGATATTATAGAATTACGATTTAGATATAAAAGCGAGACAGCCATGCCCATAACTATACAACCCAGAAAGGAGACAAAAAGTTATCGAAAGAAAAACCTCCTTCTCGCCTGTCATCCAACCTCCACTCCCAACCCTCCAAACACATGCATACATCGTACATACCTACACCTGAAGATAGCCCTACCCTCCAACAAACCAAACGATGCCCCTCCTCTCCCTCCAGCCACGCCCCAAGAATCGCCGTGTCCGCGACTTCAACGTCAGGGAGCTGCGCCAGCGCCCTCTGCGCCGCGAAGGGCGGAGTGGGGAGCATGTACTATGTGAGCCCGTTAGCAGGTGGGAATGAGGCGCTAGCCGTGCTTGGATGGATGGTCGGGGTGGGAGGGGTTTAGTGGCGAGGGCGGTTGATGAGAATGGGGATGTGATTGGGAGGAAGAGTGAGTGTGTGGATTGTCGTCGGAAGGGGGGATTGAGGTTAGATAGTAAGGTGGAGAGGTGGATAGGGAAGTTTGGGATGGAGGTTAGGGATGGGGGGGAAATAGGGGGATTTTTGGTTTGAGATTCCTCGAGGGAATTAATTATTGGCATGCGTATGGTGGAAGGGAGAGAGAGAGAGAGAGAGAGAGAGAGAGAGAGAGAGGAAATGGAAAGCGTTGTATGGATTGAAATCCAAAGATGCAGAATATAGTACATGCATAAAGAGCACAGATGGTGTTTAATAGATATGATGATGTGATGGTATGAAATAGAATCGAGATTGGCGCCAGGCTCACCCACCACTAGACCCACACCCAACGGGTATCAAACCCCATCCCGCGAAGAAAAATAGAATAGAAAAGAAGAAGAAACAAACTCCAGGACATCCTATCCTAACCAAACTCGACGCCAGAAAGCGAAACCAAATATAAGAAAGAAAACGGAAAATATTCACAGTAATAAGAGCATGCCGGGAAAAAGAAAAAGAATAAAGAAAAAAAAAAAGGATAGCAGTCGGGAAAACAAAATGCTACCAAAATACATACCACATCCCAGGAAGAAATTCCCCTGTCACATAACATCACATCAACATTACCTCATCTCCCTCACCGTCCTCCTTCCCGCCCTCGTCATCCGCCTCTCCTCCCCGGCCCCACCCCCAAACTCACTCCCATCCGTGTCCGTCCTCCCACCTCCACCATACCCATCACCGACACTCTCCGGCGTAGGACTACCCCCAAACCGAGAACCAACCCCCCTATCCCTCCTCTGAACCCTCAACTCCTCCTCCGCCGTCAAAAATCGATGCACAGTCCTGTGATCCATAACGCGTTCCTCCCTATCATGCTTCCCCTCCCGATCCGTCTTCGGCCACCGATACCCATACAGCTTCGAATGCCTCTCGCAGCGCGGACACTCCTTGCGCGTGAAGTAGGAGTCACCCTGCACGAACCAGCCGTGGCAGGTGGAGCAGTCGACCCAGCGGTCGTAGCGTTGGCCGAGGAGTTTAGGCGTTTTAGTATAGTCGCCTGGGATGCGGGGGGTCGGGGTGGTGGGGGAGTTGGGGAGCGGGGAGGGAAGGCGGCGTTTGCGTTTGCGGGGTTGGGTGCGGATGGAGGGGTGGGATTTGGGTTGGGGTTGTGGGCGGCGGGAGAGGTCCTTTTTGACGACGAGCATGGTTGTGTCGTTTAGTTCCCAGGAGTTGGAGAGGTCGGATAAGTCACCGTCGTCGTTGTCTTCGGACACATGTTCTGGAATTCGCGGTGTTTGGGCGGACTGGTTGCATGGTTGATTGGTGTTGGTGGGTTGTGCGGTCTGGTCGACTGAAGTTTGCTCTGGTGGTTCTGTCTTTATCAATGTTGTGATACCGGATATGGAGGTTGGCGCTGTGGAGCTGGAGGTGGTGGAGGATTCATCCATTTCATCCGGGACAGGAGAGGAGCAAGACGCCTGGCCGTTTGTAGCCGTAGGTTGACAAGTATTGCCTGCATCGAGAGGATCAAGTTGGTCGAAGTCTAGCCCTTTTGCCAGCTCCGAGAATTCTTTGGCGGTTGGATCTTTGCAGCTGTTTGCATAGGCGGAAAGGGATTTATCCAGTGTCGACAGGAAAGAGGGCTCACCAGCCACCGGGCTACCGGGAGCAGACATCTCCAACCTCAGATTCGAAGACTTGCGTCCCGCCTTTCTTCTCTTCATCAACGGCGTAGAACACTCCGCAGAGAGAGACGCAGCCTCCGAAGCGCGTTTCCGTTTCTTACCCGACGACAGAGGCGTAGGTACTGTAGACTGATCACGTTCAATGGGATCAGCCGGCGTGGACATCCCACTCTCCGCCCCTGAACACACACCATTCGGATCCCAACCATTCCGCAGAGCAAGCTCGCAGCTATGACAAAGGCATTCACAATTATCCTCGCCAAAGTAATTATCTCCATAGGAAACCGTAATCTCCTCCCCAACCACAATATCCCTCGTAGCAACCACCTCCATGCTCTCAGGACCCCTCATAACCAACCTCCCATTCGCATTGCAGTCGTGATTCGCAAACCTCGCCGGCCCTAAGAAGATAGACGGCGTCTTCTTCCGGCTAGACATCACGATGCTAAAATCCTTCCTCGTCATGTCCAGATCAATCTCCTCTTCTCGCGTCATGGGCACAAGCGTACCTCTCAGACCCTTAATAGTAGTTCCCGACGCAATGAATTTCCTCGCAGAAACCGCCGCCTCGTGCATCGTGATGGTATACCTGTTCGTCGTCATGACTTCAAAGGGGCAATCTGGCAGGTATATGACGATATATTTGCGCAGATGGCGCCGAAACCACTCCTTCTCCCGCTCGGATCTGAGGCGGTCGACGAACTTCTTCAGTCCGGGGAGAGCGAGGAGGGCTTTCTCTGCCTTTGGTGCGTCCTTGCCAACAATTACATCGTGGAGGAGAATGGAGGTCACCTGCTCCTCGAGAATGTCTCTGCAAGGGAAATATTTGGTTCGATTTTTGCGGATTTTGGTCCAGAAGTAGGCCTTTTGAATCATAATATAGCACAAATTTGAAGTGTGTTAGTGGGAATGCGCCATAAGACAGATATCATCATAGATTCATGGGGCAAGTTCTCTCATGCTCAAGGGATGCTAACCCGATCCACCAGTGCGTCTGTGATCACATCGTCGTAGCTGGCAAGCTGAGAAAGCGTTAACTTCTCCTTGCAGTCTGGAGGGGGTGCGCTGGGCGCCATTCGAAAAATCAAGCGAAGTCGAGGGCTCTCCGTGAACAAGAAGGCCAACGAATGACCTTTAGAGCGTATAGTATGCACTATGGGGGTATAGAGAGGTTGCGTACGGGCGGAGGAACAAGGAAGGATCTTCTTCTTCCTTTTAAGAAATATATATGAAATACACGAACAGAGATTATTTGGAACAACCAACGACAGAGAAGCAAATAAGATAGTGATAATTATTACAGGCGAGATAAGATTAACAACGCATGCCACGGTAGAGACGCGATTGCCATCGTGAGCAACACCATGCCATCAACACAAAGGACGGACAGTGGAGGTTACTGATCAAATTCAACCCAATTCGATTCGATGCAGTAATGGGACAAGTGAACAAGTCCGTCTTTTTCCCCCCACCCCGAGTCGCGCCTTTGAGTAGGGAAAAGTGGCCGGTGGAATAAAGAGCCCCAGGCTGGCGGCAACGGCCGTTTAACTAACTCTTCGCGTATGACAGGATTTTATAGTTAACTATCCATATAGTTTCAGTTCCACCAAGTAAGTTATAGGGGTCAGGATTCTCGGCTTATATAAGCGTGCATCTTGGTGCGGCGCGACTAACAGAAAGGGGCGCCCGGCTTCTGATTGGCTGGCTGTCTGCTAGCTGACTAACCGGTGCACGCTGGCCCGGAAGATTAGATTCGCCGGGCCGAGAGATTTGAGGAACGTTGTATTCAATGCAAGATGTAAAAAACGGGAACAGGAAGAAAAGAGGAAGAAGAAGACGAAGAAGCAGGCGGGGCCACACAGAGCCATGCAACCAAGATGATCCAACTAAAGGTAAGAAAAAGAGACTACTACCCTATGCCTCTACACCCTATGCCTCTACGCCCCATCAAGCTAACCTCTGGCCCCCCTCCCAATCCCAATTCCACAGACGCTGCTAAACTGCATCGACAACTCCGGCGCCGCCATCGTCGAATGTGCCAGCGTCCTCAAAATGAAACGCGCCGCTACAATCGGTGAGCGAACGCTCTCCTCGTCCAACCCTACCCTACCCTACCCTTATCCGTTCCCCTCTCAGCTCCTAATAGTCCCCAGGCGATCGCATCATCGTCGTCGTGAAGAAGCAGCGGAACCCCGGCCCGGATATGGGCAGTGCCAGCAGCGGGGTCGTCACCAAGGTCAGACGGGGCGACGTCCTGCACGCTGTCGTGGTCAGGGCGAGGAAGGTGCAGAGACCCGATGGTTCGTGGGTGAAGTTCGATGACAATGCGTGTGTGCTTATCAATAAGTCGGGGGATCCGATTGGGACGAGGCTGAACGGTTAGTTGGTTGCCTGTCTCCTTGGATACGGCTCTTCGTTTTTGACTTTATTTTTAAGTTCTTTGATCTGGTTTTACATGTTGAATTTGGGGTATATTGCCTGATACTGATATTGACCTCATGAACGCGCAGGAATTGTGGGGAAGGAACTACAAAAGAAGGGCTGGTCGAAGATCTTGTCGTTGGCGCCGATGCATCTGTAGAATATTGTATTTGTATAGAAATTATGTGTATTTCTCTTTGGCTGGCTTGGCGCTTTTGATTTCCGGACATAAAGATCCCATCAGATCATATGATAATTCAGTCCGCACCCCTTCCCCTCCCCCAAAAAAAAACAAAAAAAAAAAAATTCTATGGAACAAGACATACATTCAACCTATAAAACGCCCTAACTTCCAGGCTCATGCAAAACCCTGTCCGTCGAATGGGTATAAAATCCAGAATATGGAAAAGTACAGAACAATCAAAATTCCCGCCACAGAATCACGTAAACACCTTACCACAAGTGCAGCACACGTAGTATAGTTTCTACACCCGGAACAACAGTGGTTAGCCATGCTCCTGTCCCTTCAAATCTAATAAGAGAGGGGCAGAATGAATCAAAAGGATCCATTATATTCATACCATTCCCGTCTCCGCCGACCGTTGTTGAGACTGAAAGAACACCGCTTCGTTCTCACCGCAGCTCGGACAAAGTTTGTTTGACCGTGGCAGCTGGGAAAGAAAAAAAGGTTTCGTTAGCCAAAACTGTCGTTTTCCCTTTTGTTCTTCTTGGATTTTGACTGCAAATGCAAATGAATGCAGAATTCTGGAGGTGTCGGAAGGGGAATGGAGTTGGTAAAAACCAATCCATATATTTCCCCCAATCACACCCCATCCCAACTCATTGTTTAGTGTGTTTATTCTTCCTTTCTGGTTTTTCATTGTGTGTTTTGCGTCTCCCCGTTGCAAAACAATCAGAAGTATAGAAGGGACAAAACAAGCTACTCCTCACTCTCCTCTCCGCACAAAGTACACAAGGAAAAACCAACCGTAGGATCCGATCCCACATCCTGAGTCACGCCAGCCGTATCGCCGACTTGGGTATTGAGCTTGTTCTGGAAGACGCAGGGGGAGGTAGCCGGTTCGCCGACGTGGCAGGTTCGGCAGGTGTACATGAGCTTGTTGGAGGCGCGGTCTTCTTTTGGGTAGAGGAGGTTGGAACTGGAGAGGAAGAGTGGTTAGATGTTTGATTTTCCTTCTAAAGGTGCTTAGATATGGGTATGGGGGGGGAAGGGACTGACCATTCACGACAGAAGCGGAAATGGATTTGACCGACGTTCTGGGACTGGTCGTCACCATTGGAGGAGCTAGGGGAAGACATGTTCGAGGTGGGTGGGGGGAGATGGGCGAAATGGGGGAGGTAGGCGGCGGGCGTAGTGAGCGGGAGGGAGGGAGGACGTTATTTGGATGTTGTATGTAGTAGAAAGAGCTGCGAGAATATGTAGAGATCGAGGTTGGGGAGTGAAGATGGATGAGATGGAAGATAATGAGACTGAGTTCTATGGTTTGGAATTGAAGCAAGAACCCACTAAACCCGATTTGAAATGACACCCAATGCCGCCCTGGTAAAAGTAAAAGAGATAAAAGAAGAAAGATAAAATATACAGAACTTAAGTCTTTATGGGTTCCCATTCCAAAAGAAAAAAAAAATAAAACTTGGAATATAATTACAGAGGTAAACTTGTACGGCCCCCAGCTGTGTTCGGCAAGCTCCTTCACTGGCAAAACTGATAGAATCCTGTATCCAAGCTGGGAATTGGCCGTTGCATTATGCTTCTGGAGTGGGATACGGGCATATGCAAACCATGCTGCCAATGGATGCATGTTTTCGTATGGAAAAGTCCTGGTGAGAAACAGCTTGCGCTCCGGGTAGGCTCTACAAGCATAAGAAATAACGGCACGCCATGACAATAGATGGATCGGAACAATCCAGGAAAACCAAATCCAGGTAACCGGTTCTGTATGAGATTATCTATCATATCCTCCGCTAATATAAATCCAAGAAGCAAAAATCCGAAAAAGCAGAAAAATCAATCAAACCATTCCCCACTTCTCCCCCTTCGACCATTCATTCCTCCAACAACTCCTTGGCGCTAGGCCTATCCCTCCAATTCATCTTTGTAATCTGAACAGCCATTGGCTCTGCGATTAGTATGTATTAGCCGGAAACGGGCGGAAGTATCTAAATTGCTGCTTGAGGACTTCTAGGAAGTAATTAGTCCTTGTGGTCGTAAGGGACGGTTTTGGGACGGAAGAGGTTGAAGTTGCCTCAATATATAGATTAAACACGGGTAACTATAGCGCTGGCACCCCAGATAACAATTTATTGGAGGGGGGATGTGCTTGAACAGTGGGCTGAACTCAACTCTGACTTGATCGCGGGGCGCTTAAATCATCGATGATTAAAACGCAGCCCGAGGTGACAACAGTCCCTGATCGATTTGCATAGGCATGAATCCCAAATCCCGCAAAGAAACTCCAATATCTTATACGCCACGATTCGAGCCTACTTCCCACGACTTCGAAACTACGTCATTTTCTCTATACCATATTCTGTCTGTTAACAAGGCTTTGTGAAGAGAGCCATTGGGGAAATTATCAAGAATGGCGTGGCAATCACGCTTCCCGTTGCCACCAAGACGACACACCGGACTCGTCCTGACGCGGCTCTTGGTGAGGCGATGCAGACATAGATTGAGTTACCACAGATATTTGTTCTAGGTAAACACACGAGATTCATGACAAGAGCGCATATTTGGAAAGAGTCTAACCGATGAACCTCGGGGAGTCCACGCACACGTATCCGCCAGACACTCGCGAGCACATTACCGTTGCGTGCTCTAGTGCTGAAGAAACAATCCACGACAAGACATAACCCAACCAAGCATTGAAGGTAGAGAGGGAGGTTGGATGCCTTTGAAACTCCAAAGGCGATGAATATTTTGGTGCGGAAAGAGAGGAGCATTGTATGTCCTGAGTGTGCATTTCGGTTCAACAATGAGATAGGATTATTCTGCTGGCACGATTGAAGTAGATAGTTATCCTTGAATGAAGAGTGCTCGACGATCTACCCAAGCATGGGGCAAGGTGCCACCTGTGTCGCGTCAGATCTGAAGCAACCACCATGGCACACTTCGTGTGTATTTACCCTGCTAGACAGATTCATTCGATCTGTGAGGGTTCTAATGAGAGTCATTTTCAGAGATCAGCGATTCGGGACATCGCGACATGTACTCGGAAGAAGCCTCCAGGTCCAAGTTCCCAAATATTTCACTCGATGCATTCAAAATCTTGGAGAAGTGACAAAGAGAGAGTAACCATCTTTTTGTGCGTCAATGGTACGTGTTTGCCGGAGAAGGTTTTTATCTTGGTCATAGAGATGTCTGGGTACCCAGGTACTTAACCGACTCCGGCCAAGTGGCCTACGCGACCCACCCATCCAGCCTTGGAACTCATGGTTTATTCACTTGAATCTGACAGTGAAAGTGAAAGCAAGATTAGATGTACATACATTCCTTTCGCCAATAACTAATACTTCCTCATCTATAGATGGAATGCCAGCAGTAGCCCCTTCATTGTAACATTGACTGTCTCCCCGCCCTCTCCAACGAACATTTTGACATCATGGTAAGCATGCGCCCAATCTCCCATCTCACCCGCGCCCCCTCATACCACACAACCCCAACCCCCCAACCCTCCACATCCTGCGCGCAGCTGACAACTCCAAACAACAATCCCCCAGATCAACCAATCCGAGACCGGCCTCCCCTCCGGCTGGGAAGTTCGACACTCCAACTCCAAAAACCTCCCATACTACTTCAACCCCATCACCAAGGAATCGAGATGGGAACCCCCCTCCAACACTGACACCGAAAAACTCAAAGAATACATGGCTCAACACCACAGCGGGCTCGCAGAGCGTAATAATGCCGCCACCGAAGCCATCAGCTCGGGTGCGGGCTCGAGCTCAGCCGATGGCAAGATTCGCGCCAGCCATCTCCTAATCAAGCATCAAGGTAGTCGCCGGCCGAGTAGCTGGCGGGAGGCGGAGATTACGCGGTCCAAGGAGGAGGCGCTGGAGATTCTGAGAAGGCATGAAGAGAGCATTCGATCGGGGGAGAAGACGTTGGGGGATATTGCGATGTCGGAATCGGATTGTAGTAGTGCGAGGAAGAGGGGTGATTTGTTAGTGTTTCCCCCCCCCCCCCTCCCTCCATCCCTTTATTTTATTTTATTTTATTTTTGCGCATGGGAAATTGCGGTGACTGATGGATTTGGTTGATTTTTTTTAGGGGATTTTTCGGTCGAGGCGAGATGCAGGCTGAATTCGAAGAAGCTGCGTTTGCTCTTGAACCGGGACAGCTTAGTGGGATTGTGGAGACGGCTTCAGGGGTTCATCTTATTGAGCGGTATGTCCATCCATGCCGTTACATTCCTCTCCCTCCCCCTCTGCTTTGTTAAAATCTCTTTCCTGCGTATCCACGCGCCATGTATTAGGGGCTGTATACTAATGTCGCGATATAGATTGCAGTGAATGTGAATATTTGCTTTTTTGGACAGCAATACCACAAAAAAATGAATGTTGTTTTTTCTTCTCTGTAACTAGGACAATCAGAACAATTGCACAAGTATTAAGTCCTACTACTATGCACAGCTATGTGTTCTTAATTCTGATAACCACTATGATACCCGCATAAGAGTTGCCTGGTGGAACTTGTTGACCAGTCCTCACTTCTCTAATCCACGACCATCTCATTTACCTCTCATCTCAACATTACCTCATTCTCCCTCTCTGTCGGAGGGTGCAGATTTTTAATCGTTGAGAAGTTTACCCACTACAGACAACTAAATAGCCATCCCGACTGGGCACCTTTTTCTTTTACTCTCTCGTCATTCTCCTGGCCTCCACGTGGGGTGCTGGAGCTTCAATAAAGCTACTGAACGTGGTTATCCTGCCGTTTTCTCTCATCAGCAAATACAAAAGAGATCCCCGAACAGTATTGGGAAATGCATGGCTGACCAACATTCCGAAAAGCGTCTTGCTGTGCCGCCGAGGTTTTCTCTATCACGAACCCGGTGCCTGAGATGCTACACGGCACTTTGACCGAGGAGTTTGGAAGTGATCTTCCCCTTTCTAGTGAACACATCTGAGATCCCTTGTCACATTTACCCGACGCAGATGTGAATACCATTACGGGGGTACAACCTGCCAACGTCAGAGGGTTATCAACCGGGAAGAAGGTTACCCAGGTGCCTCCTCCCAGCCCAAGTCCGATCTCTGTCCCGATGTGCCCAGTATGACCTAGGGTATACAGCACCATCACACCCCTCTTCCCGGCCTGGAAGTACATCTTTCAGGAGAAGGGGGCAAAGCAAGCAATCAAGGGTCCACATGTGTGTATAGCGCATAACACTGGTATATTTTACTATTTCCTTTTCCCCTTTCTGTATTCTGTTTTCTGTTGCCTGTGTTCTCTGTTCTGTGCTTTCTTCTCTGCTCATTCTTTTTACGCAGATGCTGATGATGTTTCTGCTGTGAGTTACTTACTGTACAGGGCTTCAAGATAGCTGTCAGTTGTATATTGAAACATGACTGACTCTTGCTGAAAATTTGCCGCAGAGAGATCTGAGAGATGTGGGAAACAGAAAGAAATGTGCACTTTGTTTTGCGGTTTTATATTCTTCAATGTACCCGATATCTTCTGTCCAATACTGAGTTGCTTGTGTTCAAATGTACTACTACTACTACTACTATTACAACAGGCAACAGGGGAGTGACAGACAGTGCTTGCTTGAAAAGACCAACTTAGAATGTATCCTTTATTCTATTTCAAGGAACTGATGTTTTTTGATGCATTTCTCTCCTCTTCCTTTTTCCCCATCCCCCTCCTTTTCTTCAGTGCGGGCTTTCACAGCGCGACAAATGCTGATGCTGGTGTTATTGATATCCTACCGCAGATGTTCATTCCATGACTTTCCTTTTTCTATGATTATCTACAGTCCGGTTTCAGCAGTGAGAAAGGACACGACCACGACCTCCTTGGTTTTTTGCTATATTCTTTAAATAGCGGATTCCGGTGATGATGACATCTTTCCGTCCTTTTGCTTCTCTCTTACCATATAGGATAGGGGCACTCTCTATCTTGGTGGTTCATGGTATCCCCAACACATTGGTTGTTCCCCTTAAACGATATTCTTGCTCCCCGGCAACGCCCCTTTTGTCTGCTGCATTTTTTTTTCTTTTTTCGAGTGTAATATTGCTTCACGTCGCCCAGAAAGGTCTCGAAAGCTCACCACGCGAAATCCCCCCCTCGAGAATCTGTTGCGCTCTGATTTTACAAATCTCTACTCTCCTTTCCTAAAAACCCAAACAAACGGAATATACAGTCCAATCTCTTCAAAGGTATCTATTATCACTTCCCCGTACCAACGCTCCAAGCCTTTCTCCTCACCTAAATCTTACACCTCCTGACCCCTGACCCCTGACCCCTAACAGCCATCACCAACCCACCACCCTCTCGCCCACAATGATAGAAACCCCAGGTCCCTACCTCTTCTACAAACACAAACACCCCCTCCCCAAACATCTCCTCTCCGTCATGCCCGCCCCATACCGACACGCCGCGATAGAAGCTGAAAGAACCGGCGGAGCAAGCTTCAGCCGCTTCCGCTTCCTCCAAAGCATCTTCGGTGAGCATTACTACTACACCGCCTCCCCAAATGACCTGGAATCCTTCAATAAACACAAGACCTCCGTACACCGCCTCCTCAACTGGAAGGTTCAGCGTCTACCCAAATATTCCGTCTATAATGCCCCCATCCTCGGCCTACGAAAGTACGAAAACGAATTCCTGTTCGGGGCAGCGAAGATTCCGCGCTTCGTGGTGAATTTGCGCTTTAATCAAAGTGCGTATGAGGAGTTTACGGCTCAGTTTGAGGCGGCGAAACATCGGTTTTTGAACGGGACTTATATGACGTGGTTAAATGCTAAAAAGGTCATGGATAATCTGATGGCGAATCCATACTCGTTAATGCCTGTGCCAGAGAAGCTGATGGTTCGGGAGTGGTGGGACAAATTTGCGGAGGACGTGGGGCAGTGGGAGGAGGAGCTTGACGCGCTGGTATTACCAAAGTGGGAGTTTGTTGTGCAGAAGTTGCAGGCCCTTGAAGAGGAAGCTGTGGATTTTGAGGGGGAGTGGGATCTATGGTGCTGAAGGGGTTAATCTCCTCCTCTGCCACCCTTTTTTGTGTGTGTGTGTGTGTGTGCTTTTGTTTCTTGTCGTCTCTTTCTGGAACTGGTTACGGGAGGAAGGATAGTGTGAAGCTTGATTTGATTTACGCTTCAGTCAAGCGATCTTTGTCCCGCCTTTGACCGTGGTTATTACGGAGGGGTTTTCACTGGCGTTTTCACTTTCGATTGAGATACCCCCATCAGGAAGAGGCATGCATGCGTGATATATGGAGTTCTAGGGAGATAACCATTTGGCAAACAGCATCAATCAAGCCAGGGGTTTTCAGTGGAACATGTGGCGTGTGTGCTGTACAAACTTCAGATGTGGATGAACTAGCTCGCTGCTGTTCTTGATAAATAAATGAATTAGTGAAATGATAACCTTTGGCTGAAAGAAATACAGTTTAAACACAGAGTACTGGATTTATATTCTTCTTTGTTCTTCCTGATGTCTGCTTTATCGAATTCCCCTTAAAACTGTCCCAGATCTACAGTTGCACGGACAGTGACGTCTAAGGTGTTTTTTTTTTTTTTCCTTTCGGGTGTTTCCAGGGGTTTGCATCGCCTTTGCTCAAACCCAAGCAGAAGACTGAAAACTGTCATCTACGGAAGAGACAGAATGAAATTTTCCCCATGAGAGAATTTCGACACACTTTTTTACTGGAGAGGTGAGGTGTCCGTATTTTAATGCATGGAACGTAGAGGGGATGAAATGGGAACTACGTTGGTCGTAGATCTGCGATTGTAGATTTGTTCATAAAAAGAGGATCTCGAGAAACCACAAACCCGTAGTTCAGGTCAGATGTTCATTTCCCCCACCCCAAAACTCCCTCTCCTTTTCGTATTTAGGATTCAGAAAGGCACAAAACAAAACATGGGATATAATTCCTACTTCTTCCTTCAGAAAATTAGGAAACAGAAACAACGCAAAATGTGATTACACGCCCGAAGAGGGGAAGGGGGAAAGCCTCCCCATCGAAGATGAATAAAAAATAAGAAAAATGTGTGGGCATCTGCGGAAAAGAAGATGGTGGGAATTTAGCCAGTTATAAATACAAACAAAATCCCAAGTGTTGCAACAAGCGTGCAATACCTCTGGAAGGAGTAACAACAACAAAAAGAAAGAATGCTAACAATATAACACACAAAACGGAGGGCGTAAATGCAAGAATCAACTTTCCTTTTTTACTAGTCGATCCCATTAATGCTCATGGTAAGCCGATCCAATCTCGCCGTAATTGCATCGATGACGGCAGATCTGCGAAGGCTCGAAATTAGTCTATGATGCTATAAGCGTGTATATTTGTTTCAGTAACTCACTCTCGTTCAACCATGTTCATTGCATCAACGATTTTAGCCCGTTGAAGACGCTGCGGGATCTTGGGGTGATGACTGATGGGGGGACCTGGTGTTGAGGGTGCGTGGGGCGTTGATGATGCTGTTTCTTCCGAGATACGGGATACCTCTGCAAGCAGATTTCTGGCGAGGGATTGGGCCTTTTTAGGTGGACATGTTAAATACAATTCGGAACTGAAAATAAAACCCAAGGGAGGAGGAAAGGGAGGAAATGGACAAAATATTAGTTACAATTTGCATCCTATGGGCCAATTCACCAACCCTCTCCGTATCCCCATCTCCCTCTCCGTCTCTCTCTTTCTCACCGAGGAAAACAGAAAGCCTATCAACCTCGCCAATCCACCCCTTTTCCTTATCACTCATCGGCCTGCCGCCCGACTTCGCCAACTTGCTCCGAATACTATTATACCGTTCCACCAGCTGCTTCTGTCTAGATTCTGCCGCAGCCATCCTGAAACTTAGAGGGTGCTCATTTCGCTCAAGGGTTTTCTCGATGTGGCTTTGATCCTGACCTTGACTTTCATTCTGACCGTGACCAATGCCATCGGATATATTGTTGATCCTCTCCGCAATTTCCGCGAGTTGGCTTAATTGGTCTTGCATCTCACCTTGTAACCGCTCGCAACGGCGAAAGAGATCCGACGCAGCTCGCTCCAGGGAACTGGTATGGGCGCTGAGAACTCTGTGTGCGGCGGTAATGAGGTCCAGCGTCGATGGGGAGAGTCGGACTGGCTCTTTGAGGGTGTGTCTGTGGCCGTGCGCGACGTTCTTCTCAATAAAGGAGGCAAGGGGAGATGGGGTGTAGAAGATAGATGGTGGCTGATAGGCGATGCGACGGTGGGGGATGAGCAATGGCTGTTGGGAGGAATCTGTTTCGAAGGGGGGTAGTTCGTTCGCTAATGGGAAATCGGAGTAGAATGGTGAATCGAGGACCACGGCGTGAATGCGGGAAGTGGTGTGTGCTAGTAATAGGTAGCCTAGGTCATAGTCGTAGAGAACTAGGCAGTTTGGGAGATGTTCGGGTTCGGATGAAGGAGTAGCCAGGGATTCCTGGTCGGTCACTTGGATTATTTGTTCTCGTAGTGTCATCGATCCGTCACAAAGAACCTTGATGCGGAATTCAGAGCCGGCGGGGTCGGTTGACTGAAATTCTGCTTCGAGTCTCTCGGCCCAAGAGGATAAAGAGAGGAAAGTAACATTGTTCGCAGAAGTAATAAAGAAGTTATACCGAGAGTGGGCATCTTCGGTAAACAGTGGCCAGGACTTTGGATTTTGGTACTTCTCCTTAACTGTCTCCAAGGACTCTAATAATAATAGCTCTTGTGGATAAGACACTGGAGTGGTAAATGTCCCTTTGTGTGATTTGGGAAGCCATTGACCTTCCACTCCATCCAACTCAAGGCAAATATGGACCCTACCCGTGGCAGTGGCAAGGCATATAACTGTTGCTGACACACCCTCCTGAGGAGTCTTCTCTGCTTGATAGGCCTCTTCCCCGGACATCAAATCTTCGAAGTCCGTCTTTGCTGCAATAACCAAAATATCCGTGAGATCTAGCTCATCTAGATCATCACCAAGTTCAAAATGAAACGGCCCTTGCAATCGTGGGATGGCACTGAAGTTCGCTGGACGAGAACGAATCTCAGACATTGATGAAATCCCAAAATCTTCAGGGAGAGGCAGAGGTTCTTGGTTGTCAATTTCTTGAAGCCAATCATATTGCTGTTGGGCAGCTGTATACTCCTCCTTAGATTCAGACGGGTCATTTTGAAAGCTTGTCAGTCTATGAACAATAGACGACGTCAAGGATGGAATAGCAACAGAAGGAACTTGCCACTTTGAGGGCAGTAGTGGACACAACGCATAGACATCCCCTGGTCGCATGGCAACCCACAACGTCATTGGAGCCCATGCATCTTCGTCCTCGTAGCCATGGCCACCAAAGCAAGCCGATGCAACCTCCATATCAAATAAATCCGCAGAGAAGCCCTTGTTGTGACCAAATCCAGATGGCGCAAAGTCCTCCTCTATGGATGTCCCATCCACCAGCTTTTTCAGATCAACAGCAATCGTTGGCCTGTCAAATGACCAATGGTTATTCCTATCAATCTCCCATACACGGACTGCTGCATCTTGGGTAACTGTGATGAGGCATCCGCCTTGATTGTCGCATATCCCCAACGGGTGCCACAGGGCAGATATCACGGGAGATTCAGGAATAACGTGCGTTGTAGGGCCTAATTGGAATGTCTTTAGCCTCAGTGGGGAGTAATCTGGACCTGAGAGGTGGGAGGGATCTGGCAAGACGGCGATATGGACGGTATGAGGCGTGATGATGGCGAGGAAGCTTCCATTTGGAGAGATGATTAGTTGCGTTATCTGCCCATACACTGGTATAGCAAGAACCTGTAACAAAGATTAGTGAAAGACCCCTAAAATACGTAGGTATAGCTTATCCGTTGATCTTCTCACTCTATAAAATGACGTCCGCTGCTTGTCCACAGTTTGCCCGGGGGAGTTCGCGTCCTCCGCCAACGGTGAGCTCCTCTCGCTCTCCTGGGCCCGGGACGTCTCATTTCTTTTCCGCCGCACTTCAGCCTGCCATTCGTTCTTCAACGTAGAGAGATCTGACCACCGAATCTGGTTATCCACGACCGCGAAGATCTCAGTCCCTCTTCGCGCCTGAGTCCTCTTGGGTCCTACGTAAGGCTGATGGCGCGTGTCGTTGGCAGCCTTGCTTTTGGCAATGGGGCTTGCGTGCAAGGAAGGTTCTGATCCTGAGCTTAAAAAAAAGCTGGATCCGGGAGAGGGTCTGGAAAGCCAGGGAGGAGAGTAGTCGATGATTTTCGGCATGGCTGCGGGCGGGGGTTGTTGCACCTTGCCCGAGGAGGTTCGTATATATACAGAGCAGCTTGGTACGACGAATAGCGCCAGGTGATTATGTAGTTAGTTATAGGATTGAGCACGGGAGCAAGAATAATAGGTTCCACTCCCCAGCTACTGTAGTTGTTGTTATTTATGAAGCTATACTCGTCCGTACCTGGGTAGCGCCTCGAAAGTCAGAAGTTTTGTCTGCTAGGTTTATTTTCTGTAGTTATTTAAATAGTTGGAGCGCCAAGACATGAGCTCAGTCCTTTCAAAGATCTTCAACTTCGACTTATCTCAATCCAAACTCGACCGGCGCAACCTCTGATCAAAGAGCATCACAATCTCGTATACGCTTTATACGGCAGCTATATACATATACCCACAGTATTCAGACATAATGCGACCCACTATTGAGAGACTGGATAAGCCCAGCGCTTACTATTTATCGAAGGTATGCCTTTTCCATCCTTTGTTCTCCGCTCCATGTACACCTTTTATGGAGTATTTTTCTAATCGAAGATCTTGGTTTTGGCAGAATAAACGGAGAAAGTTTGGTGATCGGGATGGAACCCAAGAGGACCCCGTTGACCCCTTGAAGGATGCTACTACGCTCTATGTTGGGAATCTGTATGTCTGTCTATTTACCCTTCGATTCTAGCTGGCAATATGGGTTCTGCTCAAACAGTCGCTTAACACATATGCAACAGCTCATTCTACACGACGGAGGAACAGATACACGAGCTTTTCGCCAAGTATGTGGGATAGATTCTTATTCACAATCGGCAATGGGCCCCCGCGAACTCTTTAACTTGGGCATTATTAACGATGAAAATAATGCTAGATGCGGAGAGATCAAACGGCTAGTCATGGGCCTTGATCGATTTGCGAAAACACCCTGCGGCTTCTGCTTCGTAGAATACTATACTCACCAAGATGCGCTGGACTGCATGAAATATATTGGGGGTACTAAACTGGATGAGCGGATAATTCGGACAGATCTGGACCCTGGGTTCCAGGAAGGGCGGCAGTATGGGTAAGTTTAATGCGCTTGGGAAAAGTTCAAAGAATGGGATTTTTTATTTACCTAAAGTATACTGTTTGACTAACTAATGTTTCACAGACGGGGTAAATCTGGTGGCCAGGTTCGGGATGAGTACAGAGATGAATACGATCCAGGACGCGGGGGTTATGGCCGCGCCATTGCTGACGAGCGGAGAAAGGAAGAAGAGGAGTACGGGAAAGGTAGGTAAGATATTACCTCTAAGTAACTTCGTAAGGATTAGGCGCAGGTCAGGTGTTATTTTAAAATGAGATTGTTATTCTACATTACACAATTGGAAAGAAATTTTTACTATCAACTATCCAAATGGCGAATATACAAGGAAGGCCGGTTCATTTGCCGCGAGGTACTATCATCATTCTCGCCATCATTTTTCGGGATCCCAGGATTTCAGCACCGCATTCTCAACCTGTCGCAGCCACCAGATATGGATCCGGGGATCATCTGTCAACTCTGGATGGAAACTAGTACCAAAAACATTACCCTGCTTCACAGCAACAATATCCCCAGCATCCGCCTCAGCCTCGATATCCACCCCCGCCCCAGTAAGCCTGGTCGCCCTACCCGGTAGTTTCGCCAGCACGTCGACGTGATTGCTCATCACTTTCAGTGCAGCTGGATCCTCCGTCTGCCGCGATGGTGCAACTACCGTCCCCTCCCTCCTCTGCTCTTCAACCTGGACACCGTCTTCAAACGAAAGAACTTTCTCTACCACGGGTGCGCGGATAAATACTCCCATGAAGCTGGCTGGGGAGGATCCGTTACGGGCCTCCTGGCATACTTCGGACAAAAACGGCAAATTCACCGGTGCCTGAAAACTCTCCGCCTGTCTACCGAAATGGTTCCTGTTTACGCGCACGTCAAGACCACCAATGAGCTCCTGGCCACCCTTCTTTGTCCGATTTGCCGACTCCGCAAGTAAAATTAGTCCCGCGCATGTGCCCCATGTCGGTCGACGGTGGAGCCTAATTGCAATAGAAAAAAAAATATATCTTCTGTTAGTTTTGACCAATTGCAGATAATACCACCAACCAATTTTCTGTAAGAACGAAATGAACCGAAACTCACTTGACAAAGTCCCTCAGCGGATCGAGTAATTGAGACCTAGCAGCAACCAGTGAGATGGTCGTGCTCTCTCCACCAGGGATAATTAAGCCGTCGCAACTGTCCAGCTGTGCTGGTGTACGAACTTCAATAAATTTCCATTTTTTAGGGTCGTCGGGCGATAGGGTTGTTGCGGCTTTGTGTAGGAGTTTTAGATGCTCGTAGAATGCGCCTTGGAGGGCCAGAACTCCCACGGTAAGTGTCATTGCATTGTTGTATGCCGTGAGTCAAACATCCCATGGAGCGGGAAGGTTTTTATTTGGGGAGAATGACTGCGCCAGGCGTTTCTGCCACCGCCTTCGGATCAGATAAGATCTCTCGGCAGATCGGATTAACTAGATAAGGCGCAGGTCGCTTTTTCACAGCATTTCAACGTCAGACAACAAAAGCGTTGCGATAGCATACAGCTATCTATCTAGAGATGCACTCTTTAGGTAGAGGTTGCATTTAAATATACGCATGTTTTGAAATCTGGCTGACAGTTCCTGGGGGTTGATCTTCTCCAAAATGCATGCAGGTCTGATTTTGTTCTGATCTTCGCAATGGCAGCTCTATCTTGCGCTTGCAAATCTTCCGTCCTATAATACTCTATTTATATATATATATATATATATTGATTTCTCTTAACCACCATGACTTTATTACCATCTACACTCCCATCTCCTTCACCTCCCCCGACTCTAACAAGATGGTACATTGACACCCGACCCCTAACGGCTTCTACCCAATCCCTCCCCCTCCTGACCACCCTCCAAGAATCAGACCAAACAACCATAAAGGCCTTCCACCACCTCTCAGACCGCCATATGTCCCTCGCCTCCTATCTGCTAAAATATCTCTTCATCCACCGTACATGTCATGTCCCCTGGAATCAAATCATTATCAGCCGCACTCCAGCCCCGCATAAAAGACCATGCTATGTACCCTTGGAGCAGCAGCATCAACAACAACAACAGTGGTCATCAGGAGGTGATAGTAAATATAAAAACACCCCAACCGGGACCCCAACCAACATCGAATTCAACGTCAGCCACCAAACCTCCCTCATTGCATTGGCAGGATGCGTCATACCCACCCCACCCAGTGATGAAAATACGATAGCTCAACCCTGCTTCAAAAGCGTAAACAACAAAACTAACACAGCCAACAACACCCCCCAAATCGGCATCGACATAACCTGCACGAATGACCCATCCCGCCGTAACCGCGGGCCCCCAAAGACCAAAGCCGAACTGCACGCCTTCATCGATATTTTCTCCGAGATCTTTTCGCAGAACGAATTGGATGCCATGAAGGCGGATCCTAGAAGTAGCAGCAGCAACATGAGCCTGCAAGACTACATCACTAGCAGTCTCCGCCTCTTCTACACCTACTGGGCCCTAAAGGAAGCCTATATAAAAATGACCGGCGAAGCCCTCCTGGCCCCCTGGCTGCGCGATCTGGAATTCAGGAACGTAGTTGTTCCGACTCCCCCGGCCAAACCTCCGCCAACGACTTCAACCTCAACCGCCTCGTTGGCCTGGGGCGTACCTGAGACCGGTGTCAGGGCCGTCATGTATGGTCAGGAGGTGCCTGAGGTGCGTTTGGAGGTTGTGGCGTGTGAGGAGGAGTATATTGTTGCGACGGCGGGGAGGGGGGGTGGATTTGGGAATTGTGTGGGTAGAGAGGAGGATGGGGGAGGGATGGGGAAGGTGAGGGCGAGGTGGGAGGAGTTTGTTCGTGTGGATGTTGAGAGGGATGTTGGGCCGTGTGCAAGGGGGGAGTGTGGGTGTTTATATTGAGGGGGTTGGTGATGTCGGTTCATAGACGAACGAAGAGGGAGAGGGGGGGGAGTTTCGGGGGTTGATGGTTAGATGGCCTTCTTACATATGACGACTTCTGCACCTTATTTGTCTTGATGGGTAGTGTATCCGCGAAGATATAACCACACACTTTTGGCGCAACAGATACATATAAATTCGTTATTAATACCTATTTGATTCCTATTTTCAGAAACTCCCAACTTAATTGTGGTCAGATCTGGCCTATTGAGAGCATTGAAAGCATTAATAATAAGTATATGATTGACAATGCCATCCCTGTATTTAATTAGTCGTTAATATACCCATATTGTCCATCTATCAGTCTATTCATGGTATCAATGAATGTACATACATGCAGATGGAAGCACAGCCTGGGACTGAAAATCAACCGCTCAAACAGGATGGGAAGGGGAATAAAAAGGCAAGAAGACTAAAAACGAGGGCAACCCCAGAACGCACTGGAAATGCATACGTATATAGCAACAAGGTGAATGTGTGATGTTGGGAAGAGAAACAACAAATGATTAAAGTAGGAACCAGAAATTGAAAATATGGGGAAATTGGGGTATCTCCCGTTCCATGAGTTAAATGAACAACCAAAAGGTAGAAGGATTTCGAACACACATTAGTGGGAGGATGGTATTAGGGGGGAATTTTTGATATAGTGTGAAGAAGGATAAAAGGGTGTAAGGGGCGCAAGCATTGAGATGAGACGCATGATCGAGGGTATGAGAAGGAAGAAGGGGAAGAGGGGAATGAAAAAGGAGGAGATATGAAGATGAACCGCCTCTTTTAGCGGCTCTGTTTCAGCGACAGGGCCAACGCCAGGTTAATATTTTCGTCTCCTCTTGCGCCGGGTGGTAGAGATAGAAGGTATAGTGAGCAATTGATTTCCACTCTCAACCCCGGGGATCCACGTTGCATATATAACGTTTTTCTCCATTTCGTACGTAAGGAAAGAAGGGGGAAAGGGAGAAAAAGGAAAACAAAACACCATCTATTCGTCTGGAGGTGCTGGTATCAATAAGAAACGATGGCATTATACAATCATAACTGCTATGTCATGTCAATGCAAGCGGGTTTATTCGTCCGAAATGTCTCCTTTTTCCTTCCTCCCCTTAACTCCGGTCCCGCTGAAAGAAGGTCCACATGGTGAGAGTGTGAAATATATAATGGATTCGCATAGAAAGGAATAAATCTAGGTTGGCCACTTCTCCCATTTGAATATCATTCTAAGTCTCAATGGCAGTCGAGGAAGCATGGGCCGGCATCTCGATAGGGGCGGCAGAAGACGACGATGAACTGTCTACAAGCCGCGTTTGTCTAGTCTTGTACATCTCTTGGATAACCTCAAGCATTGAATCGCGGGTTTTCTTCGTTAGTTCGTCTACATCGCTTGATTGTAGGTTTTTCGTGCTGATTGGTGGGAGGACTTGAATTCCAGCCCGAGGAGACAAGAGCAACATTAGCCAAATATGCTCAAATTGAAGGAAAGGAGAAAACACGAAAACACGTCCAGGATGAGATTTCAAAGACAAGAAAAAGGGGAATGTGAAAAGGAGGAAGATGAAAAAGAAACAGAGAAAAATACACACCTTTAACACGAATCTCCCCAGCCTCAAACCGCATTTTCTTCACATCCAACACATGCGCATAATTCTCCGCCACAATTGGCACAATATCCACCCCAGCCTTAACCGCCAAATGAAACGCCCCTTTCTTAAAGGGCAACAGAATCGGCTGATCCGAATAGCTCCTCGTCCCCTCCGGGAAGATAAAAACACTCTGCCTCTCGCTGCGCATATGCTCCGCCGCACCATCAAACGCCTTCAATGCCGTCTCCCTGTTCGCCCGATCGATAAACACGGTGCCAGACATCGTCATAAACCATCCCAAAACCGGCACGTGCGACAGCGACTTCTTGGCCGTGACACTGCAATACTGCGGGAAAATGGCCCCGAGCAACAACACATCCAGTTCCGTCTGGTGATTGGAGATGAACACCGCCGGCCGGGTCTTGAGGTACTCCGCGCCGGAGACGATCTCGAAGCGCGAGCCGGTGCACAGCCGCATAGTCCACTTGAAGGCGCAGGCGACGGTCCATTGCGACAGGCCGCCGTAGCCGGTTAGGCGGAGGAGGAAGGAGGCGACGACGCCATAGGAGGCGCAGGCGATGAGACAAGCGTAGGATGCTAGGCAGCGGGCGAAGAAGCCGGCGCGCGGGACTTTGAGCGAGAGGCCGAAGAGGGAGACGGTAACGGCGATGTAGGAGGTGATACCGGTCAGGACGTAGGAGAGGATTGCCATGGTTTTGTGGGGTTTTTATTTTTGAGATTTCGGATTTTGGATTGGGGAGGGGTAGGATGGGGGTTGGAGGTGTAAATAGTCAGTTCTTTGCTGTGTGGTGCGATGCGTGTTGGTGGTCATTGGACGCATTTTTTTTTGTGTGTGGGGATATTTTGAACCTGCGTGACGTGCATGTGGGGTCTTGGGGGAACGAACCCGGCTCATGATCAATATATGGGAAAAGAGGAAAGAAAATAAATATACTCTAACTAACTGGACAGCATGGAAAGAAAGCACCGATTGCTCTGAGAACTATCTCCGTATTTACAGTGAGAATAATCTACTCCGTCTCCCAATGATTTGTCTCCGTACATGCAAATTCCATCCGTCACGATCACACTTAGCTTGCCCAACCGGCCATCCTCCGACCGGGCGCTTCATCCTGTAAGAGTGCTGCTCCCTTTACTTTCCGGAGGGCCGAAGTAATACCTGGGGATCATCAGTACTTAAAAACTGGGGGGTTTGTGAGTCTCCCCCTATATACAAATCCATACGTGAGAGGTAAGTGGTTCACGGAGTGATACCTATTAGTTAGGAAAGAAGAAGAGGAGGAGGAGGAGGAGGAGAAAAGAGGCATTAGGTATTTTAAATTAATAGTTCAAATATGATTAATTCTTCTATTAAGCACACTCGCCCTCCCCAGTTTTGTGTAGTTCACTCAGTATCTCTTCGATTTCTCTAGGGTCACAAATGGCCCACACCCCTCCACCCCGCGCGGGAACCTTGCCCACCTCCTTTCCCACGAGGTTTCTCCCAACTTTGCCAGGTCCAATGCCAATCCACCGTTTCACCCCCCGTTCTTGATCAAGGTATCTGATGCTATCCCACCACCTCACAGTCTCCACACACTGTCGCGAGAGCAGGTGCTTCAGGTTTTCCTTCGACTGGAAGGGTACACCAGACACGTTTGAGACGCAGGGTATGAGAGAAGGTGAAAAATGGACGTCCACCTGTTCAAGGGCCTGCCGCATGTAATCGGCCGCGGGTTTCATGACCGGGCTATGAAAGGGGCTGTCACTCCGCAGTCGCACGGCCCTGGGATCATGTCCCGAAAACTGCCGAAGCTGGACCAGCAGATATTTGATCCGCTCAATGCTCCCGCTGAGCACGATTTGGTTTTTCGAGTTGATATTCGCTATCGAAACTTGCTGGATCGGCGGTATCCCGTATCGTGAATCGTCATTCGAGCCCTGCGAGCCATGATCCACGAATTCGCGAATCGTCGTAATCAAGTCGGACAAGCGATCCGGCTCGCAGACCAGCGCGACCATCCCATATGTTTCCCCGGTAAGTGACCTTGCGTTGGCGGTGCACTGGGCCATTATATCTGCCCTGCGCCGGACCATTTTGAGCGCCGGCTCGTAGTCGAGGTAACCCCCCGCCACCAGAGCAGCGTACTCGCCCAGGCTGTGGCCCAGGGTCACATCGATGCGCGATGCGGTGTCAAACCCAAAATGCTCATTCAGTACACGGAGGATCATTATCGACATGGCCATTATGGCAGGTTGGGAATTCTCCGTCCGGTTCAGTTTGGAGTTCGGCCCGTGCGATATTATGGTTGAGAGGCGGAAGTCTAGGATGCTATCCATCTCCTCCAGGAATGGTTTGACGGTGGATGGGAACGCCTCAAGCCAGGTGTTTGTCATCCCGACACGCTGGACGCCATGGCCTATTGAGACTCAGCAGTGATAAGAGAAGGCGGGCATGAATGCAAACCAGGAAAGAAAAGCGCCGTGTGGAGAGGCACAGGCACTTTTGTTGATGAAGAGCCAGCGGGGGGGTTAGATATGATCATAGCATCAACCCTCTCAGCCCTATCAGCCCGCGCTGGGCGATGGCAGGAGGACGAAGGGCGATGGTGGCATCTTGGAAGCTTTGCCTGGCAGCAGCGTGTGGCTAGTCGGAGTGGAGTGCGGAACGAGGACACCATGAATAAGATATGCGACGTGGTAGATGGACCATCGGATTGATTGATGAGGGATGTCTCCTGCAAAACACCTTCAGTATTTGCATGCGCTCGCAGATGGGGGATTGTATAGTTAATTAATGGGAACATTTGTTAGCGAGAGCAGAGAAAAATCAAGTCGGACGCCGCGTGTGAATACGAGTTGCTCTAACGTCAAGCGAGGGACAAGCACAGCATCAAGCACGGTACGGTACGGTACGGTACGGTATTAAACCTGAGGGTTTTTATCATATGTTGGGAATGTCCCCGGTAGGGCGCACCGCAGCCGCCCCCTGCGCACTCCCGCTCCAACCTCCCAAGACGAAGTTCTCGTTGTTGGTTCTTGAATTCTCTCTTGCAGGGTGTATGCATCCACAGGGTCCGAGTGCAAAATATAATCTCTTAGAGTGGCCTTCTGGTAGATTCCTCTAGACCCTTTTATCATCATCTTCGTCTTCTCCTTCTTCGCCTTACTATGCGGATGAGCAGAACCTCTGTCCCAATGTAAGCCTAGGGGACGACCATGGACGAGTCCGAACCCAAGGTGACGACGACCGAGGGCTGGATCCCAACCAGTGATGGATCTGAATCTAGGCCACCAAGACGGGAGGATTTTGCAGAGAGTGCAGCTGGCGCGGCAGGATCTTCCCAATCCCAATCCCGATCTGCGTTTATCCAGAGCTCTCTCCTAGACCAATGCCTACGATATCTCGCATCCGCTAACCATGCCACTCTGGCTGCTTTAGGCGGAGCTCTCCTTGCCATTATATATTTGCTCCCGGGGAGACTTGCTCTAGTGTTATTCGGCGTATCCGTGGGTGTCACGCTTCATGCCGCATGGGACGGTTACAAAGAGACCGGAGATGAAGTTGTGAAATCAAGCCTCTCCCTAAGGCGACGAGAGCTTGGTATTGAGGTGATTTCCAGAGTCCTGCGTTGGCGCGAAACTACAATTGCAGATACTCTCAGTGAATCCAGCAATCCTATAGACAAATCGATTAATCACAAAGAGCCAGACTTTGCGGGTTTCCAGCCCGCAACAGCTGCTGCTCTGGATTCCCTGACTGACGCTATCATTCGAGACTACGTCCAGTAAGCAATGCAACATACACCACCTCCTCTAACAAAACTCCAACTAACTTAGATTTGCCCGTAGGTGGTGGTACGGGCCGCTTCTAATTACGGAAAGGGCATTTCCGCAGTCCTGCCGTTCGAGCCTGACCCGATTTATCATCTCTATATCCGCTCACCTCTCACGCAAAAGGCCGGCTGATATCTTCCTCCATTTCGTCACCAACGCCGCATCCATCGCTGTTGTATTCCTAAACGAATTTTCCGCCGCCTTCGAGTCCGCCCCGAGCAATTCGACATGGGAGGATGTCATTTCTTCGTACCTTAAAGAATACCCCGAAAGTAATCTAGCGAATGTTTTATCAACCGACCAACAACGTGCGAAGCTCCGACTCGTTGCAACCGACACTATAAAGTCTTTTCTTGAGCCTGATTTATACAACTGTGAACCAGTCCAGATCTTTCTTCGTGAGGTGTTCTCGGATATCATACTGGAAAGCGTAATTGAGAATTGCTCAAAACCGGAATGGATCAATGGGTGGATTGTGCGGCTTCTGGAAGAAGGGGAGCCGGAATTGATGAATGCAATCGATATTGGCGTTGATAGGGCACGACAAGAAGAAATGCAGGCTTTTGCTGCCCGCTCTTTGAGTGATGTTGATAACAGTAGTATGTCTGAAGATTCTACAGAACAGGATATTGTTGAAAACTTAAAAAGAGGGAACGAAAACAAGGGCTTGACTAAGGCGCAATTAGAAATGGAAGAGGCTGAAAAGGAAGCAAAGCGCCTAAGTGCTCTCATTGCCGTCAGCAATGCTTACAAGAGTGGCGGACAGCCAACGATGAACGAAACTGGCAGCGATCCGGATCCGGATCCCGATCCCGATACACACACCATATCCTCTAAAGTTTTCGATCCACTAGTGCCTTCTATCTTAACCGATGACCACCGAAGTAGTAATGACTCGGCAAGATCCGAGATGTCAAGGGATTCTAAGGAACTACTCGGAGACGTTCGAAACTCAATGCATGAGTCGCCCTCGAAACAAGAAGGTATAGTCCAAAACCGAATGCCGCTGTTGAAAACAACTTCCTCCGCTTCCAAACTAACTTGATCTCCCAGACTTAATTCAAACGATTCTCCTCGGTGCTTCTGTATCAATCGTCGATGACACTCTCCCAAACGACAAAGGAAAAATGCGCGTGAAACCTTCGGACGACTATTTGTTGCAAATTGAACCCTTCGGCTCCAGGATCCCGGGCTGGGTCATCGCCAGAAAATATTCCGATTTCGAAGCCCTCCATGAAGTTCTGCGCCGCATATCCGTTGTGTCCGGTGTATCTGACTTCGTAGAACAGCACAAAGAGCTACCGCCGTGGAAAGGTCAGTATAAACTAGACCTACGGCAAAACCTTGAACGTTATCTTCAACACGCTCTAAGCTTTGAGCGGCTCGCTAGCTGCGAGGCTATGAAGCGGTTTCTCGAAAAGGAACGGGGGGGCCTGGGGGCGTCATCGTTAAATGGGGCTGGGAAAGTTGGATTTTCTTTCCCCAGCCAGGCAGTGTTTGAAAACATGGGTAAGGGCGTGCTGGAGGTCCTGAGCAATGCTCCGAAAGGGATGGCTGGGGGTGGCAAGGCTGTGCTCGAAGGTGTTACGGGAGTGTTTGGAGCCAATATTGCCCATCGGAAGCGGTCCATCGAGCTCGAGGCTACGAAATTGGGGCAAGTTCAGTCTGTTTCGTGTTCAAGTTCTCAACATGATATTGCTCTTGATGTTGGATCAAGCGAAAATGGATCTGCTGAGAGATCCCCGGTCTATGTTACGCATATTCAGGACGGGAACGCGACTCTTAAGAGGGACCCGGTGGCTCAAGCATCTCCTTCTCCATCTAGCGAACATATTGATGAGAATCAAGAAATTTCTCCTGTAGGCGGCGAGAAACGCAACCAAGCACCCACTACCATATCATCTAATCCTGCCGATCAAATAGACAGTGTTGCAGCCCTAGCTCCTGCTAAGTCTGAACCAAGCACGGAGCCCCGCAAATCCGCCCCTAAACCTCCTTCAGGGGAACCGCGCACTACATCTCTTTTCGAGGAAGAGATCACCGTCGCAGTCGAGCTCTTATTCGCTGTCATCAACGAGCTATACGCCCTATCCTCCGTCTGGGCCATCCGCAAGAAACTATTGAATGCAGCAAAGTCATTCCTACTCCGGCCCGGCAATCCACACATCGAGGCCATTCGCCTCCTCGTCCAGAAATCGATCATTGAATCTAATGCCTCCGACGATGCTGTGGCAGCTCGCATCACCGTCCTGCGCCAAAATGCGCTTCCGACCGAAGATGAACTGAAACAGTGGCCTCCTGCTCTGACTGAGGACGAGAAGAATGAGCTACGCGTCAAGGCGCGGAGGTTGCTGGTGACAAGGGGCATGCCGCATGCTCTTACGAGTATTATGGGGCATTCGGCGACGGTGGAGGCGTTGGGGCATGTTTTTGATTCGCTGCAGGTTAGCCGTGTGGCTCGGGGGTTTATTTTCGCTCTGATGCTTCAGGCCTTGAAGGCTGTGATACAATAGATCGATTCGGAATATATACACCGTAGATATAGGAGCGGTTATTGATATTGATTACTAGTTATCCTTGTGAGAATACCTCCATAGGGTTTTTCATAAGAGTACAATATTTTAGATTGTGCTTTCGAAATAATTTGTCAGAAACAGATTCGTTCCCTCATGTCAGATTGTCAATAAATACATTGACACCACCTATTATTTTTCCGTAGCAAGTCTCTCTATCTCCTCGGGAAGTTTTGGAGCCGTCGTCAGATTGTCGTAACCACTATCTGTGACGACTACATTGTCCTCAATGCGCACACCACCCACACTCCAATACCGTTCAAGAACATCGGCATTGATGTACTTGCCCAAATCCGGAGAACTGAGATAAGGATCGATAATAAAGCGACAAAAATATATCTATTGAAAATAAAATAAAAAAATAAAACTCGTATTAGTTTTCATCTGAAAAACAGTAGCTCAAGACGGAATAAAATTGAACTTCCCAAGGCTCTGATAATTTTTCATGAAAAGGAGCGACTTACCCCCGGCTCAACAGTTACAACCCCGCCGGACGCCAAAGGACCTCGCAGACGCAAGTATTTGAACTTCGGATCCTTATCTGCGTAGTTCGGATTACCTCCCGTATCATGTGTGTCCATGCCAAGGTAGTGACCTAGACCATGTGGGAAAAACGCCACGCTGATCCCCTTCTCAAACAGCTCCTCCTCCGTGCTGCGCAGGATGCCGAGCTTGAGCAGTCCGCGGATAGCCACGCGGTGAGAAGTTGAATGGACGTCTTCCCACATCACTCCAGCTTTAATCATCGCCAACGAGCTGTTCTGCATCTCCAGCACAATATCGTATATCTCTCTGGACTCGGGCGAAAATTTTCCCGAAAGCGGCACCACCCGCGTAATATCCGCGCAGTAATTTCGATATTCAGCCCCGGCATCAATAAGCATGTTCAGCCTCCTTTGCCCGGTGACGCTGTCGACAAGATCCTCGTCGTTCTTCTGGTAGTGTAGTGTTGCCGCATTTGTCCCGCTGGCAAAGATGGGATGATACGACTGCTCCCGACACCCACTGGACATGCACGCGCCGACAAAAATAGCCTCCAATTCCCGCTCGTTCCTAGCGGACGTCGCCGCCTTGAACACCGCCACATGTGCCTTGGAAGATATCTCATTCGCCCGCCGGAGCAGAGCAATCTCATACGAATCTTTGACAACGCGCGATTCCTCAACGGCTCGCTTCAAGACATCAAAATCGATCTCTTGAAATGGAAGGAAAGTTATATGTGGGGAAACTTGGTCGGCGATTGCAAAGACTTTCTTGCCGCCCTGTGCTGAGCAGTAATGCGCCAAGCTGGCATTGACTTCAGCTGTTGATAGGACGGCGTCGACATCGTATATCTCCAAAGCCTCCTCGACGGAAAGGGGCAATCCGGACCAGATGACTGAAGCGGGATCAATGGGGGGGATGAAAATGGTCAGCTTGTCCGCTTTAATGTCATATGTGAGGTAGGAATCGGGGAGGGGGCAGCCGGATAGGTAGAAGAAGTTGCGGCGTTGGCTGGATTGATAAAACGCTTTAGTACAGTAGCCTCTTAGCCGACAGTTGAACAGGCACAGAATGCAGATAACTACCAGACAACCTCAACACGAAGCAGCAAAATCGGGGCTTACCGGAATGGCATTTCCCCATCACTATCCTCAATCATGTGCGTCTTCTGGCCTTCGAGATAAATAATTCCAGAATCGCCATGCCCGAGTTCCTGTATGCGGGCCGCAACTCGCTTTGCATGAACTTTTGCGGGATATTTGCCCGCAGGGGTCTGATCGACAGAGATAGCCATGCTTTTTTTTTTTCCTTTGGATTATTTCTGGTGAGTTCAATGCCAACCACACCACTGTCTGCCTTTTTGTGAAAATAATGCCCACCTCAAATACCAATGTGACGGAAGAACTCCTTATTGATGATTCCTTTAACTCCCGCTGATGCGCGGGGTTTGTTGGTTGCAGCGGGGGGCTGAACCTGCGTCGACTGTGCTGAGTAAGAGAGTTCAACCAACCGGTCTTATCCGCCCTGTTTAAGTACAGGGTAGAGATGCAACAGACACCGAAGAATCTCCACGGACGGAATTTTCAATTTCAAGAAGATATACACCGTACCTAGGCGTCCTTTTGGGGGCGAGAGATATCTATTAACCAAAGGCTGACGCTGTGGTTGTATTGAATTCCTAAATATATATATATTTTTTACAAAAAATTTTCAAAACAGACGAACGACCGCATCATCGGAACAGACTACTCCCGCCGGATGTCGGAGTGGCATCCTCAAACTCTAGGCGCCACTTGCTAATTTCCGCGAATTTTCGTGCCTGTAGGCGGAGTTCTTCACTCAATGGTGGTAAAGCATCGGTGGTGGTGGCTGGAGGAGAGGATGTCGTTTGGGCTAATTGGTTTTCTTTGTCTTGTTCAAGTGCTGCATGCCGGGACAAGGAATAAGTGATACCATGCCCTCTTTTCGATTGTGATGGCTGGGACTTCCTGGAAGTTGGATTGTTCGCCGACTTGGCCGGTGGTTTCCGCTTCCTTGGACCCTGCTGGCTACCCCGAACATCAGGCCCTCCAATTTTATTGTTCCTCGCCCCTTTATTCGCTCCCATCACATTCTTCCGCTTTCTAGGCGCTCTCGACGTAGAATAACTCAACTCGTCTTGATCAGCTTCAAGTGCACCAGAATAGTCGCTAAAATAGTTGTCGTGTTCACCGTCATCTGAGTTGGACCCATCATTATCATTTGCCTCTCTGTGTTTATGGCGGAGTCGCCGGTGCGGAAGAAATTTTTCTCTCAGTGCTGCAGTAGAAACTCGGACGTCAGGTATTGGAATGGGCGATGGGCTAGTATTTTCTAGATGTTCACCATGTGATGGTTGTCTATCGGTTGGCAGAGCTGGGCTACTCTCAGGGGGCATCATCGTCTGGCTTAGTATTTCGGGCGGATCGGGTGGCTGGGCTCCTCTTGGAGTAGGGAGCATGTCATCTTCAGAGGCACTGTCCTCGGCGCTTTCCTGAGTTCTAATAACAACTAGTTCAGATGGCTCGGGAGACCGAGAAACCTGCACCTGAATATCTGTGTCTGCCTTTCTCTTTTTATTTAAAGACCGGGCAGGCAAATCCCGTGGCGTCGAAGATGGGGTAGATAAGCGGCCTTGACGGATGTTCTTGCGGCTTGGAGATTTTAGGGGAGTAGATTCATCATCTGGGTCAAAACTACCCAGAAAACAATCGTCGTCATCAAGCTCGGAAGATGGATCCCCTTGCATCATCTGTAGGATACTGGGCTGTCGTGGGCGGCGTCGGAAATTGCTCAACATCGAGCTTTCGAACGCAGGTGTTCCCATCTTTTGCACTCTCGAACTGGCGTCGCCTCTGTTACGGGGATTGGAAAGGAGAGCTCTCGCGCGAACGGAAGACCCAAGGCCATTTGCGGTAGGGACTCCTTTCGTGTCGTTCAACTGTTTCGCCATCGGTGTTTGGTGTCTCAGTCCCAGACCCGCTCTCAAACCGCTTTCTTCTTCATTGACCTCATGGACTACCGTTTCTTGCCTCTGGGAGGACGTCGATTCACACAAATTCTCCCTGCGGGCCTCATCGCAACTCCTCTCTGTACATCCGTCGTCTTGACCTTCGAGCGGCTGGACCTGGGCCTTGTTGTTCGGCTTTGGAATAACCACCAATACATTATCACTCTCTGCAAGCTGTGCGCTACCGCATGGAGCAGCTGCTCCGGGACCCTTCACAGCCTTTGGGCGACGCCCACGTCTAGCAGGCGGTCGAGGCATGGTTGTGAGCTTCCTCGTTCTTCCTCGAGACGCGTAAATGGATCGAGAAGAATGATAAAATTAGGATGGTTGGGTTGCAGACACGGATATCCCACGAACGATAAGCAGGCAGCTTTGAGTGGAACAAGAGACAAAATGCTGTGTCGCGTGTTTGTGAAGTCGGCGTAGGTGGTTGGTTTTTTCTTTGCTCTACATATATATATTGTGTTGAGCTCTCAAGTTCCTTGTTTACTTCTGGGTCGCGCGTCCTTAATGCCACGTGAATCCACGTGATCTCGCCGGCAGAAGGATCTGGATGACGTCAGAAGCCCCAACGGTCGAATCTTGTCAATTTGGTTAATTAACTAATATCTGGTTCAATAACAAAACTGACCGGGTTTAGAGTCTTGTCAGCAACTCCCCCGCCCCCACTTCTCCGTCTGTCTCCCGTGCATGGCCGTTGGATTGCGCTTTCAGGCGGGACTGCACGACAAGTTGCCCCCCCGTACGCAGTGAAGATTCCCGATTCTTCCGTCTGCTTTGCTGTAAATATTACAAATATAGAAAGTATCGGCCTCCCGGATTACTCTCTAATCCTGCTCGCCTATCCCGTTATTCAACGATATCATTACCGTCTCCACAATGGCTATATCAGCCCAAGGTCCTGGAATACGGATCTCAATTGATGTATCTATGCTCCTTTCTAGTCAGTCCTGAGATCCGCTCAAGTTGCTAATAATTGCCCCCTTCACAGCGTGGTGGCACATTCACGGACTGCGTGGGAAACCCCGGCACGGGCAAATTAGAAGATGACATCGTCATCAAGCTGCTGTCCGAAGACCCCTCCAATTACAGCGATGCTCCGCTGGAAGGTATCCGACGACTGCTTTCCAAATTCGAAGGCCGGGAAATCCCCCGCGGTGAGCCGCTAGATACCTCCAAGATCGAGAGTATTCGAATGGGGACGACTGTGGCCACAAATGCTTTGCTAGAAAGAAAGGGCGAACGGATGGCCCTGGTTGTGACTAAGGGATTCAAAGATTGTCTGGAGATCGGCAATCAAACTCGCCCCAAGATTTTTGACTTAGCCATTTGCAAACCGGATGTTCTGCACGAAAAGGTCATTGAGGTGGATGAGCGAGTCACGCTGGAGGACTATACAGAAGATCCAGCGCGGAATATAACGCCTACCCCTCCTCGGGACCAGTCTTCTTCACATGCTGAAATCGTGCGCGGAGTGTCCTCAGAGGCCGTCCGGATTCTACAGAGGCCTTCCGAGAGCACCGTCAGGGCCCAGCTCCAAGCTCTCTACGATGAAGGATTCCGGAGTATTGCAGTCTGCCTCATGCATGGATACACCTTCCCAGATCACGAGGCAATGGTGGGCAGACTTGCTAGAGAAACGGGTTTCACTCATATCAGCTTGAGCCACGAATTAATGCCCATGATCAAGTTAGTGCCCAGGGCAACTTCCACGTGCGCTGACGCCTACCTAACACCTACCATCCGCAAGTACATCACAGGCTTCCAGTCCGGATTTCAGGGTGGACTTGGCACAAGCACTTTGAAAAAGGGATCAGACACAAAAGGGGCACGATGTGAATTTATGCAATCTGATGGGGGACTTGTCGATATTGACAGCTTTTCCGGCCTGCGTGCGATCCTGTCAGGGCCTGCCGGTGGAGTTGTCGGCTATGCGCTCACGTCTTACGACCCCAGGACCGACATCCCCGTAATTGGGTTTGATATGGGCGGAACCAGTACCGACGTGAGCCGGTACGGTTCCGGTCGTTACGAGCACGTTTTTGAAACCACAACGGCCGGTGTCACGATACAGAGCCCCCAGCTCGATATTAATACTGTTGCTGCAGGTGGAGGTTCGCGCCTGTTTTATCGCAACGGCCTGTTCGTGGTAGGACCCGAGTCCGCTGGCGCACACCCCGGCCCCGCCTGTTATCGCAAGGGAGGCCCGTTAACTGTCACAGATGCCAATCTGTACCTTGGAAGACTCTTGCCAGATTTCTTTCCTAAGATATTCGGGCCGAATGAAAACGAGGCGTTGGATAGAAATGCGAGCGCAAAACTATTTGAGGAGCTGACAGCAACGATCAATGAAAAATTGCCTGCGGGCCAAAAGATGACCCCGGACGAAGTCGCGTACGGATTCATTAAGATTGCGAATGAATCCATGACAAGACCAATTCGCTCGTTAACCGAGGCCAAGGGCCACGACACCTCAAAACACAGATTAGCAACTTTTGGAGGCGCGGGCGGCCAGCATGCCGTGGCAATTGCTGAAAATCTTGGGATCTGGCAAATTTTGATCCACCGCTATTCCTCAGTGCTTTCTGCGTATGGCATGTCCCTTGCAGACGTGGTGGATGAGAGTCAAGTTCCAGAATCGAAAGTGTGGTCCCAAGATGAAAGTACTCTAAACGAGCTAAAACAGAAAATGAACGAGTTGAAGAAGGGGGCTCAGGAACGGCTGCATGAGCAGGGATTCAAGGACAAGTCAATCATATTTGAAGAGTATCTGAACTTGAGGTACCGAGGCACTGAGTCTGCGCTGATGATAATCAATCCCAAATTTCAGACAACCGCAGACATGCCCGATGGTGGCGAAGACTGGGCTTTTGGTAAAGCGTTTGTCCAGCAACATGAACAGGAGTTTGGATTCACGCTACCCAATCGTGATATCATCGTAGATGATGTCCGGGTTCGAGCAATTGGAAGGAGTTTTGACGATTTAGGCAAAACCGTCGATCAGCAACTGGAAGAAGCCAAGCCGCGGGATGTAGGAGATGAAAAGAGGTTTGGTGTCTCTCATGTATATTTCGAAGGCGGGCGCGTCGAAACGCCGATTTATAAACTCAAAGATCTAGACATCAATGACCGCATTCATGGACCGGCAATTCTTGCTGACGGAACACAAACCCTGGTCATCACCCCGAACGCAAGTGCTTTAATCATTCGAACCCATGTTGTTATCAATATCGGAACTTCGGAATCCCGCGATGCGAGAGTGAGCGTTAACTCCATTGACCCCGTTATGCTCAGTATCTTCGGACACCGCTTCATGGCCATCGCGGAACAGATGGGCCGGGCACTTCAGAAAACGAGCGTCAGCACCAATGTCAAGGAGAGATTAGATTATTCGTGTGCCTTGTTTGATTCTGATGGTGGGCTGGTGGCAAACGCACCACACCTACCGGTTCATCTCGGTAGCATGTCCACCTGCGTGAGAACGCAGTCCAAAATTTGGGCTGGAAACCTTAAGCCTGGAGATGTTATCGTGAGTAACCATCCTGAGTTCGGTGGAACGCATCTGCCGGATATCACGGTGATCACGCCGGCTTTCAATGGGGATAAAATTATTTTTTATGTAGCATCTCGGGCGCATCACGGTTAGTTATATGACAATTCACATTCTTGACCTGTACTCTTCCGGGATGACTAATTTTTAAACCTTTATACAGCGGATATTGGAGGTGTACTCCCCGGCTCAATGCCCCCCAGCTCAAGAGAGTTATTCCAAGAAGGGGCGGCGATCAAGTCTGAAAAGCTAGTTTCTGAGGGAATATTCAACGAAGAACGGATCACTGAGCTTCTATACCATGAGCCGGCGAAATATCCCGGATGCAGCGGTACAAGATGCCTTGCTGACAATTTAAACGACCTGAAGGCCCAGGTCGCTGCAAATCAAAAAGGAATTAACCTCATATCAATGTTGATCAAGGAATATGGGGAGGCTGTTGTGCAGTTCTATATGAACAACATCCAAGACAATGCCGAACTGAGTGTGAGGAATCTCCTGAAATCCGTCAGCAAAAGGTTTGTAGGGGCGGATCTTGTGGCTTTCGATCACATGGATGATGGAAGTCCGATCCATTTGAAAATATCAATTGATGCGGAAAAGGGGGAAGCAGTCTTTGATTTTGAAGGCACGGGCCCGGAAGTCTATGGTCAGTTAGTTTTTTTTTTTTTTTTTTTTTTTTTTTTTTTTTTTTTTTTTTTTTTTTTTTTTTTTTTCCTCCCCTCAAACTCAACGGGCAGTTCCTTGAATAATCCATGCTTACTTAGATCCCAGGGAATATCAATGCGCCGGAAGCGGTTACTTACTCCGCAATCATATACTGTTTAAGATGTTTGATTTCCGAAGACATCCCGTTGAACCAAGGTTGCCTCAAGCCAATTGATGTGCGGATACCGAAGAATTGTTTCCTTTCTCCCTCTGGGCAAGCGGCTGTTGTTGGTGGGAATGTCTTGACGGTAGGTTTCTCCTTTATTTCGGTCCTTAGATTCCCCCTCCACCGAAAACCCCCGTAACCCAAGAGTTCCCCCAAAACCACAAATGGGGGGGGGTAACAGAAAAAATTTTTTTTTTTTCTCTCCTCCCCCCAAAACCCAATTTTTTTTTGGGAAAATTTTCGACGGAAAGTTTTCCTTTTAATTTTGGGGCCATGAATCACCCCCACACCTCCTATCCCCCTCCCCCCCCCCCCCCCCCCCCCCCCCGCCCCTGGACGAGTTTGGAACTTCCACCCTTTCAAATTCAGCTTCTAACAGCGAATACAGAGCCAGCGAGTGACCGACGTAATTCTGAAATGTTTCCAAGCCTGCGCCGCTTCACAAGGCGACACAAACAACCTAACCTTCGGCTACGGCGGTAATATCTCAGGAGGAGAAGAAACCAGAGGATTTGGCTACTACGAAACCGTCGCGGGCGGGAGCGGCGCCGGCCCATACTGGGAGGGCACCTCAGGCGTCCACACACACATGACAAACACCCGCATCACGGATTCCGAGGTGTTCGAACGGAGGTATCCCGTGCTGCTGAGGAATTTTAGCCTGAGGCCCGGATCCGGTGGGAACGGCCAGCACCGCGGTGGAGACGGGGTCATTCGGGATATCGAGTTTCGAATTCCAGTGCAGGTGTCCATCCTCTCGGAGCGCAGGGTGTATCATCCATATGGCCTGAATGGCGGCGAGGATGCGCAGTGTGGACAGAATATCTGGGTGAGGAGGACGCCGAAGCGGGGGGGGAAGCCTGGTGAGTGGGAGGTGCGGGAGATAAATCTGGGGGCGAAGAATACGGCCATGATGTTACCTGGTGACCGGATAATCGTGAAAACCCCTGGAGGTGGGGGGTGGGGGAAGTCGTGTGAAGAGAGTAAGGTGAGGAAGGTGAGGAATCCCCGACATGCGTGGAAGGGAGGGTCGTTAGCTAGCCGGACAGAAACACAGGAGACGAGTATGTGATATCACAATGGTTTCTCGCAGGTGGCCGGGTGCTGTTAGTAGTAGATTCTGTACAGGATGGGCCTTTGGAGGAACAAAAATATAGACATTTTGAAAAGGATTCAAATAAATTTCTCCGATCCCCAATAGTTCGATCCCATGAAAGAGTATAACGGTCCAAGCTTTGAACCATTAGTTAACTATGAGTTTTCAACTAAATTCGTGCATGCGGGCCAAAAAAAGCATGATCCTAGGAGCCTTGTGATATGCAGTGCCTGCTAACCAAAAATACAGAAAGGAAATAAAAGAGAGAGAGAAAGAGAATAAAAACAAAAAAAGAAAATAGAATTACAGTTCACCCGGCATGCCCGAAAGATGCACATAAACACCTTAACCCTCTACGGAGCCATCGTCGGAGCCGGGACCGGACTCCTCTGCAGCTTTCTCCGGCTCACTCTCCGCGGTCTCGTTGCCCTCCATGTCCGCAGCGGCGCCCGTTTCCGCGTACTTTGGCCTTTCCAAAGATCCGCCCTTCTCCTTAATGACAGCTTCGACATCTGGCAGCAGCTGGACAAGGGCATTGAATTGCTCCAACGGCAGCGAGATTCCCTGAGGCGAATAGTTTAGCAACCGCAAATTCAGAGGCGGGTGGTGGGTTAAAACAGGCGCAGAGCAACCAATGGAATGCTAACCTTCTTTCCCGGAAGTTCCTGGCCATCTTTCTCATAGTACTCTCTCACACTGATCATGGTGCGGCCTTTGAAGGACGATACAGTGAGGCGACGGGACCGCGCCAGGCTCCAGTAGAAATCACCGTTGGAATCAACTTTCCGCTCAGCTCCAGCGGACGCGGCTGAGTTGTTTTTGCTGCTGCTGCTGTTGCTGCTATCTGGCTTCACTTTCTTCTGTTGCTGAGGCTGCACGTCATTGTTTTGGGAGCGGCGTTTTTTGATTGAAGCCATTGAGATAGGAATGAAGAGAGGATAGGGGGGGTCCACTGGATTCTCTAACGACGCCGGGATAGATCCGTTGTTCGTAGGGGTAGATAAAGATGGAATGTATGAACTGCACTGTCCGATTCTTGCGGTTGTAGTTATTTACCAACTTAAAGGCAGTTAGTAATTGTAGTTAACAAGCAGTTGGATACGTTTTGAACCTTGGATGCTGCTGCAGTTGACCTCATATCGTTGTTGATGCCGCTTCATCAGCTGTCTAGAGTTACCCGGTGCCTCTTTACCCATATATGTATTTCAATCTTTTTAACCCGCATCAACCTATGGCTATATATCAACTATCAACTGCCTTGTACCGACCCGCTTCTTGTTTTCTTGCGATCGCTCAGTCCACTATTCACTTCGGGCTCCTGAGAGCCTAGTGAACCAATCTACTGAACGAAGCGCTTTCTGTGAGCTGTGCGAGATGCGCGCTGTATGAGCCATGGTTGTCATCTGAGTTACAAAAGTCTACACAGAACCCCTGCCAAAGCTGTTTACCTGCAAAGGGGAAACAATCCTTTGGCCTGCCAACTCCCTGCTGAAAGTTTGACCAACCGCTTGCGATTGTCCCCGGCCTAGAAAATAAGCATTGCAGTCCTGTGCCATGGGTGAAACCGACCTCTTCACGGAGTCGCCTCTTCCACTCGCCATCAGCGAATCCCTGGTCCCGGTCCGTGAGAGCAAAGCCGCGGGGACGGCGCTTCTCTCTCTCGACGGGCTGCTGGACCCCCCGTTGCAAATCAAAGAAGATCTGAAGGAGGGATGCGGCGGCAAGCTTTGGCCGGCTGGGGTCGTCCTGGCAAAATATATGCTCCGCAGGCACAAGTCGGACTTGGGTGGGAAAACCATGTCTGTATTACCCCATGTTTGTTTTATTTTCCCTAGCTGGCCTGCCTTTTACTGTGAAATAACGTTTATTTATTCTTTTTGGCTTACTGGAGTTTTCTTTCGCTTCTCAGTGTGGAACTCGGCGCCGGAGGCGGCCTCGTCGGACTAGCAGTCGCACGCGGATGCTCCGTCGACTCGCCGATATACCTCACCGACCAGATCCCGATGTTGTCACTGATGCAAGACAACGTCCAGCTGAACCGTCTGTCGGACATCGTCTATCCGGCCGTTCTCGACTGGGGCTGCGAGATCCCCAAGACCGTCCCGTCAGACCCAGCCGTCATTCTGGCGGCCGACTGTGTCTACTTCGAACCTGCATTCCCGCTACTGCTATCGACGCTGGAAGGCCTTCTGGCCAGCCCACATTCGGTGTGCTACTTTTGTTTCAAAAAGCGGCGTCGTGCGGATCTGAGATTTATGAAGCAGGTGAGGAAACTGTTTGAGGTTGTTGAGGTGATGGATGATCCTGATCAGAAGGTGTATTCGAAGCAAAACATATTTCTGTACACCATCAGGAGTCGGGGAGAGAAAGGTACAAAACACAACCAAAGAAGTTAAGAGTCAAGAAAATGAGTTCCAACTATGGAAATGTCTCAATGGGAGTTTTGAAGGCGTCATCATTATGGTAAAATTATAGCTAGCTAGATGGAGTTGTTAAATCATATTATTGTCTCCTCAACTCCCAGTTCCGAGTCAAACGGTTACCTTATTTTATAACTTTAGAACAGTCTGCCCCTTGCCTTCACTGGAAGGCACCTTGCCCCCGTAAACATCCTTCAAATCCCCCTGTTTCCCAATAACCTTCACACCGCCCCTCATCAAGTCGTCCACAACCCTCTGCTTCTCCGCCTGCTTCCCATCACCAGCAGGCCGCTGCTGCGACGAACTCTTCTTCAACTTCTTCTTCTCCCGCCTCCGCCGTCTCCGCTTAGCTTCCCGCGTCATCTCCTCCTTCGACACAGCCACTCCGCTCCTCAACGTCGTCTCCCCACGGACCTTACCCCCATCGACAGGCGCATAGACTTCCTGCGGCGCAAGAATGCCAGCCTCATCTACGCCAGCGCCACCCGTCGGCCTCACATCCTCCATGGCAATCGTAGCCACGTCCGCGACTACATTAACGCTAACCTGCGGGCGCTTGGGCCTATAGTTCCAACTCGACAACGCATCGAGCTGCGAGCTGATGTTATTCCACAACCGGGTAATTTCGTCATGATCGGCCTCGACCTTCGCGCTCTTCCGATCCACAAAGGCAGAATCTGTTTTCCGAAGATGATCTTCCTCGTACAGTTCGCCCAGGCTCTGCTGTGGCTTCGTCTCATCGAGCGTAAACTGTTCGCGTCTGAGCTTAGCCTCGCTCCCCGGGATGAGATACGGCTGGCGGCGCGGGACTTCATCGAACTCCCTCGCTAGAATCCGTCGCTTGATCAGCGCTTCGATATTATCGGACACTTCATTTGAGATGACGGGGACAGGTTTGCCAACGCGCTCAAATTCAAGGTCCTCTTCTATCAGCGAATTGATAGGTCGATCGGGCGCCTTGGCTTCGCCAGAGAGCATCCATTCCTTTTTCGAAACGTTGGCGGCTTCCAGTCGGCGGATTTCGTCTGTGAGCTTAGCTCGTCGCTTCTCGTGGGTGGATTGAGCGGCTCCTTTCTGCGCCGTGGAGCTGCCCGCCAAATCCTCATCATCGGACACATCGTCATCGAACAGGTCGCGCTGCACGTCGGAAATCACACGTTTTATGCTAGCCTCGATGTCTTCTTCAGGGGTTGGTGATTTAGGTTTGGACTGGGTATCATTTTGCTGCTGTCCCTTGGAAGCCTTGAGACGAGGAGGATCGAAAAAATCAGCGTATTTTATGTCATTCGCATTACCGCCCACCAAGCCCAGTTCGCTTTCGAAGTCGCCATCCGCGTCCATAGCTCCGGCATCAGCATCGCCGCCTTCACTGGCGTTTTCTCTGTCATCATCATCATCATCATCTTCTTCTTCTTCTTCTTCTTCTTCTTCTACTACTACTACTTCTTCATCGTCATCATCATCCCTGCCCATTGCACCAAGACTGAGAGGATCAGCGCCCCAGTCGATTGCTTCCTCATCATCATCCTCGTCATCATCCTGTATCCCCTTCACGTCTTTCCTTTCAAATAGAGCCGTCTGCGCGTTGAACTTGTCGATTGAGAAAAACCCGTCATTAAGTTTGTTAGGGTCAGGGATAAATGAGACCCTGTCAGCTCCTGTAGAGTTCGTGGGCTTCTTTGACTGCGGATCGGGGGTCTCAGCGTCGATCGACATAGAATCATCCCTATCAGCAGCATCATCGTCATCCGTCATCAGTTCCCCGCCTTCCTCGTTGCTGTCTGAGCTCTCGCCATTCTTCAAATTGTCTAAACCGTCACCGGTGAAATCGTCAGAGACTCCACCGTCTGGGGAGGTAATTCTGAGCTGGTTATCATCACGATGAATCCCCTGTGCCCTTTTATGCGAGGAATACTTGAAAAGCAGACTTTCCTCCTCCGATTCTCTAAGGTGAAAAAGTTCTTGTGCGGTATTCTGTGCAGCGGCCTCTAGAACCCTATTAGCCTGCTCCCAGACCTGGCGCGTGGTGAAGCCATTCACATGGATCTCTTGCAGGCGTAGAGCTTTGGCATGGAACGGTCGAGGTCCATCAGCGTTTTTCCGTTTCCGTTTGTCTAGTAGGCGTCTTCTCTGTGTCTTTGTGATATCTGACGCTAGCGGGTCAAGATATCGCTTTGTCGCAGTCACCCATTCGGTATGCAAGGCGGTTGTCGGTTTCAAGAAAAGCTCAGGCGCTGAGGAGAGCAACTGGGAGATTTCCATGGCAGAGCAGGTCATAGTGAAATTTAGAGAGAGATATTTCACTGCCTCTCCTGCCCGTGTGCTCTATGGGTGAGTTGAGGATCCGGTATGTGCGCGCCTAGATGCTGAGGACAGCAATTCCAAATGCAGCGCGTATCAGGACTCACGTCCGCATGGCATACCTTTGTCGCATGGACGGAGTCGTTGCTCCGTAAAATGCCCCTTGATCGACTCTGGCAAACCGATATTTTTTTTTTTTTTTTTTTTTTTTTTTTTTTTTTTTTGGCTGAGCCAGGCGCAAATGCCGCAGCCAATCACAGCGCAAGCAAATGCTGGTCGGGATTACTAACCACTGACTAAGTGCGGGAGGCGACTTCTGCGGGAAAACAGATATTCCGGCTTGAGGCTGAGAGGGCGGACGATCCCGGGAGCAAAACCAAAACTTTTTACTGCAAAACGCCCCTTTGGGTTCCTTGCTCGTGAAAAATACACACACACATCTGCTCAACGCTCTGCGCCAACACCGGTTTTGGTTCTCTTGCTGCCATTCTTTTGTCAAACGCTGCTCAGTCTTCCCTCGGCCAGCGTCAGGGCTGTCGTCCTTTGCGTTCTGCTATTGTAGAACGTCCTGCTCCCGTGGCACGGTCATTCCGGCTGTTATGACTTGATTTGTCATTTAACCGCGTACATTGAAAACACTGCTTAATCTCCTCTCCTCTCGCCGTATACAATAGAATAATTTCCACCGCCCACCGTCTCCAGGCCTCCATAGCCTGCCTGCCTGCCTGCCTGCCTTGACTTGCGTTGATTGAGGTTATTCAATTGTCTTATCTCTCTGTGTTGCCTGGTCTCAAGCACCCCAAAAGGCCGGTTGTCTCACTCGGTCCGGCGTCCTGTCTAGATCGTCATTTTCGACTCTATTCTGGATATTCAAAATATGAAGGTCTTCGCCTCAAGTTGCACGTTTGATTACTCATGGGAGGAGGTGTCTACTGCCAACTGGCGGAAGTACTGTCCGTGGAATGATAAATCGACACACGTTGTTGCTGTGGATATTCTCTCCCGGACGCTGCAACCTGATACCGGCATTGTGAGTTGCAATTCTCACATCCTAGATCTTCTCTGGCCGTCACAAGTGCCACTGTTCTTGCTAGTTTTGACCCGCTGACACCGTTGCTTATGTTGTATAGTTACGAACAGAACGTCTGATAACCTGCAACCAGTCCGCCCCGCAGTGGCTCCTAACACTATTCGGTGGCAACGCCACCTCCCACGTATACGAAGTCTCATACGTTGACCCCGTCTCAAAACGAGTGACAATGTGCTCAACGAACCTGACATGGTCGAATGTTCTCAAAGTCCGGGAAACGGTCACCTACCAGCCATCCCGGGGTGCCCCCAACGCCAAGACAGAGTTCAAGCAGGACGCACAGATAACCGCCGTCTGCAGCGGGTGGCAGAAGATAAAAAACAAAGTCGAAGAAGCGAGCATCGAACGATTTAGCCAGAACGCTATGAAGGGACGTGAAGGTTTCGAAGCAGTCCTCGAAATGAGTCGGAGGGTATTTGGGGAACAGCGGGAATGGGAGGCGAGGAAGCAGGCGCAATAACGCAACGCCGTCTTCGGGCATCTCCCTGGATAACGCCTCCATACTCCACCTCCACAGGTTCTCTCTCCGCTACGTCTCGTCTCTTCTAGGTTCGCTATACATCTTCATGTCAAGTGCCGTTTGCCTCATCCCATATAGCATTCACCGTTTGCTCCTTTCATCACCGAGCGATTGCATCGATATCGAGATTACATTTGCCGAAAACGCCCGCGACTCATAGCCGAAGGGAACTTAAACCTCCCTTTTGTTTGATCCTTTTAATTTGTTGATTTGCGCCTGAAAAAATCGCGTCCTTTTTGCCGGGTGAGGGGGGGGGGGCGGAAAGTTAAAATGAGTTTTGATTTCGGGTTTTGGCGCAACATGGCGCAAGCATATATAATTCTGTGATATTTATTTATTTATTTATTTATTTTTCACCCCTCTGTTTTTGTTTGATGTATTGAACGAGATTCTGTAATTATTAGCGTTGACTTTTTTTTTTTTTTTTTTCTGTATACATGTTGATGCAAGTACACATAGTGTTGCTCATGTTAAAGAGTGAGAGCAATATCCCGACAGATATTAGAGCTTTTGGTCAGGTAAAACATATCATCTTTTATTTCTAGTCCTTTGGACATCAGCTACGATCATTCCCAGTACTGCAATCCTCGTCTGTAAATGCTTGCGCTGTAGGCAAGATAGTTGACTATTCAGCTGCAGCACTCTTTTTATCTCAGCATCAGTTATGCATAGTTCATATATACATACATAGAAATATAAATATCAAACCGATTAAGGAAAGACTATTCTTAAAAACAGAAAGCCGTAATACGTAATCATTACATATATAGATCCCATAACTCTTTTACAAAATATCAAATAGAAGCACCACATGAAGGGGGCGCAGAGTGCGAAGCGCCAAGGGGCAAAAGCAAAGAACATCTCAGATCCAGAGAGGGCGTGAAACTTCAACCCAGGAGCCCTCCAAGGACCACCTTGCTCACGCCTGCCGCCTCCGATCTGACTTTACTGCGACTAGCATCCTCAAACTCCCTCACCACACCGGCAATCATCACCTTCCGCAGCCTCGCATCAGCCTTGTTAAACATCTCCCCAACAACAGCAGTGCAAACAGACGGCCCCGAAACCAACGCCATAAGTCGCGTGTAGCAATCAATCAGCACGTCGCAGAGCGACGAAAACGTCTGAAAGAAGTCCGGATCGAACGGCAGAGTCGGCGTGAGGAGGTACGTGTATTCCTCGCCTGGTAAGAGGTCCGAGGAGTCCGAGTTGGAAGGGTAGGAAGCGGCCGAGGACGTAGAATTGATCGACGTCGCGATGTTGCCGGTCATGGCTTTGATGTCGGATGGGTCGGTTGTTTGCATGGGCAGGCCGATTTCCGTGGCTGAGCTCGTGCGCCGGGTCTTGGTGCCTGAGTGGACGGAGCGTTTGAACATGTGGGGTATCCGTGCGCGGGTGAGGGAGGAGGAGGTGTTCCCGTCGGCCGGGTGGGCTTGTTGGAATGTTTCGAATTCGAGGAGAAGGGCGTTCAAGGCGCGGAGGTATTCGAATGGGGTTGAGTTGACGTCGAGGATGGGGGGGAGGGAGAGGCCTAGGAGGAGATAGTTGGTTGCGCGGCGGGAGAGTTTCCGTTGTTCGAAGTATGAGAGTCGGGAGAGGTCTGATTTTGAGAAGTGGACTGTGTTGAACCAGTAGACTCGGCCTTCGTGACTGTGTTTCATATAGTCCGCCAGAATAATTAGTCAAAGGCCTTACTGAGAGAGGGTGGGTGGTTGGCGGTTTGACATTAAGCGCAAATACCGAGGAACGAGCCGCGCCTGGGGAGGATGGGGAGGATTGGGGAGGATTGGGGAGGGGTTCTTACGCCTTTCGCAAATAATCAAGCGTCGATATCCGCTTTGACGACATTTGGTGGATGTTAGCATAGATTGAACTGGCACTCTGCGGGCCATATGAACCTCCACTTGACGATACCGCTGGCATTGATAACGCGCCATAGCTGAGGAACGGGTCCGGACCTGCATTTGCGGCACTGGGGGATTTGCCCCAGGAGGAGGTCGACGCCTCCATAGGCGTGGGGGGAGCCGCTTGGGGGTCACTGGGGGAGGTGAGATAACTCGAATGGTTGGAGGAAAGGGATGGAATGATCAGCCGCGAGATCCCTCTGCCTTTGATGTTACTGCGAGCGCTTGGTCCCTTGCGTTTGGTGGAGGGCTCTCTGGGCAGACGCCGTTCTGGAGAATTGGCGGCCGTATTCGTAGCAGAAGTCGTAGAAGTAGTAGTAGTAGTAGTAGTTGTTGTTGTTGTTGTAGCTGTTGTTGTTGTTGTTGTCGCCGCCGTCACCGTCACCGTCGCGGAAGCGGCTGTAGAATCGGCGGAGGTTGAGCTGGACAAGGGAGTGAGAGAGATCAAGGGTTTTATCATTTGGCGCTGGCTGGAGGATCTGGACATCGACCGGTTTCTCGAGAAGAATGCAGGACGGCTGGGGGTCTCGACTCGACTCACTGGGACAACATTACTACTATTATTAATGGTGGCGGGAGCCCTTACGACAGAGGGGTTGCCGATGCTGCTGGATGCCGCACGTTGGCGGGTCAAATCCTGATTGTAGGTGCTGCCATCGTGGATGCCGGGGAGATGGTCGTAAGGATGGCTCATGGCGCAGCTGTCTGTTGTCTGTCTCTCTCACTCTCTCTCTCTCTCACTCTCTCTCTCACTCTCTCTCTCTCTCTCTCTCTCTCTTATTCAACTAGTTGGCGCAAAAACAGAGCACTTCGCCGGGGGACAGTTGGGTCTGCTTAGGTACATGGCGGGTTAGTGAAGTTGAACTAAGTCGCCGAGCGCAAACGTTGAATGTTCGTCGGGGCAAAGTCCGTATGTACAGATCAACATACGGGGGGGTAACAGGTACAGGTACAGGTACAGGTACAGGTACAGGTACAGGTACATGGGCATGGGCATGGGCATGGACATGGACATGGACATGGACATGGCATTGGAGGTTCTGTACCTGGAGGGGGGAGGGCCAATGGTAAGGGCTGGGTCCATAAGCACGTCACTTGATTTGCACGGTGTGAAGTTGGCCGTAATTTAGATTTAGTTGATAGAAGTCTGTGTATATAGCCTATTAACTATGGGGACCAAGCCGGGGAGTTGGATGCGGGCAGCAGATGTTGTGGTGGGTGAAACGCCTCGAGCAAGAAAGAAAGAAAGAAAGAAAGAAAGAAAGAAAGAAAGAAAGAATAAAAAAGAGCCCGCGGAGTCCAGGGAATTACTTATTTCATCCGCATCGAGCCAACAATGACTTCTTACTGTTGGATGTTTATTTAAATTGCAGAGGGTTCAACAGCAGGTAAAACGTTATGTACACGGGGCCCAACGCCATTGTTATACGGAGGAGGTATTTAGGGGGGGCAGATCTACCTCTCTCCACGGAGACACGGAGGGTAGCATCTAAGTGACGGTTCATCCAAACCACTCGATGTGTCTCCCGGGAGCAAGCTGAGCAGGTGAGTATGTAGGGAAATTTGCCGCTGAGGAACGAGCGGCGGACCGAGGAAACCGACCGACCGACCGACAGCAGCAGCAGCAGCAGCAGCAGCAAGCAGCAGCAAGCAGCAAGCAGCAAGCAGCAAGCAGCAAGCAGCAGGTTATGTATAGCAAAAGCGCAGTTGAGGATTCCTCACGGCCCTAGTGGTTGTGTTTGGCAACGTTTCAACTTGGAAAACTAAACAGACAGTTTGTTTTAGTCAATAAATGAAACAAGGCTAGTTTTGGAATTATTCAACTTGCAAAAAAAAAAAAAAAAAAAAAAAAAAAAAAAAAAAATATTTCCCTTCGCGCTTCCGGGCCTCCAATTGGTAGGCGGTTTGAACAGCTTCCCCGATCCAAGGACCGTATCCTCAGGTGGAAACATTTCCCTCTCCATGGTTCTCCGTAGCCAAACACCCAATTGACCCAACTTGGTTAAATCCCTGGTAACCAACCAACCGCGATAACTCGTACCTTCAAACCCCTTCCCCCTTTAAACGGCCATGTCAACCTCGTCAGAGCATCCAGAGCATCCAGAGCATCCAGAGCATCCTGTGCCCGTGCCCGTGCCTCCGCCCGGCCAATGGCCGGTGGATCCCCAAGAAGATGTTCCCATCTCCAGAGAGCGTATCTGGATAGACGGTTGCTTCGACTTCAGCCACCACGGTGAGTCGTTTTGTGTGCAATGGCACGGGACTCCATCTGTTGCCTGCCTGCTTGATATTAACGGCGCAGCTCAACTGCAGGCCATGCAGGAGCCATGCTCCAAGCCCGCAGACTGGGCCAGGAGCTGTACGTGGGCGTCCATTCTGATGAGGAGATTCTCGAGAACAAGGGGCCTACCGTGATGACCCTGGCTGAACGGTTCGTCCAACACCTCCTCCCCCCCCCCCCCCCCCCCCTGGGGTTTTTTTTTTTTAAAAAAAATAAAAAAAGGGTCCCCCTCTTTTTTTTTTTTTTTCTAAAAAGCGGACGGCAACCGACAAATGTATATCGCTAACTCGACGTGTGTTGAGCCAAAAAAAAAAAAAAGAGTGGCGGCAGTCGACGCTTGTCGCTGGGCGTCAAAGTCTATCCCTCACGCCCCCTATGTCACTCAGCTGCCCTGGATTTCCCACTATGGATGCTACTATGTCGTCCATGGCGACGATATAACTTCCGACAGCAACGGGAATGACTGTTACCGCTTTGTCAAGGCCGCTGGGCGGTTCCTGGTGGTGAAGCGGACCCCAGGCATATCCACAACGGACCTGGTGGGCAGGATGCTGCTCTTCACCCGCACCCACTTCATCAAGTCCTTCCCGGCATTCCTGAGAGGCGATGAGGGTGTCGGCAGCCCCGAAGAGCGAAAGCAAGTCGCCACCGAGTCGCTCCAGAGAATCAAAGACTATGCAACCGACGAGACAGGCTTCCTGCCCGGTCCTGATGTCTGGACTTGGGAAGCATCCGCTGCTGCAAAGCTTGGCCATCGCAGCACTGAGTCTGGCAGCTTCCAACATCTCGTCGAGGGCAAGGGCCCGAAAGCCGGCCAGCGCATCGTCTACGTCGATGGCGGTTTTGATCTATTTTCATCTGGCCACATCGAATTCCTCCGCAGTGTACTTGCCACAGAGACGGAGGATGCCACTGGCCGCGGCTGGTATCTGCCAGAGAACGTCGAGAAAAGAACCAAGCAGTGTGGAGAGGATTACGGTCCGGCTTACATTGTGGCCGGCGTCCACGACGACGAGGTCATCAATCACTGGAAGGGTCTGAATTACCCCATTATGAATATCTTCGAGAGGGGACTTTGTGTCCTCCAGTGTCGAGTAAGTACACGCCCCATTTTGCCAATTTTCCCTGGTACCCTACGATTTGCAGCATTTTGGAGGGTCGCACGAGAAGTAAATAGATATTGAAACTAACAAATGCACCCTGTAGTTCGTCCACGCAGTGATATTCTGCGCGCCCTTTACGCCCAACCTCGCCTACCTCGAAGAACTACCATTCGGCATGCCTGACGCAGTATACCACGGCCCCACAACATATATCCCCCTCACGTATGATCCGTACGTCGTGCCGACCAAACTCGGGATTTTCAGACAAGTGGACTCCCATCCCTTCCAACATGTGAACGCCGGCGAGATCGTGCAGCGGATTTTGAAGAGCCGGGAGGCATTTGAGGAAAGGCAACGCACCAAGCTTCTGAAAGCTGCCAAGGAGGCAGAGTTTAGGGAGAAGGAGGCGCTGGAACAGCAACAGCAACAGCAGAAGCAGCAGCAGCAGCAGCAGCAGCAGCAGTAGAGGCGACAGGGGGCTCCAGATAGCTGTTGGGAAAGGAGAAGATGAAGCCTAGACGTAATTAAAAATGTAGATCATGTACCTATAATTTTTATTTTTATTTTTATTTTTATTTTTATTTTTATTTTTATTTTTGGCTATATACCAGGAACAATTCGATTTCTTTCCACAATAGACGTGACGGACCTGGTCATGGGAGGGAGGTTTTTACAGTATTTGATCCTTACGATCTCGAGTAAACGAGGATCTGCAAAAGTTTTGCGAGGCGCTTAATATATCTAACTACCCATCGATCGTTTTAGATAAACAATTTCGAACAGCAAGAGCATACCGTCTAGAGGAACAAAAGGAAAAGGTCATTAATTATATGTCAGTAGCACCTTGTAACCCTACAGAAATTAAGGGATAGCCCGATTGAAGTTGGTTAGAACCGTAACCATATATAAAAGATGTTTGTCCTCAGAATCTCGAACCGCCTCCCGTATTTAATTGATACTTTATCTGTCAATCATCAGATGCTCGTAATGATCTTCTTGGTCAACTGGCATATCTCTTCCCGCTGTTTACGTTTACCGTCGCGGGATTTCTATGAAAAAGTTAAAATCCAATCACCAAACCAACTTCCCAAAATCATCAAGCGCAGAGCAAGTTTGACAGAAGAGATGAATCGACAACATGAAATAAGAGGTGAAATACCTTCTCCTGGATGTTAACTTGTTTCCTCATATCCCTCAAAAGGCATGCGATATCATCTCTTGTCTTCTGCGCATCCTCTAACATCTTCCGTTCCACAGCCGCCATATTTTTCTCGAACGCATCAGTCGCCCGGGCGAGTCGCTTCTTGAACGTCCCTGAACCCATGGCATCTTTCGCTAGCGGTGGAAGGGTAACGGCGTCAGGCCCGAGTATCTCCACGGCTAGACAGGCGATCTTCTGCTGGGTTCTGCTCCAGGCTTTCCAATGGCTTTTCAGAGCTTGCTCGTGAGCGTCGAGGCTGTCTCGGACGTCGACGAGATGAGCTTTGTCTTTGTCTGCGCCTTGAACCAGAGAAGGTTTCGGCTTTAGTGATATGATTGGGTGTTCTATCTCCACGGGCAAGAAAATGTCTCCGCGAGTATTCCGGGAAATACTGAGTTTCTCGCTATACTTGGAAACCGTTTGGGAAAGTCGTTTCTCCAATACCTGCTGTGCTTCCGCAAGGGAAACGGAAACCTCCTCTTGGATTTGGGCGCGAGTGCTATCGATTGAGTCTTTGGAGGGTCAGTCAAAAGCAGGAATAGACTCTGGATTAAGGGAAAGAAACGGATGTATATCCTCGACCCACCAACGAAGTTATGTAGGAGACGCTCTCCGCCAGGCATAGAAGTACTATTACTACTTCCTCCCTTTGAAGACCCTGGTCCTCTCTGGCTATGACGCGAGATATAGGTTGACTTGGCCTGCTTCGACCCCTTGAACCCCTTGGAGACTCTTGCTATTGGAGGAGGGGAAGGCTGCCCCTTTTTCATGTCGTGATGGCTGACAGCTTTCGGGGCTGTCGCATTTTTCTGGGCAGGCTTTCGGCCAAAGATACCACGTGCAGATACTGCTCGTTTCCCTGGGGAACGAGACATCCCGTTCCAAGCTTTAAGGGGGATTGTGGGATGTGGTTGGATTGGTGACGACGGTATATTAATGTACGTTGAATTCCTAAGGAAACCGGGGAGATACGGCTTGGGAGCGGGATACACAATATAAATGACAAGAGGGAGTCCCAACTCCAGGACTGAAGACTGAGAGGTGAGTTGAGGAGCCAGGGAAGAGGATGTTGTTAGGGAGTCCAAGCTGGAGCCCTGGGAGTGAGCCTCAACTTCGCAGATTCCCTGTTTGGGGCGGTCAGGCAAAAGTCACCCCGAGAAAAGATAAAACACCACAAAACTCTGACAACAGGAATTGTAAAGACGGAAATGCGCGAAACGCTAAGGTGATGAATATGTAAATATTAAATAGGTACGCGTGTATACTTGGATTTAATCTGCCAGCTGTAGGCTGTAGGCTGTATGCTGGACGCTCTCGTAAGTACAGAACAAAAGCAGGACAGGACAAGAAACCACAAAACAAAAATACTTCCACATATATTATAGGCAGAGAAAAGGGGCAAACTTCAAAAATGAGAATCATATGGTACAGCAGATCCGACAGGACCCGGGGTGGTGTCGTTATTATTTCTTTGCATCATGTATATAGCGTATATTTCCTTTCACTTCTCCACATCACTCTCTCCTTCAGCCGGGACAAGTACCCCTTTTTCTTCCAGCAGCTTCGCCAGCTCCCCGTTTTGATGCATAGACATTAATATATCGCACCCGCCGATAAACTCCTTGTCCAAGTACATCTGCGGGATCGTAGGCCAGTCTGAGTATTCCTTGATGCCTGCAGAATAGCATATGAAACGTTAGCTATATATATATAAAAAAAAAAAAAAAAAAAAAAAAAAAAAAAAAAAAAAAAAAAAAAAACCTAGAGCACTACCCTGCTGGATTTAAAAAGTCGGATTCTGCGAGATCTGGGGATGATCTAGAGGGAGCTTACCCTGCCGCAGCTCTGGATCTTCCAAGACATTGAATGCGGTGAATTTCTTCGGATCAACCCCTTGGAGGCCGAGAATTTGTATGCTTGCTCTTGAGAACCCGCACTGGGGTGTCTCTGGTGTGCCTTTCATGAACAATACGACCGGCGCAGACCCAACCGCTTTGTCAATAGCAGCTCTTGTCGCGTCGGAAAGCAGGCGGATCTGGAGAGGGAGGGGGTTCAGGAACGACGACGGTCTGCTGTGTAATGCGACTCTTGGCCTTGGGAAGCAACGTGATATCTTGAGATGGATCTGTTAAGAGCCGCTCTTGATTTCCCGGTGAAGCGATCCCTGAGGTTGCTAGCAGGAATAATACTTACAGGAGTCGTGGCTATTCTGGCAGCCATGGTTAGAATGTAGAATGGCGAGGCTTTAATCAAGATGGAATGGAAGTACGAGGGGTCCTGGAGGGGTCTACTCCGTATCGTATCTGTCAAGTCAAGGTGTTGTCCAAGAAGTTGAAGAATCACAAATAGCCTTTCCTGACTGACGCCACAACTATTTAGTTAACCAACTATAACCAACTATTACTTAATAACGTAATCCACCACATTCTTTGAAACTCACAAGTATTCAATATATCCAACAACCAACACACTTAAATATAGAAAATATTATTATTGAGACTATCTAATATGAATATATACCTATTTATTAGGGCAACTGCAAAGAGAGTGTTCAATAGTCACTACAGTGTGATGGAGCTTGCTAATGAGATAGCTTCAATCTGTATATCAAGCTGCTAAACATGTTCATGATCTTTCTATATACATAGAACAGTATCCTGACCTAGATTAATGTCTCTGTGTGTTTTTTCCTCTTCCACTCATTCTCTTCTGGTAGAATCTTGATTCTTGATGAAGAAGGGGATTTTTATTCATTGTCATTTGTATAATCTTAAGATGTTCAAGATGAGATATTAAGCTACTAGATAGATATTAATGTATACAGTTGAAAGATGATTTTTGATAGAACCTAGTAATTGCTTGAGAAGAGTCTTCTCTTCAATTTCTGTCAATTTATAATTACTTGTGTGTTTCCGAGTGTGATTTGATGTCAGCAAGTCATTTATGGAGTAGTTTTAGAAATTATATATATCTTTACAGCTTTTATTTTTATTTTTATTTTTATTCCTATTTTTATTTTATTTTTATTTTTAATTTTAATTTATATGCAGCAACAGTCAATTATGTGAGATTCTTGACATGAAGACATTTTGAATAAAAACATGAAGAAATGATGTGTTCAAGATGGATGAGTTGAATATTTGATGATAAGTCAGAGAATCCGCAGTTCGATTGTGTCCGCGGTTCGGTCGTTAAAATAGGACCAAGCAGTGCTTCTTGACCAAGCAGCCGACTCAGAACTTGTTGGATGGTATTGTTTTTTTTTATTTTTTTTATTTTTTGTAGATGAAGATTCTCTTATGAAATGAATTATATAGAAGACGAAAACGAAAATACTGGCTAGCAGCATCTATATACAAAGAATATAATATATATATTAATAATAATACAAATCTCATGCGGAACAAGTGAATTGTTAACCCCATCAGAGGTCTTTCATGCTCCTACTCCCTTCAACCTCAGAATCATCAGTCTCATACAACCCAAATAGCTGAGCCAGGTATTCACCTAACAATCCAAGTGTTATTCCGCCTCCTGTGATCCAACATCCATTCTTAAACCACCACCAACAGATTCCATCATCGCTCAACTTGACTTTCCATATCATTGTGGCCAGGGAGGCAACGGCACTGCCACAGCTTCCAATGAAGAAAATTGGACCGGCATTAACAGCCACGCCTGCTACGGCAAGGAAGCCGACCTGGGCTGCTGCCAACGCAGAGAGAATTGCCTTGGTGTTGTGTTTATGTTTCAGAGCAATCGACTTGATGCCGGCAGCGGCATCATCTTTGACGTCCATATGCGCGTAGATCATATCATAGAGTATAGTCCACGACACACAGCTAGAGTACAGCGCAGACGCAGCCAGCAGGGCAATGGTGTCCGCTAGAACATCTACATTCAGGGCCGGGAAACCCATCATGGCGCCCCACGAAAAGGTCAGCCCTAGGACGAACTGGGGATAGTTCGTAACACGCTTTGCTAGAGGATACGTGCCGACCAGCAATAGGCTTGGAATCCCATACCATAAACACTGGGTAGGGAATTGCAGCAGAACCCCTAAACCCACCAGGAGCTGAGTGCCAGTAAAGACTAGGGCGTTTTGCGGCGATATCGCTTTCCTTGCAATGGGTCGTAACCTCGTTCTTTCGACAAGAGGGTCCAGGTCCCGGTCCCACAGGTCGTTGATAGCGCACCCAGCTCCGCGCATAACCAGAGCACCCAGGAAGAACATACCGCACACCGACGCTACTTCCAAGGGGGTGGCCATTGGTGACGCCAATGGTGCGGCTAGCAGTGTTGAAAAAACGCAAGGGAAGAAGAGATAATAAGTTCCCGCTGGCTTGTCAAGGCGGATCAGCTCGGCATAGGGCATCCACGACTTGGGGAGCAGGGCAATGAAACCCGTCGTTGGCGGGGTGTAAACTGCATTTGGCAATTGGGAAGACGGAGAGGGTTTCGGTGACAGTGAAGACGGGGAGGGAAATGGTCTTGGTGACGAGCTCATGTGTCTCGTAGTTAGCAACCCTGATTTTCCTTTTGTGACCTGCAGATCGATTGTGACTTTCTGGTTCGTCTGTCCTGTAGAGTGGGAGGAGCAACTTTGCAACTTGTGAGGCTGGAAAGCATGATACGGCCCGCATCGCAGCCTACTTTTCGTTTTGAACACGGGAGCGAACTCTGGCAGGGAGCTCAGATATAGAGGAAACTGGCGACTTGGGAGTATCCTCATTGTCGCAAAAGGGGATAATAGAAATAAAAAGAAAGCTCTCCAAGTCCGCAGAACAGTATAAATAAATCTGTGCCAATTCCAACTGTACGTGATCCACGTCAAAGGTGGTTCCAAATCCTGGGAAAGAGTCGCAAACTGAAATTCCCAAGTACAATTATTTACCGTGCAGGCTAGCAGCCCATTTACACAGGCAATAGTTATCGAATTGGGATTTCTCTATCGATTGCGACCACACACAATTACTCCGTACCGGTGATAAAAGCCCCGAGGCCTTCAAGGTCCTCCGCAGAGATTCCGCACGCTGGAGTAAACTTCCTATTCCCGGATCACATGACGAGATCCGTTGTTGTAACTGAAAACCAACATCTCAACGCTGCGAAGAACTACCACCGCCGTTGGAGGACTATCACAGATCTTTCTGCTTCTTCCTCCAAGGCCAGGTTCATCAGCCTCATGTCCCGATCAGATCGAGTTTGGTCCTCCCACCCCCTTCGCACGACGCGTGTTTGTTGCCCAGTTAACTACCTCGCTTTCTGCGAATCGCGGACCTGTTGCTTCGTTCGGCTCCCCACGCTGGGATAATTTCTGATGCAACCTCGTCTTGCTGAAGCCGACCGTTTGATCGAAAGAACATCTTTTCGAGCTTTGATGTGTCACTGACAGCTCAATATCTCGCCCGTCATCGCCAATAGCTATGCCAAGTCCCAGTCATCCACGCGCGGCTTTCGAGCCCATTTCCCCAGACCTCGACCTTACGGCGCTGGTTGAATCCACACCAAACTTCGAATACGTTGTCAGAATTCATTGCGATGCGATCGCCGAACAGGGAATTGAGGATTTCGAAAAATTGGTTCTTCTACATGTCATCCTGGGGGGAAAGCCGTTGGTCATTGAAGGATACCAGGATAGGCTTCAGAAATGGATTTTTGGGCTCCAGTGGTTAAAAGACAATCATGGCACCAAAGGTATGTTCACAGTTCCCCCCAGTTCCGGACGTTTTTATGGTTTTTCTCACTGTTCAATCCGCTTGACAGTTGAGAATGGGAGAAACCTGACCACCAAAACGAACATACCCCTTTCGATAAACCACTACCTGAAAAACATGGCGATGCTCACGAACCAATGGAATGCGACAAACTACAAGGATACCATGCGCCAACGAATTTATCTGAAGGATATCGATTGCCCCCCTGTGTGGCATGATAAGCTGAAAGATTTGCTTCCTCCGTTTCTATACTACTTCAACGAACGCACGAGCGATAAAGCGAGCAAAGCTGGGGATTTGATGAGCAGCTTGTCCCGTGAAATGAGAGCTGACAATATGATGTGCTATATTGGCCATGAGGGCACCTACACCCCCGCGCATCGCGAAATGTGTGCAACTCTCGGTCATAATATCATGGTGGAAACTTCCACTGGCTCAGTGGAGGATGGTCAGCCTACTAAGCCTGGTTCTTCAATTTGGTTCATGACGGAAACCAAGGATCGACACTTGGTGTCTGAATATTGGCTTTCGACACTCGGTCATGATATAGAGATTGAAAACCACTTTGCTCAGATAAATGCTTGGAAAGCTGCACCATTCAAAACCTACATTGTTGAGCAAAGGGTGGGTGATTTTATTCTAATTCCTCCTCTTGCCCCGCATCAAGTTTGGAATAGGGGAACCCGGACCATGAAAGTCGCCTGGAACAGAACTACTGTGGAGACCTTGGAAATGGCAATAAACGAGGCTCTTCCAAAAGCAAGAATGGTTTGTCGCGATGAGCAGTATAAAAACAAGGCAATTATTTATTTTTCATTGCTAAAATATTCTGTGCTTCTTAATAACAGTGACGGATATTTCAATCACCACATCCGCCAACTCCAGAAGGATTTCCGGCGTTTGTTTTCACTTTACACTAGAATTCTCCTGTCGGAAAGCTTTTCAAGGGATGTGTCAGAGCCCAAGAATGTGGAATACCTCCCCTTCGCCAGTAATGTCACATGCTCCTATTGCAGATGCAACATCTTCAATCGATTTTTGACCTGCCCTTCATGCGTTGGAAAGCTTCCTGATGGCGATGATGACACCTATGATATTTGTATGGAATGCTATTCCATTGGCAGAAGTTGTGCTTGCATCTCCAGGCTTCAATGGGTTGAGCAGTTCCGATGGAAAGACCTCGTGCGAAATTATGAGACCTGGAGGAGTCAAATTCTTAAGTTTGATAAACATAGTGATCCATCCCAGCTTCCTCAGACACTTTCTATCGAGCAAGAAAATATGGGTAAAAAGACACTTGCTGAGATTTGCCAAGATGAACTTAAACGAAGGCCATGGACGGATATTACCAAGCCGTACGTCCGTGAAGAGGAAGAACAGGAAGAAGCTGAAATTAATGATGGGCATGTTCGGAAGCGGCGCAAGATTCGAAGGTCTGAAAAATGGAAAAAGGAGCATAAAAGCTGCCACATCTGCAAAACCCCTGAGGCGCACTGGAAAGTTGCGTCCTGTTCCAAGTGTGGATTGGGCTACTGCTATGGTAGCCTTTTTAGAGCTTTTGAGATTTGCCCCCGAAATGTCATGGAGAATCCAAACTGGATATGCCCAAAATGTCTCAAGATCTGCTCTTGCGGTGCATGTCGCCGTGATCCCACGATGAAGCCTTTTGAGCCTTCAGGAACCTTACTTGGTCATGACACTCGGAAAATTGCTGATCCAAGAAGCGTTGAATGCCTTGTTGACTTCAGTCAATCAAACTTGACCTGGTTGAAAAAGGCGGGTGATCGCCCACGGTGGTTCAAGAAAAGATTGGATGAAGCCGAAACTGCGAAGCCTAATGATGTGGCACTGGACGAGCAACATTACGTGGACCCCGTTGAAGCAGGGATTCTTAGATTGGCTAGACATGAAAACATCCCAGTGGACCCTGCTCTGGTGAGCAACTTCATTGAGTCTTCAGGGTCACTCCCTGTTGATCCAGCTATGATGTCGGGAGAGGGTGCGGTCGCTCACACCCACCCTCAATTCGCTATGCCTGACAATGCATTGTTTCAAGAAGATATGTCTGATCGCTATGAAGCGACAGAGGCTATAACTTTTGAATATCCAGATCCAGATGTCACATCTCCCGAGGCATTACAAACCCAGGGAGTCACGGCTATGGCAAGCACCAACGGTCAAGGCAATGGAACAGCCCAACAGCTAGATCCGAATGTTTACCCAGGGTTTGGTACAGATGACAAAGTGGACCCCACCAATGATACAATCGTACAATCGGACATGGCGTCCGCCAATTCAATTAAAGTTACCAATCGAGTCGTCCATGACAAGATTGGTTCTGCCAGCGATGATGAGGATTTCATACTACGAAAGCAGAGCCATCGCAAGCAATCAGGGGGCAGACCAAAGGGAAAGTCTGGTAGGAAACGAGCAAGCCATAGGATTTCATATGCGAAACTCAGCTCGAGCGAAGAGGATGTGCCGTCGGCAGAGCCCGAGAAACAGAGCTCCGTTGAGGTAAGACGAACCCGGAGACTTACCCGTCGAGTGTCTTCAAGGCGAGGTCATGAATCACCACCACCCGCTACGGATTCCTCGGTTGAGGTGATACCACCGCAACCAAAACCTGAACCAGAGGTTGAACCCGAACCCGAACCCGAACGAAGCCATCTTTCGAAAAGTTACTCTCATACTGCCGTTGAAGAGCCTTCAAGACAACCAAAGCCATTGCCAACTACCGCCAGGCGCGGCAATAAGTCCCCCGCTGCACTTGCTACCTCCACTCAACCCATACCCAAACCACCAGCTGCGCAGCCCGAAACCCAGCCACGACCTATGACCGAGGCGGAAATAAATCGCCAAGCAAAGATGATGGCTATGCGCTGGGCTGAGGGGCATAATAGTGATGGTTATGTTAGTGATGGATGGAGTTAAGTGGTGTTGGATATGTGAAAGAATGTTGGCAGCGGGCGTCTTGAGAATCTGATGTTTCTTGTTTGGTGTCCTATCGATTTCTAGTTTTGTAAATTTTCAGATTTTTCCGGCGAGGACGGGGCAATGAGATGGGTCTTTTGAACGGGTAAATCTTTTAAAATTATGCTTCAGTTACTATTCCATATGCTACCACCTTTCATCACCGTGTCAAAAAACATCTACTTTTCTATGAATACTATTATTTACTAACTAGAAAAAGGTAGTTTCGTTATGATTGTGTGCCTTTTGTCAACTTGGCAGATGGAGACTGGTGGTAGCTGACCTTAAAAAAAGAATGAAATTTATTTCTCATCGTAATGAAGGTCCTCCCCCTTTTTTAAAGGCACATATTGCCGACTGACAATTCTTACGCAATGGCCTGCCTACCGCAGAAAGCCACTTTGCTTCACCTAGAGCCTCTAGTTTCTTAATAAGAAAAGAGAAGAGGTAACAAAAGGCTCAGGTAACGCTGATTGATCCACCCTTCGACTTTAAAGGCATTGAACCCCGTGCCCGCTTAAAGCCAACAACGAACAAAGGCGACATGGCAGACGGTTCAACGGGTGAGAGAGATGCCTTGTCACTCCCGCTGCCTGGCACGCCGAGGGATAGTATGTGAAGTTAACTTGGTCACTGGGGAAGACCCAGCCCCATATTTCCGGCTCAATATGGGGCGAGGCTGGATCCGTTCGGTGAGTTAGGATTGAGCCTCTTCGTCGATCCGTACTGTACGAGTCGCCAACCGTCGCTGAAACAACAGGGTGAATAACTGAAATGAGGAAACAACAGACGAATACTGCACGTGGCGTACGTAAAGATTCCTGTCTTTTTTTTTGGCGTCTTTACTTGAATCGTCAAGTTTTGAGCTTTATCGATCTTCGAGTTGGTCGAACACGCCAAATGAAAGCAAATGCTGGCCGCGAAGCAAATGCGCTGTTTACGGTCCGATTAACCCCGCTCCCACGCTCGCCAGAGAGTGTAGTGATGGGTGCAGTGGCGGTTGATGGCAGGGTCACTCTATATACGCAAGCGTTGCCAAGCTTGTGAATTGGGAAGGTTGAGAGTTGTATGCAATATAATAATGCAGTGTGAGCCGACCGCTTAAGGGCGACGCAGATCCACCGTTCCCAAATGGAGACTGATACAAATTGCTAAGCGCTTTAATCTCAGATACCCTTTGGTTTTGGACCGAGTGCTAGCATACATTGAGAAGACAGCAACATGGTTGACGTATCCATGGTGCGGGCGAGAGTCACCGGAAGAACCTATAGCCAAAGCCAAAAGCTCTACTCGGTTCCGCGACCGCTTCTGATCGTAGCATCCGTGCAAGGCTGATTATGCCTAAGGGAAACGACTCCCAGAGCACAAGTTGTGATTTAAGCACCTTTATACTCGTATCGCAGACCCTCCAGTTCTTTGATATCGACTGATAGCATGATATTTCTAGAAACCCAGACAAGAAGAAAGACCACTATTGAATTGGCCTTGTCAGAAGCCAGCCCACGTCTAACTTTTTAAATGATTTTAGGGAGGGGTGAAAACTTACTTCCAGGAACAAGGCAGAAGATCCAGAACATATCTTCAGCATAAGGCTGGCTTTGAAGGACAAATGCAGTGACAGAGAGAATAGCACAGATGCAAGTGTTTGCAGGAGAAAGATACTGCCTGACTATGAGTGGGCCCTGTTCAGCTTCAATGTCCCTCAAGGGACGTTTGCCCTTGTGGTCAGTCCGTTCTATGCGGAGGTATCTCATGATGTAAGCTGTGGCGAGCAGCGACGCAATGCTGAGGAGACAAAGAAACCTGCGGGACGCTGTAGATGATGCGGATATGAAGGAAGGGAGATATAGAAGAGTCGAAACCAGGGGTATAGTGGTGAAAATGAGCTACACAGAAATGCTGTTAATCTGGCACATCCATTTGTCTCTTCTGATATGGCAGATACATACTGTATATTGAGTATTGCGCTCTTCGTCCTGGCGCAGCAACTTTTGAATGACAGCTTCTTGCTCTAAATTTACATACAATAGTTAATAAGTAACTACATCGTCTAGCTATGCATTAAGATCCCCTAGGAGGGATCAAAATAGCTTGTAGATTTCTGGATAATGGAAACGCCGATTTACCCTCCTCGTCCAGCTCCTCCCGGGTCTCGTTCTCGCTCTCTGAATCTGGATAGCGGAATGTTCTTCGTAGATTTAGGGCAGCCATGCTTGCAATGAATGGTGTGATATACTTAATATATAGGGAAGAGAGATCAACGAGACAATAAACACACATACCAAAGGCAGAACCAGTCAACTCATATTTTGCATCGATGTTGTTCTTCTGCTGAGTTTTTGACATGGATGTCATGTGACTCGCACCCATCAGAGAAAAATCGACATAACAAGGAATTGGCCCAGGAATGGAATGGAATGTCGCAAGGTATTATTATCAACATGATGAGACTGTTCACACCAATGGGAGTGATGATGGTATCGTGGCTATTCGAAAAATGTTTATATATCTTATCACAATGTAATTATTATTGCAATGTAACTTTTACTCAGTTAATAAATATAATTCACAGGCGAGTGCAGTATCTAATATTTCCAACCCGTTGGTTTAATTAATAATTCTCTCTACTGCTTAATTGTTGTAAACTACATTTGCTTAGAAATGTAAAATATAATTTTAATTTATTGAAGCAAAATATATTGAGTATCTTATATTTTACTTTATTAGCTCAATAATCAATTTATATTAAGTAAATTTATAAATTTATAAAAAATTTTAAAGTACCTTTAATATTAAAATCTATAAATTATTATTTATTCTTTAATTTATATTATTATCTTTATATTCAATGTGAACTTTTTACAAGTACTTTTTAGGTGCTTTAATAATAGTCATGTGATTCGGGAAATAGCCCCTTTAGGCCCATATTTCTTGATCAAAGCAACGATTGTGATGATCTTGAATTCTAGACTTGGATAGCAAGGGGAGCCGCAAAAAATTAGCTGTCTAAGAAGCCCAAAAACTCGCCATCCAGCATGAATACCCTCCGGGCAGTTGGCCTTTTACGTCGCAGCCATGCTTCAACCACCGTGACCCTCCTCCGCCGCACCATTATCTCCGCCCCAGGCCCGCATACAGGCCCCCTCCTCAGTCGAAGAGCAGATCGCGAGCTCCCCTCGATAAATGCGAACCGCAGGTGGCTCCGCACTCTTCCATTCTTCGCAGTCATAATCGGCGCCTCTATTCTGGGCATCCTCAACTACCAGAAATCCTCGTCGAGCGTGGTGAACAGCATGCTCTATGCGCTGCGGACGTCACCGAAGGGAAGAGAGCTGCTGGGCGATGAGATATACTTTGCGCAGAATATTCCGTGGATTAGTGGGGAGATTAATCAGTTGCATGGGCGGATTGATATTTCGTTTTGGGTGAAGGGGACGAGGGGTAAGGGGAAGATGAGGTTTAGGAGTAGAAGGGATAGGAGGATGAGTTTTGTAAGTGCAATTTTATTGATGCTGTTCCTTTTTTTTTTTTTTTTTTTTTTTTTTTTTTTTTTTTTTTTTTTTTTTTGCTTGTTAGGTTTGGCCGATGTTTAGGCGAAATTTCTTTTGCTGATTCCTGACGGCTTTAGTTCCAAACTGAGGAGTGGAGCCTTACTTTGGAGGATGGAACGGTGGTTCAGTTACTCGATGCTGCACAGGGAGATCCCTTCCAAGCTGCCCTGTCCGGCAATGATGCTGCCAGTGACGTGAAAACGTCGATATGAGAGGAATGTGTACATTATCATCGGGGCATGCACGCCCCTTTGCTTCATCGCGTGGAGTTCAGGCGTTCCACTACGCAATGGGAGGGAGGTGTGTTTTAATCTGTGTTCTGTACAATATATAGCATTGGGGTTACTGGAAACAACTCAACTACGGGTATGGGGGGCCTGGACTATTCAGAGAGACGGAGGAAATTAGTGAAGTGAAGATTGGAAAGGGTTAAACCCGGTTTGATCTATTTGAACACCGGAAAAATGTCTTCCAAGTTCTATACAATAATACACATAAGGAATAAACATCCAAAAACATCTGCAATCTCTCAACTCTCCATCTTCAGCGCAATTTTCGGCCATGGCTTTTTAATAGCATCCTGCAGTTTCACAATGCAGCCCTTGGGGCCACTTACACTCCCTATGAAAGTAATACACGTTAGTAGACGCTCAGAGCGAGAGAAGACTTAAGAGAGAGAGATAAATAATAATAATAATAATAATAATAATAATAATGATAATGTTAACCAACCATTAACAACCACAATCCCCTTCTCAGCATCGACCTTCAGCACCCTCAGATTCTGGAGAGTCACCTGTTCATTGCCCATGTTCCCGGCCATCTTCTTCCCCGGGTGAACACGAGAACCACCTCCTTGACTGGGACCCGCTGAACCCAGCGAACGATGCGCCAGACTGACACCGTGACTTCGATCTTGACCGTGGAAGCCGTGTCGCTTCATGACACCTTCAAATCCCATTCCCCGGCTATTCGATCGCGCATCGACGAATTGGCCTTCCTGGAACCAATCCGCATTTATCACTTCGCCGATAGGCAGCAGACCACTTTCATCCTTAACCCGGAACTCGTGGATATGTCTCTTGGGCGCAACGCCGTTGGCAGCAAAATGGCCTAACATGGGCCGAGTGACGGCGCGCTCATGTTTCCAGCCACAGCCCACCTGCACGGCGAAATAGCCATGTTTCTTGAGAGTTTTGTGTGAAATGACCTGGACCTGGTCGAGCTGGAGGATGGTGCAAGGCGTTCGTTTGCCAGTCTCTTGGTCGAAGATGGCGGTCATACCCTTTTTTATGGCCAGGACGCCGGTTCGTAGAGGGATAGTGGCTTCTTTCCGCTTATGGGCCACCGACGGGTAGGATGTGAGGACAGGAAGATGGGGTTCAACATTGAAACGGCTTGGCTTTGGCGGGTACATGGACTTGATACCGAAGGCCCTGAGTGTCGGGACATTTTCGATGTAGAGACGGGCGGTGGTTATGGCGGAGATTGAAAGCAGCGCATGCTTCCCTGGCAGCCGCGGGGGCATGGCTAAAGGCTGCTAGAGCAGTCAGTCGAAACAAGGACAGCAAGGGAGCAAACTGGCGCAAACCCAAATCATTGCCCAGCCCCGGTTGCAACAATTCCGTTTTCAAGCCTTGGAGCGTTTTCGCAGTTCGAGGCATCTCGAGATTTTGAGCGCTGGGAGTTTTGGGGAGTTGGGGCAGAACTCACCGCTATGCCGGTTGGGGGATAGCGTTGTCGCCGTTCTAACTCAACCCTTCCCGCTTGTTTCTGGTATAGGAAAAGGCTGTGGAAAACGGGGGACGTTTTGTGTAGAACAACAGCAGCAGCCTTCCCCCTTGCTGACCTGCTGAGGAAAACAGCTGTTGTCAACGATGAGAATGGGCTTGCTGCATAGTCCAGTAGGCTTCTACCCTCTTTGCCTGCCCGTCTTACTTGAAGCAATCCTTGTCGACTCCTTCAACAGGTCCCCAAACACCCCACTTCTATAATATTCACCGAATCTCCCCTTTCTCCCCTTCCCATATATAACCAGATAGTATAACAGGGGGTCCACCGGTCCCGGGCGAATCCACCTATATATACTAAGCCATTGCGCCTGGGAACTCCGCAAACATGCCGCCCCCTTCACGTTTCCTCCCGCGAGGGGCCATCAAACGACTCGCAGGCCCCTGCCCCTTCTCAACCGTCCAGTCCCTCCCCGCACGAACAACAGGATTCCATCCCTTCTCTCTCTCAACCACCAAACCCCCACAGACTCAGTCCTTCCACCTATGCGCCACCAAGTTCAAGCCCCGAATAAACGCCACCCCCCTCCGTAGAAATGGCATCAATCCGATACTCCAATGGCGCAAACCACGCAGCCTAAATTCTTCTTCTTCTTCTTCTTCTTCTTCTTCCTCCTCCTCTTCAGAAAAACTCGGCTTCTCCCAACGCATGAAAAAGCTCTCCCGCGAATATGGCTGGTCCTCCCTGGGCGTCTACCTAGCCCTTTCGGTGCTGGATTTCCCCTTCTGCTTTGCTGCCGTGCGGCTGCTGGGCGTTGAACGGATTGGACATTACGAGCATGTAATTGCAGAAGTGGTCAAAGGCGTCTTTGCCCCTATCTGGCGGGCTGTTGCGAAGCCGGATGCCAGCGGTGGTAGTGATAGCGAAGCGGCAGATGGTGGAGGGTGGGGTGATATGACCATTGCGATGGGCGGTGCAGGCGGTACAGGCGGTACAGGCGGCACAGGGGAATGGGATGGGCATGCAAGAGCCGCGGAGGCTGAGGGCCAGAATGCGGGGACGGGGACAGGGACGGGGACAGAGGCGGGAGCTAGTATGTCATCTCCCTCCCCCAACTCAGCCGTTGGTTTTAATTTCTCTGTGTTCTCTCCATTTGGAGGAAGCCCAGTTGTATATTACTGATGGCAGGATTGACTAACGAACCCCGGATTTAAATCATCAGGTTTATGGACGCAACTTGCCCTAGCCTATGCCGTTCACAAGAGCCTGATTTTTATCCGAGTCCCCATCACGGCCGCAGTGACACCCAAAGTCGTCAAGGTGCTGCGACGGTGGGGCTGGGATATTGGAAAGCGGAGGCCGAAAAGCAGTTAAAATCTGGGGCACAGTAACGAAAATATCTTCCTGGATAGCCCACTGCAATTGCTCTTTTCTTCTCCCTTTTTTGGGTGTCAAGGGTGGACTTCAAATTCTGGGGGGACGTGAGGAATTTTTTTCGTATATTCCCCTTTCATTTTCTCGCAACATTGTAACATTCTTTCCCGAACACCATATCAACATCATTGCAATATGGACGCTCTACTCCTCTGCCCTAATCTACGCTGTCCTTCCCTCCATCTTTCCCACAACCCCATATCTGCCAATTTTCTTTCTGAAAGCGATTACCGGTTCTTCATTTCTCATGCCTTGCCAATGCATACCCCGTCTCACACCACAACACACCACAGCAGACCACACCTTTCCTTTAGCAGTTGAATATAGCACCTTGTATACTACTAGTTGGTACGTGTGTTAAAAACAGAAGCCCCCGTAAAACACCTATACAACACTTGAAGTTTTCCCAAGAGAACTGCGTATTCCCTTCCTATATGGGCATGGCACACCACACACACACACACACACACACTCCACCAGGACATTCTCATTCATAAAAGGACAAGATGTTCACCATTTATGTGCGGTACATTCATTAAAAGAAAAACAATCGCAAGCACCCAAGGCACATAGCCGATGAAATAGTAAAAATTAAATAATATGACCTTAGAAAACCCCCCGCGGCCCACCGAATTTGTATGATATTCCCCTTCATCCAGTCTACCCCTTAAAACAGCAAAAATTATCTCTCAAGTACGACAAATCAACAACACCCCCCCTCCTCCGCCCCCTACCCCACGAAACAATTATATATGTAATATACATATATAAAAGACAAGCTCTAATAATTGAAAAAGTAACCTGCTCTCACCTCACATCACATCACATCACATCACATATCAATCGTATCATTAAATCGAAGCACACCATTACTCCTCATAACCCCATTCACGCCCTCTGGCATCCTATACGCCCACTCCGCCGACCCACCACCACCACCACCACCCATAGCAGAAGAAGAAGAAGAAGAAGGAGAACAAGAAGAAGCAGTAGCAGTAGCAGTAGCAGCAACGCCAACCTCAACGCCATGACCGCCACTTATTTTGTTACTGGATGTCGCTGCTGCTGCTGGCGTCACGATACCAAAACGACTCTTATCCAGCACTTCATCGGACGTGTCTGCAACAAGGACGAGGCCTAGTTCCTTGATCGATTCGACGAGGGAGGGCATGACGTTCTACATCGTGGCAAGGTTGGTGAATTAGGCGCGGCGACGAGGTGAACATACATAAAAGTAGGGGAAAAAAAACACGAAAATAAAATAATCGGAAAAACAAAGAAATAAAAGGTAAAATGCAAGGGAAAAAGAGGAGGAGTACATACCAGCAGACTCGACCGACACATCAGTCCCATAAAATTATTACTCTGCGCTATCCGCGCCGACTCCTTAATAGACATTGACGACCGCCCACTGCTGCGAATAACAGGCTGCGAGCAGATATCCTGCGTCAGATCACGTATTTGGCCCAGATCATTGCACAGAAGAACGGGGTCTAGTTTTCAATGTTAGTTCCACGCCACTGAGAAGATAAAACGACACCAAAAAAAGATGAAAAACACGTACAATTAGGCTGTTTCCAATTCAACGCCGTGCAAATATTCGGATTATAAGACGTAAAGACAACCGACCGCATGAAATCCGGCGTCGACTCCTTCGACACCCGCGCATGGTGGAACACTTCCGTCAAAATCGCGTCGGCAACTGTGTTGATATCCATCAACGGACCGAGGCCCAGTTTCACCTCCTCCGCCGGCGACGGATACAGGATGCACAGATCGATGTGTATGTTTGTCGGGAGGTGTTGGAGGACTTCGCGCAGGGAGAGGAAGGATATCGCGAGGAGCCGATGCGCTTGCGCCATGTCATCCACCGTCATTGCTTCAAGGGATTTGAGCAGGGATGAGTCGGCTGAGCTGATCTGGGAGAGGTATGCGGCTTGGATGGCTCGGGACTGGTTGAAGGATAAGCGGCAGATTGGGATGTCGATTCCGTGGTGGTTGACAGTGAATTCTGGATAGAGGACGGGGACGCAGTCCTTTGTCAATTGGACAAATACCTGGACGTAATCTCCTGAAAGACTCGAACCAGTTACCAGGCCGTTACGATCTGAATCAAGAGCGCCTGTCGCTTTCCAGTATGTCGCGAAATGTGTGATCTCGAGCGGGTTGCCGTGGTAAGGTTTGATGACCTGAAACTTGAATCGGATCTCCCCGATTGCTCGTAGTCTGGGATCAAAAAGCGGCAAAGCGCAGGTCCCTTCTGATGCGCCACCTCCCAGAAACACATCCGGCAACGCAACGGTTTTCGCAATGACCTTAGATCCAAACGTAGGAAAGATTTCAAACTCGAGCGCAAAGGTATCCAGTCGGTCGATTTGGAAAGACACAAGACGCGAATCATCTTGAATCGGAAGCATCACGTTTCGAGGTATAAGATCTGATGTTTTCGAGGAAATAGTTAAGCGAGCTGCAGCGTAGCGGCCGGACTGATAGAATACGATAGGTTCAGAAGATGGCGTTTGGTCAAAATGTATTTGTATGAATGTCTTGGTGTCAAGGAAATTATGGCCGTATCGGCGTAACGGGATAATAGGAGGAGGCAAAGATAGGTCAGGAATGCCGTCACCAGCGTCCATGCCTCTCATAGTTCCTGACTGTTCTGCGAGGTGTGGGGAAGTCATCGAACCCGAATCTCGAAATCTGGGACTGTTGAGCATATCCAATGGCGTCCGTGCCGGTTTTGAGCCAGAGCGTTTCGACCACAGCAAGATCATGCACTCCAAGTGGCCTTCCCACGCGGCATAGTACATAGCAGACAACCCTTTCTCATCAAGTGCATCAGGATTTGCACCGCATTCCAGCAGCGCCCTCAAACAATTAACACAACCCTCACTTGCAGCATGGAAAAGGGGCGTCCATTGATAAAGCTTGTCCTTTTGGTCAAGATCGGCACCATGGTTCTTGAGCAGAAGAAGCACCTCCGGATCTCGACACGACCTTGCAACGAGATGTTGCGGGTACAAACCCTCCGCGTCAGGGAGCAGGTTGGCATTCCTTTCTAGAAGCAAGGATATAATCGGCAAGGACGCATGCTGACAAGCCAGATTCAGGGGAATATGGTCCGACTCGGACGTCGGGTTTATGCGAGCGTTGTGGGTAAGAAGTTGTTCCACACAGGGCAGCTGGTCCCTGATTATACTGTGGATAAGTGGGGTGAAGTTGTCATGATCCATCAAATCGATTGTAGCAATGCCCGCTTCGAGGAGCGCTTTCACCATCTCAACTCTGCCATGCATGCAGGCATAGTGAAGAGGTATCCTTCCGTATACATCTGATCGCGATACATCGACTCCGCGCTCCAGCCCAGCCTGAAGCACATAAAGGCGACCCGATATAGCCGCTTCATGGAGACAGTTGCGTTCATTAATATCATCCTCCGCATTCACATCCACGAGGCCCGTGTCAAGAAGCAGGGCCAAAACTTCATCCGGATACTCGTTGATCGCAGCTAGGAATATCCGTGTGAGTCGATCCGCCGCGTCCGGCGACGATTGCAGTTTCGAAATCCATTCCCGGAGCGTTTGGTAGTTGCCGGTAGATGTCGTTTGCAGGATCTGAAGGTCAGAATCGTCCTCCTCAGCAGTCGCAACCACACGATCTGCCAAGCGCGAGGCATCAAACTGAATATTTTCTCCTTCCGCCCAGGCCTCGAGATCCAATCTGGAGGTAGTTGCTCTGTCGGATAGATCTCGCAGAACCTCCCGATTAAAGCATGGCTGGACTTCCACAGCGCGGTGGAGATAAAGCTCTTTTGTACGTGACTAGGTGGCTCTCTTGTTAGTTCAACTTGTCTTTATGAGAGATGTTATATATATATATTCAAACTAGTGATGGCAAATCGGACCTTTGAAGTTTTATCCCACTGTGTGCAAACAAAGTCATGTCAGCATTTTTGTTCTTGTTTTCCATTTCCCATCTGTCAGGGTTCTCAAGCGGACGGGTAATGAACGAACCTTTTTCAGGATTTTCGAGACGGCCGTTTCATTGATCTCGACGAATTGCTGTTATTCGGTCGACGAGTAAGAAATTTTGCATCGTAGTGACCTTCAGCCAACTAGCCGGTTAACTTACTTGAAGTTTGTTCAAGTCTCCATCGAACTGCTGAAAACCTTCAACTAAGGTGACGAGATTTGTAGGGGCCCTTGAATTGGACACCCATTTTTTCGACTGTATCAATCTCCTTTTATCGAGAAGTGTTTTGAGGCGCAGAGTGAACTGTTATGGATCGCCTTGATCAGTTGCAGTTAAAAAATGAACCCAGTTGCGTATTACTCTCTTCTTGGGGGGGGGTGGGGAGAGAGAGAGACAGAGCTCCTCTCGAATGTTCGTCCCAGAGACAGTAAACAAAAGAAAGAGTATAGAGGCAATAACCAACCTCTGCTTCCTTTTGAAGATAAAACACATTTACTTTTTCAATCTCTCGTTCCTATTGGAGATAGCGGTGAAAAGAAAAAACAAAAAGGGTTAGCAGAGCGAACGGATATCAACTCTATTTGAAATCGTCTGCCTGGACAGACAAAGGATATTTGACGTTTGTTCAATGATTTAAAAATACCAGACGAAAGAAGAAGACATCCTTATTTGCACGAAGGGCAGCCTGTGGATCGAGGAGCTCGGGCGCCGGGTCCATGGGCGAGCTCTGAGCCGGGATGGTGGGTGTTGCGCTGAGCTGCTTGATGAGCTGAAGAGCGGAATGATGTTAGTGATAGTGACATGAGTACGGGTATGGTACCTTGCACTGAAGATGAGAAGCACACCTTCTTCAGAGCTTTGTAATTGAAAAAGCTAGCAGCGTACTCGGGCAGGTCGAGCTGACGCCGTTGGATCTGCTTTCCGAACTTCCTGAGAGGACGAGCGGAGTTAGAGAAGACAATGGTTACCCATGGATGGCCGGTCTCCTTCAGCTGCGCGGGATCGAATCAGATAGAACTTACATGTTTGCTGGCTGGGAGCGTGAGGAGCGAGCAGAACCTAACCAGAAGGGAGGCGCCTGTCTCTCTGAGTGGACTCCTCTTTACCACCTGGTTTTGAGAAATCAGGCGCCAGAGACGGGGTTGCGGGACGAGAGGGAGGCGCGTCGGGACAAGGGGAAATTAGGTGAGTATTGGAGGATACGCTGTTTTCCTTTGGGAGAGAGACGGAGAGCGAACAACAGAGATCCGCTGGTTAATTAGTCGGGGCAACACGGATCGCAGGACGACAGCACTGCAGAGACTTCTGTGGACGATAAAAAATTAACAAATTAACAAATTAACAAAGTAACAAAGTAACAAATTAACAAATTAAAATAAATCCTGAGATAGGACGTCAGATGAGCGTGGTCACCACGGAGGAAGAGGGATGAGGGATGGAGGAGGGAGACGAGGGGAAGCATAAAGGGAACGGGGCAGAGGCAGCGGTTGGCGACGACATTGGGATGAGGTTCGGAGTCGATATGAATGCATACACGTTGTGTATCACGATAGCTTGGAACGAGAAGTCGGAAGGGCAGAATCGGGAAAAGATACAGCAACGGCCTAGGAAACTACGTACAAACCAAGGTACCACCTCTTCATGCGCCGGAAGTTTGATATTCCGAGTGGGAAGGACGCGGGATTTGGGGGACCAGATCG